CTGGGCATCTGAGCCAAAGCCAAGCTTTTGACCTGTTGGCTTTCCCCATGTTGGTCCATTTTTCGTCACGGGCCCTAAAGGTGACCACCTTGTATTTTCAGGTCCTTTGGAAAACTGAGTTTTTGGGTGAATTTGTTTCTTGTAATTTGAGGGTGCCCTGTTCAGGTTGGCTTAAAGGGAAACCAAAAGGAATATTTGCTATTCTGAAGTCCCCTATGTTGTCACACACCCATATTGCTTGCAAGGAGAAATCCGAAAGGCTCCCATCTGTTCGGAGGCATTTTTCGGGTCACCCAATAGATTTAAGCAACTGCAGGAGCGCCCACCACCCGCCTAAAGCGGTGGCCGAAGTGAGCGACGCTGGGCGGTTCGGCCGTTTGTCCTCTTTTCTGAGCTGGCTTGCAGATCTTTCTCTGCATTCTCAGCCCGGTCATTCTGCCAGTCAAACACGCCCCCTGCTACCAACAGCTGCCACGGAACCCGTCTGAGCTCGGGTACCTTGTGGGGATTTGTTTTCAGGTTCCCTTTGCAGGTGGTGGGTTCGGAATGGCAGCTTCTGACAGGATTACAGCAAGGCGATCGACACGTGGCGATCACGACCAGTGTCCGAGAACCCTGGATGCATGGCCCCGAGTGTTGTTGCATTGTGAGATACACCTTGATGACGTGGTACAAAGTCTCTAAAACTGGCCACCCTCAAACGCAGACCCTCTCGACAGCTCCCTCGTTTTCGCAGCGTTTGGCTCGTTGTCCCTTTGGGGGTCCAAAGTTCCGCGTTGTTGTTTGGTTGAGAACCCAGTTTGCGATTTAGAGCAATTTGGCCAGATCCATCTCCAACACCAACGGCTTTGTGTTTTTTTTTTGCATGGAACTCCGGGCTTAGTTTGCGATTTGGCCTAGGTGGTTTGGGGATTTGAACCCCTGGTTCTTGCAGAGTGTGCTGGTCCACCCCTAATAGCCAATCCAAGCCCCCGGGCTCCAAACCACCAACTGGCGGGGGACGCTGAGCTCCTTTTCCGGGCGGTTGCCGAGGACGGGTCTGGGAGTGAACCCGTTGGTGCTCAACTTCCGTGGCAACTGCTACTCCCAGCTGGGCCTCTACCGAGAGGCCTTGGCCGACTACCGCGAGGCCACTGAGATTTTCCTCAAGGAACCCCCGGCGAGTGACTCGACTCGCGCGAGTGTGGTGACCTTGAAGTTTCTGAGTTTATGTATGGGACCTTACACCTTTGTGCGGGTGGGGTCGTTCGGGACCACCTTACATATTTGCCCGCTGCAAGATCTAGATCCCGGGTTGAAGGTTGACCAAAGTCTTTTTGCTCTCTGAAGTCATGAGCATCTCCACCAGCCGGGGTCTCATCACACCGGGCCAGGACAACGAGTACAGCCAGGCGGCTTTGTCCCGCTGCAATGAGGCCCTGGCCTTGTTCGGGGCAGATGAGGCCAGTGAGGCGCCGGCAAAGGGGGGGGAATGAGGAGTTTGGTCAAATGAGAGTTTGTCTTAAAACTCGTGTGTCTTTTTTGGAGGGAACCAACTTTTGGGGAGCTAAAAGCGGAAACAGAAGGACAACCCTAAGTTTTGGGGTCCCTTGGTTTTTGAGAAGCCAGTTGCCTATGGTTTTTTGAACTAGGGGCCCGGGGACGGATTCCCAAGCCAAGGAACCCCAAGGGTCCCTGTTTTACCAATGAGATTGGGGATAGTTGACCCCCTTCACGAGGGAATTTTAGCTCCAATCACTTGAGAAGGCCATGGCCTGGCGGAGTTTGACACGTGACATGTGTGGAAAGACTCAGATATCGCAGGTGGCACCGCATTTGCAGAACCAATCTGCCTGAGGGTGTGTTCTTGTGTGTTCTAGGTCACAAAAGGAAGTTGCCAACATCCACGTGTCCACACACTTGAACACTTCCCAGCCACTCAGTGGTGCCATTTGTGTCTGATTTTGATGTTAGAGACCCTTTGGTGGACGACATGGGGATTTATGTCCACCAACCACTTTGCACGGGGATCCAACCATTTAAGATTCATAGCCATGTGCTTTTGGGACCAGGGAGGTGTCCTTGAACGTTGGCTGTTTTTTCACCAATGAGGCCGTGTCCATCATGGAGGACGTGTCGCGGCGGGACCCCAACATCGCGGACGCGCGCATCGCGCTGGCCGCCTCCTACTGGGCCAGCGGGGACTACGTCAGCGCTGAAGACCAGTGGCTCGACAGCCAGCGAGTGCGCCAGCAGGGAATGGGACTTCTGAGTCCATGGCGGTCCAAGGGGAATGAAGCTTCCACAGGGAATGGCGGTCCAATCGACTTCAGTGGAATGGCGGTTTCCCAAAGGTCACAGGGGGGGGATCCAAAGCGTGTCCATGAAAGTGACATCGTCAAAATACCCTCTGAGTATATGGTTCAGTCCAGGTGGCCAACACTACGGTGTTCATCGGCGGATGAGCTTTTAAAGGGAGCCGCCTCCACAAAACGATGTCCACTACTTGGGGGTAGACTTTGATAATGGCAAAACACTGGGTCTCCTCGATTCCTTTTTCTTGGATTTCTTGCCCTGGTTGCTCAGCAGCGTCCACATTATTCTGGTTGGCTTCCCATATTTTAACCCTTACCGGGTCACTGGTTTCACGAGTTGTGTTTGGTTCTCTTCTGTGTCTGCGTCCCCTGCCCATGCCATGGGCCTATGGACTTCGGCGTCTACCTTCAGCATCCTGTGCAGGTGCACTGTTTGCCCGGAACAGAATGAAGCACGCTTGGGTGCCCCGTTTTTGCCTGAGCACCCAGTGGCACCAATTCAACGCCGCAATTGTGGCCGTCACATGACCCTTCTTTGGGGGGGGTGCCCTAGCCCCCAAATCTGGTGGCTTTTCTTTCGGTTTCCCCTTAAACCCACCTTAAAACAGGAATGCCCTCCCAACTAAATGGAAGTGCGCAAACCCCCTTTCCAAGAGGAAAGTAGTCTTTCGACAGTCTGTGCACAAACCCATGTTAGCCGGTGGGGTACCCCAAAACCCCACAGCTGCAGTCACCTCCAAGGAGCTTTGACCTTCGGCTTGCTACTCAGGTGGCAGAAGGCGTGCCAAAAGACGGACCTGGGTTGCAGCCAGTACAAGGACTTGGGAGGAAAATGGCTGTGGTTGTCAAAGCCAATGGGATCCCATTTTGGTTGGTAGGTGCACCACCCATTTTTGAACCTAGTTTTAGTGGGGATTGGGATGTTCACTGGGGGTACGGGATTTTGACCCATGGCCAAATAGGCGGAATGTAGATGTGGCTGTGGGTCAAAAGTAGGTACCCAAAATGAAACCCTGGTAGAAGGAAACATGGACTAAAACCTACGGTCCCCTGGTGGTTTTTATTTTGACCCAGAGCCATGTCAGGGTCTTGTCACTTGCACGCACCGATGTGGGCTGTGGGTGTTTCTTGGAAAGCCAAAAGTACACCAGCCAGGGACGATCCTAATTGGAGAAGCACCTACCCTTCTCACCTTTTGTTTGAATGGAAACCACGAGGACATCAGAAACCAGCTTTGGTGGTTCCCCTATCGGTTCAGGCTATAGCAGTGCCATAGCCCCCGAACGCAGGACCTCGGCTGGGTGAAGGACATTCGCAGATGGCCGCCACAGCTGGTGTCCAGCTTGAGTCGCTTTTTGAGCCGCCAAACGAGCTGATTCGAGTGGTTGGCGCGTATCCAATGGCTGTTTCAGGGCAATTCGCCAAAATAGGTTCTTTCCCTTGCCATTAGGCAGGGCTGCCGAGTTTGAGAGTCATCTCATGAAGCCAAAGACGCTTCTGCCAATTTTCGACCAGTATGGTTCCAACATCCTCGGCGGAGCTTACGCCTCGCGTCAAGAGCAAGCCTTTGCTGCTGCGGGTGACAGTTGGGTTGGGAGAGGACGAGACACAATGGTGCCCCATCAATAACTGATTGTGCATGCTATATTGCCGGACGGTAGCATGAAATGTTGATGCTCAATCGTTGTTGATTACCCACGTTGCTCTCAAAGGATGACGCGCCTGATGTTCATTGGAGCTAAAATCCTTTGGTGATTGACTCACTAGTGTACCGGGTTGTTCAAAGGCGATTCGGTGGTTGTCGTTTCCCTTGTCGTAGTGGTGTCCCACTCTGCATTACGGATTAGGGATTACGCAGCCCAATTTGTTGATCCACTTAGGTTTAGGCGTGTCCAACAAATTCACCATAGATCTATACAAAAAGTAGACGATATCTGACAGATCAACGGTGGTTGCTTGTGCTCACCCCGTGTATGGGGCGGATTTCTGGGATTCCCATTCATGGTAACGCGGTTTCCCTTTGCAAGGGGGATCCCGTCAAATGGTTTGCCTGAGCCGACCCTGACTTTAGGGCTCCCACAAAAGCTTCTGCAGTAGATCAGTGGTTCAGTGGCATCTTCTTGTCCATCTGGGTTTCTATGCATGGGTCCCTTTTCAAGCGAGCAATTGCAAGAGGGAACCCCATTTGATACCTACCCACTTGGAGGTGTTGCTGTTTGCTTGTGCTAGGCTTCACTCACTTCCATTGGCCCTTTGATTTACCTGAACCACAACCAAAACTGTGGAAGATGCGGGTTATGTGACTGGGACAGTACCAACCATAGGTCTACATGTTATTAAGATCTCAAAGTCACCTTAGGCGGTTTTCTTTCCAATGAATCTTGAGGAGTTCACTTCGGACCCATACTCTTCAAAACCAGGCATTCGTTGTACCTGCGGCATTTTGTCCGCGTCATCTTGAGTTCCAGGGACCACACAAGACAGGGTTTCCTTGCAAGGCCGCGAGAAAGCCTTGGTAAGGCGGGGCTACCGCTCAGTTTGGGCCATCTATCAAGCCATTCCAGGTGTAGATCCACCCACGCATATTTTTGGGTGTAATTGCCCTTTTCTTGTTGAAATTTTCAACCGAGAACCCAAAAAGCAATCATCACGTGTGGGGTCCTCACAATCTAGCACACACGGACACTCTCCCGGATGTTCCACGAGGCCTACGCCAACGGCCAGGGTCTTCGACGTGATGATGCCCAAGCGGTTGCTGGGCGCCTGGTGTGTCTCAAGTAGGGCAGAGTTGCTTCGAGCCGCCAACAAAAAGGACCAAGCTTGAAGGGGGCGAAGCTGTGTGTTTTCCATGTCCATGGGTCTTACAAAATGAGCCGGCACACATGAAGCTTTTTTGCTGCTAGCTGTCTTCATGTTCGTCTTGCCAGCCGACTCAGAGAGTCCAGTTGGACCTCCGATGGCTAGTGATGCTGGATTGCACCAGTTGAGCTGGAGAAGGCCAGGGGAAGTTGTATCTCAGGTAGGTGTAGCGTTGGCTGCGGATAGATCCTTCTCAGAGGATTTGGTCCATCCTGGTAGAAAAACAACGAGCGGTCAGAATGAGGATCATGTGGGCGTTGAAACCGGAGACCGCTATGGAGATGCTTGAACACAGGGTTGTTCGGCCAGTTTCTGTGATACGCAAGGGGATCTGCTTGAAAGTGACGTAGGTCAAGGGAAACGAATGGAATGACCGCATTGGCATCGGCATCACCTTGGGTGGCTTTGTCCGCAATGTCTTCCAGGGTCTAAAATCATTTCCCGTCTGGGATTTCCAAAAGCGCCTCCAATGGAATGAGTGGAATGCTGGCTGGAAATCCAAGTACCCCTCTCTTCTGAGTCGCCGACTAGGTCTGGATGCGCAAAGCTGCTGAGCAACTGGAGGCGAAAACTACGCGTTGGAGACTTCGGTCTGTTCCGTTTGGAGAAAGTCTCCAGAGTGTCCTTGTTTTCTGGCATGCGGATGAACGTGAACCCCCAAAGGGGGATCGAATTTGGAACCATCCCAAAGTATTTTGCGGCGTCGTGTTGCTCAGCAGCTTCACATTGGCTTGGGGGCTTGAACCTGATGGAGAGGAGTCGCTGGAACACTCCCAATCCAATAATGACATAAATTTGTATCAAAATAAAGAACCCCCCTTTTGTTGTTTGTTTGGCTTGGTCTTGTTGGTGTCTCTCCGCACCAACCCCAAAAAGGGGATCCAGAATAAGTGGAGTCTGGGAACTGATGATTCGCCGAGGAGCTGAGCGGTGAAATCAGGGCCTGGTACCCGATGAACATGTCATACCCAAGAAAAGCATGATGCTTTTGGGAAGCGTGGTGTTCTCACGCTCGACCATTTTAACATGTTTCTGCAAGTCATAATTCTACTTCAGACCATGTATTCATCCACATGGCGGATGGTCCTCGCCTGGTTGCCGCTCACAGAGAGTTCATTCGTGAAGTTTCCAGTGCTTGAATGTAGTCGCCAACGATCTCTCTAAGCTACCTTAATCGACGAAGGCAGTTTTGCCCCAGCCAGCTTCAATTAAATCCAGTGGATCCGTCATTGAAGTGCAAACACAAACCTTATCACGGGCAAGATGGAGCACCCTGAAAAAAAACATGGACATTTTACAGGTTTTCCTCGGTTCGGCTACGAGTTGCTAAACACCCTGGCTCAATCCTTTAGGAATTGAGAGCCCCCTCTCCCCGCATCCCCTGACCTGCACTGCGCCTGCCGAGCATCACATTTGGCCCTAGGCAACTAGGGTTGATAGGTCCTTTGTTTTGAGGATAACTTTTTCCCGTTGTTCAAAAGAAACAATCGGAAAACAAGCGGATTCATGACCACGCAGACCTTCCGGACATGTCTCCTGATGTTTTGTATGTCAGCGGCTTGTGTACTTGGTGCCCCTGAATCCTGCCACAAGGTAGCAGGTTCCCAGGGATCCCCCCAACCCCACCCCATTAAATTTCATGCCACCTACATTTCCCCTTGAGCCGATGCAAAGGCTATTTTTTATCCGGCAGGTGGAGGCCGCGTACATGATGGGGGAGATGTATCGCCCTTGCCTGAGATTGCTCCAGGTCTTTGGTCGACTGACATAGCACCCACAGAGGGAACATGGGTCTTCCAGGACCCTCCTGTGAGGTTCCGTGTTTGTGGATGGGAGGGTAACTCAAAGGAAGCCTATGTGGGTGCGAGTTGGGCACCCTTTGGTGGACACCTGAATTCCGTGGCAGGCGCTTTGTGGGATGTTTGTCCATCAACTATTTGTGATGGTGTGCTCCGTTAAAGTTCACAATGTGGCACCAACCGTTTGCACGGGTGCCTAATTTTGACTCCCGATGGCAATCAACATGGCTGTCCTCAGTCCTACTTGCCCCAAGCGGACATACCCAACAGTCATTTGCTACGGCTGACTTGTACAGGGGAGTGCTTGTCTCAAACTGCATACCTCCAGAAGGCTTTTTGGTGGGACGTTATTTTTTGGGGGTACGTAACCCGGACCCTTAGATTTTCACTTGTTTCAGGGAGTCTCGCCGCTTGTTGTCCCTCTGAGACTTACTCGCCCGAAGCATTTGAGCCTTTGGCTTTTCTATGTTGGTCCAGTTTCAGGTCAGGTCCCCAAAGGTCACCCCTGGGGTTGGGGTTCAACCGGTTCAACCCCCATTAAAAGCATGGTTGACCCAATTTGGATGAAGACCTTAGCTAAACAATGGTGGTTGTATATGAACCCCCATTGTTTTGGTGGTTTGAACCCCAAAGGTTGCTGTAACCTTTTTATATCCAGCTCCTTTTGGGCAAGGGAGGTGACCAAGGAGCCCCTTTGCCCAATGCGGCCGCAGTGTCCATGCAGTTGTCCGCGTCTAATTCCTTTTGCATGCAGTTCACGGCACGAGTTGCTTTTGGAGTCCTTTTTGGGAAAAGGGAGGTGACCTTTTGAAACCTGGTTTGAAGCTTTCACTACCATATTCGACGTGTTAAGTAAGCTGACCGAGAAAGGGTTTGCAAGTCAGCTGAGTTGCTCAATCATCCAGTCATTTCTGCTGTCTGCAACCCCATCACCAACTCCTTGAACTTGGAGTTGGGGAGATACATAGATCGCACTAGCTACCAAGATGGAAGAGCACAGGCCTCCTTTCCAACAGACAGTGGCCATCCAAAAGGGGTCTATGTTTGTTGCTAGGATAGCGCACCCTCCTCTTGAGACCCGGAGACGACGCCAAAAAGGAATCCGCTGTGTGAGGTCGTGGATGTGGGGTGTCCAGCCAAGAAGGAGCCGGGAACCTTGGATACCAGGTAGAGGAGTTGGAACGAGACACAGCCGTGGGGTTCATTTACCACCATGAAAGCAATGGGGGTTCAGAAAACAATCATTGTTTACCTAAGACTTGTCATCATCCAAATTGGGTCAACCATTCTTTTAATGGGGGGTGAACCCTAGTGTTTGCCGAACTTGGAGAGGTCATGTTTCTCAAAGATTCGGCCGCCAAAGTAGCTTTGCTTTGGTTCCAACGGAAGCTCAAGTGAGCTCTTTGTGAGCGACAAAAAAAACACCTTGGTCCCCCAAGATAGCCCAAGCAAGGTCGCAGATCCTGGCGGTTTCTTGCAGCCATTCATGGAACCCGACCCCCCAACATGGTCTTCCAGGGCCCCCCAAACGTCAGGTTCCATGTGGTGGGAGGGTATGTTGTTTTTTTTGGCAAGGATCAAGCAATGCACATCCGTGCTTTTCACATATTTTTTTCCACCTTATATAATTTGATGGGAAACAAAAAGACCCCTGCAAGGGAGGGGGGCGGGATCTTTTTGGCGTTCCAATGTTCGGCCATGCCGAGTGGAATGGGTTTTTCGTCCACTCATCGTCTAGCGCATAGGTTTCTTAAGTTTGCTCTGAAACACCGCTTCTACAAGGAAAAACACGAGCATTCCTTGATCTTGGACAACACGAAGTAGGTGCCTTTGGCTGCAGGTTCTCCCAAGCCAGGAGGAACATCGAGAAACAAATCGGAAAACAACTCGGTCCAGAAGAAGGCTGGACCTCGCGGTCCCCTTGGGTTCAACCCCCACTGAAAGAACGGTTGTTCGAATTTGGATGACCATCCTTAGGCAAACAATGGTGGTTATATGAGCCTCCATTGTTTTCATGGTGGTAACTGAAGCGCAGGGGTTCTGAGTCTCAAGGGACGGCCCGAGGTGATGTGGTACTTGCGCAGCGCTGAGGCTGGCTTCCCCAAGGCGCGCCTTTTCCGTCCTGGAGAAACCAGGGTTTTGTTTTGACCGCTCCCTGGAGTCTCCATGGAGTCCTTTTAACGCGAGGTCGTGACCCCGTATTTTTGGTAGATGACCATGATGACCCCATTTTTTTGTAGGGGTCATGGGGACTCCAGGTGATTCAACCTTGAAGCTTGTTTAAAGAAGGTGTTGGCCCTCGCCACCCCTGCTTAAAGAGTCTTGACGACTCCAGAAGTTGCTTTTGGCTGCTTAATGCTGCTTAGGAAAGCAGGGCCCACCAGCAAGCCCACCTGCAACCTCTGAAAGCCCAACCACCGCTTGGCGGTCTGGGTGCAATGGGCGGTGCTTTAAAACACACCCCCACTTTTCGGGTGCCTTCAAAACAGAACTCCCAAAAAGTGAACGCATTTCCTTGTTGTCCCTGTTTCCCCTAGGTTGCCACGTGTTTCCCTTTGAACCACGCAAGACATGGCTCAGGCCCAGTACACTGTGGGGATGCTTTACCTCGAGGGCAGCGGCCGAGTGCCCAGAGCAGCCAAGTGGCGGAGTTGAGCCCCGACGTTTCTGCTTGCATGGGTTGGTGGGTCCCTCACCGAGGTTGTGGTTAGTTTTGGGTTGCGACTTGCCTTACTCCCTTGGAATCCCCTCTAAAATTGTAGATTGTCACGGGGATGGGAGTCCTGCTTTGGTATCATAGAAGTTGTCACTCCTGTGACCCCGTGCGGGCTTGGTAAACTCATGGCCCTGTTTCTATTGCCGTCTTGTGCTGCCCAAAAAAAGGGCCGCTAGCTTGGACAACCCCCCCCGCTTGCAAGTCTAGGGCTAGTCACTTGGCTTGGGGAATGGGTGTGTTTCTTTTGAGGGTCCCCTTCTTGTTATGTTCCAAGGAGAAACCAAAAGAACAGCCTTTTTTTTTGCGGGGGTGGGTGCCCCTGAAATGACTCGCCCAAATGCTTGCCCAAAGACGACCTTCTGACCATTTTTTCCATTTTTGGTGCACGTTTAGTAAGCATCCCAAAAGATTAACCTTCTATTTCTAGGTCCTTTGGGCGAATGACGTGGGACCTGCAGGCCGCTTACCCAAACTGCAGGTCTGTCGCAGGACCTGGGCAAAGCTGAGACTTGGCCCGTGGCTCGGTTCTTCGAGCACCCAAGCGGTGGGGCGATTGGGGGGGGGTCGGCGCGAGACCTGGGGCAAGCTGAAAGGCTCGAGTTCTCAAAATAGACGGAGTGGATCAATATGCCGTTCGGCCAAGTGATCCTGGGACACCATGGGTAACTAACTATTTCCATTTAGTGGGACAACCAATGGCCATCCCATGTATTTGACCATTTGATGAACCCCATTTCGGACACCCTTGTGGTTGGCATTGAAAGGGAAACTAAAAGGAACAAGACCAACTTTTGGTTGACAGTTCAAGGGAAACAAACAGAGAACCTACCATGATTGCTGGATCATTACTACTGATTACTTTGCCACCGTTTGTCAGGGATTGGTGTCGCTCGACTCGAGGTTGAAGCTGGCCGCCAAGCAAGGTAACCCAGAGGCAGGTGAAAGGGGCGCGTCTTCGCAAAGCTGTCATGAGCTCCTTTAGAGTGGCTGGGGCGAAGAGTTAAACGTTGTCAACGTCAGCAACTGGGGTTGTTTCCTTTTAACCCGCCACTCGGGGGGGTGGGCGGTGAGTTTGATGTTCACATTGAGGCCAATTTGAGTGCCAAGGCCAAAGACCAACATGTCAACATGTAGCAGGGTTGATCCCGACCTCGAAACAATCGCTGCATATAGGTAAACAAATGATGCAACAACCGCCTTTTGTTGTCCTTTGCCAGGGTCTTAGGAGGATGCCTGTGTCAGGGAAGCGGAATACGCCAAATGGTTAGATTGAAAAGGGATGCCCGAACAAAAGTCGTTGCCTGCTTGGGCTTACTGGTTCTTTGGTTCACGTTGGTTCCCTTCCTGACCAATCCTATGCTTTTTCCGTGCCAACGGCCCCAAAGTTTTTTCTTGTCGAGTTTAAACTCCATGTGCATGATGTCCAACGAAGGGTCCCCAGTTCAAAATCCGCACCCAGCTCCCATGTCCGTGGTCCCCGGATTAGATATATGGGTTTGCTAACTCTGGGTTAATGGACAGTTCAACTTCTAAATCGAGGCAGGACTCTCACATTGTTACCTTTTGCTTCGGGCTGGGAGTTGAAGTTTGTCGATCCAATCCTTGTGGCGTCGCCCAAGTCTTGTAAACTCGACAAACAAATCAGAGGAGCATAGTCCAACTCTACTTATGTTCCGCCCTGGGGCTTAGGGCAGCAACCTTGACCCGCGAGGCCAAGCTCAAGTCAAAGTCTTAAGCCTTCGACTGCGAGTTGCCTATCTCGGTGTGCCTGTTGAGCTGCTTTGGCAGAATGCGAACATGCACAGTTCACCCAAATGTTGCAGCTGAAGGTGTAAAGTACTGGAACTCTTCCACCCAACCAACTTGTGCGCGTTTGTATTAGTTGTTGGCTTTGCCAAAGGATTGATGTTGTGCCTATAAAGAAGGCGCACGAGCGCCAGTAAACTCTGAAGGTTGTGCCTTTTCATATTGCTGACTTGCAATGTTGGGGAGGCAGTGGAGGTCCTTGTTCCCAACATGCCGTATGCTTGGGGAACCGCCTTTGGATGTCTTCTTTGGAGAGGCCAAGAACAATGTCGCCACCCTCCACGCGCAGAGGGGTGAGGCCCCTTGGATGTTTATGTCGGTTGGGCCTTAGGCGCTTTAGGTGGTATTCAAAGGTTCCTTGAGAGAATGCGTCCTCCGTAGACCACACCTAAGATATATTATCTTGAAGACAAACAAAGAGACAGCCCAGGACTACCAGCAGAATGCCGAAGATGTGTTGGTATCTTGGCGCTGCTACCAGTCACCACGAAGAGTCAAGGACTCGAGCAACATGTCAGCAACAAAAGACACGACACAACATAAGAACAACTCCCGGGTCCACGCACTTTGTGAGGATGTACTACGTCGACCATGTCATAGTGAGTATGAGTTGGGTGTTCTTGTCTTTAACACCTTTCTTGGCAAATGTTTAGCCTAGGATGATGCCACATCAACGGTGTTGCCTGCTAACTGCATGATGATTCCATGTGTTTTTTTTCTTCTGCAGTTTGACACTGGAAGATCCCTGTTCAAAGGGCCTTTCTTTGGTCCCCAAAGACCCTTCTTGGGTTGCAAACAACTAAATCATGGGGAAGTAGAGAATCAATTGACCTGGCTGTTTTGCGGGACACTTACAATTTCCCATCCAGTGTTGCTCAGTTCACCTGTGGGCACTGCAAGCACCCGGGAGGAAGGCCTTTCAAACTGCGAGTGTCCCCGATAGTCTGGGAGCTAAGTGGTGAGTAATACCCCCCCCCCCCCATTCTCTGGGCCCTCAGTTGACCTCGAAACCTAACCATTTTTAACCCATCCAAGTGGGCGAACAACATTAAGTAAGCTCAGCTTGTTTATTGGGCGTCTACGCGCCTTCGGACCATTCGAGGACGTGAACAGTTTAAGCAATTTCGCTGCCAACACACGCACACGCCAAGTAGAGCGACAGTAGGCATTGTTGTCGGTTTCACCTTGTCGCGGAAAGGCTTATATCCAACCATGCCTTGGCGGTTCCCAGCAATACCTTAGTTTGCCTGTTTCTTGTAAGTTTGAGAGGCTGAAGACATATATCTTAGAGTCCACTTGCATGGGACATTCGATTCCCACAGACCTAAGGCCTAGTTCTCTGAGGATGTACTTTGAAGTACCGTATTGACCCCTTAAGTACCTCCTCAGACGGAACCATGGCTACCGTGTCTTCAAATAGATCCCTATTTGAAGGCAAGGTTGGATCCCCCCGCGCTCCTCAGCTCCCTTCCAACCAGGTGAAATCTAAAGTAAACCTTGAGAACCTCACAAGAATGGACTGGGAAACCTCACATCAATTCCTAGGAGGGCCCACCCATGAAGACCTATGAGGAGTTTGGGCCAGGGCTTTCACACACAGGACTCGTGTTTTTTTTCTCAGCTGAAAGCTATGTGGTCGATACGCCCAGCTAGGCTCTGGGGTTGAAATATCATTCAGGGAGGGTTGCGGAAGAAGGGGTTCCACAAAGTTCCGGAACTGCGGGAAATACCACCTCTGGAATAGAAACACCCAAGAAAAAACCATCTCGGGGAGTCCGGAGACGCGCGAGACGCGGAAGCCAAAACCCGCGCAGGTGGCAGAGGCATCGCAGATCTGGGAGGAGCTCGCGAAGAGTGGCCCGAAGTTGAAGAGCTCGTGTGAAGTGTTTCGACCGGGCACGGGCAATACGGCAATGGGAGAATTGTGGCTTAGGCGTTCGCAATCCCAGGTCCAATCAGATTCAAGGCAGGGGCTAGATTTGGCTTAGGCGTTCGCAATCCCATGTCGAATCAGATTCTCTGGGGATCCTACATAGGAGTTGCTTTGTAATCATGTTGCAAGGCTTCTTTTTGTTGCACCTGACATGGCTTCAAACGCCCAGCATGTGGGGTTCAACGGCACTTTTGGGGAATGCTGATTCAAGCCAGTTCGCTTTTGGGGTGATGTTTTAGGTCAACAAAGCCCTTTTTCTTGGTGGGGATGGTCAATATCTTGGATTTCAGACAACTCGTCGTCAGGCTTCTCTAATGGGCAATACTTTATGTCCAATTCGAATTCTATAAGCCACGCGATGAATTTGGACCATGACACATGTATGCTTCCAGGGTCAACATTTGCAGTAGTCTCTGGTGCTTTGGGGTTCGGGACATTGGGGGGACTCACTAAGATTTCAGCCACAAACACAGCCAGGTGGACTTACATTACTATCATACTGTAATATAGTTTGCATCAAATGAGCTTTGGTCAACTGAGGTTGGGTGAAACGCCCAGTTGCCAATGATAAGTTGAATCTAAGCCGCAGAAACCAGGAAGCGAAGCCTTGTTCCTTGTCCACTGCCCATGTGATCTTCGACTCAAGAAAGCGAAAGCACCGGATAACCATGTCGCCAGCCCATTGGGACCAATGATTCAAGTTTGAGGGAAGCAGGCACCCTTGGTCTCACTGGCCGGGCTAGGGCTCTCAAACCTCGCACTTTTGCTGGCCTGTCCAAAGACAAGCCATATAGTCCCCAAGCCTATTTGAGCGCAGCTACATGAGTCATACTGTTAACGTTTGGTGGGTGGTCACGCCCAAAGTAGCGACAAAAGCCACTGCGAGCACAGGTCCTTTTGGTGAAGCCTGTATTTGGTAAATCCTTTTGGCTGGGCCCAGCAGTTTCTATCCAACGTTGCTAGATTTTCTTTGTGATGGAGAGGGGAAATTTTGAGGGATGAGCCCTTCACGCTGTTTGACGCATTTGACGCATGTCTTGAGAAGGAATTCTGGGATTCCTCGCTGGTTCCGGTTTCTTCTGCCTATGGGGCTCGCCACCGGGGGCAAGCAAGAGAGCTCTCCAAAGGTGCCTCACTTTGGAATCTGCAGAATGGTACAAGCTTGTGATGACGGCTTTTGGATCTTGCCTGTACCCCCTCCCCCAACCTCTTTGAACACAGCCCGTGTCACGCGGACGAGGCTCACCGAAAGGAAAAGGAAAGGGATCTGCAGACTCCCTCATTCAGGTTTCGGATGTTTTTCGTCGACTTTTGCAGAGTAATTGTCCTGGCAATTGGTATGGGAAGAGATTAAACTCATGGGTCCAGTCAGGAACTCGCTCCCTGAGTTCTTGGACTGTATACTTTTTGGGAAGACCGAGTCTGTTGGTAAAACGGGAATAGACATGTTGAAGGCCAATCCACTCATTAAGCGAGTTGACATATAGATATGTGTGTTTTGTTGTTTAGTGTACGTGCATTCTTCTTTGATTCAACGGTAACGTGGTCGGGGCTGAGGCGGGGAGCCGAACGCACAATGCAACCTGGGCGGCAAGCTCAGAGTCCAGAAATTTGATTGGTTCCCCACATTTACTGATGGCTGAAATCCTTTTGGCACCACTTTGAAATCATGGCATTTGGTGGTTTGGATTGGTGGTTTGGAGTTGGATTTGAGCCCCTGGTTCTTGGTGGGGGGTCCACCCCTCCAAACCACCCATCTAAACAACCAATCGGTGGAAGCTGACCTTTGGAAGGAAACCCAAAGTTGCCTCTCTTTTCTTTGCATACCCCCGAAAGAAGGGGTTCCCTTCACTTCAGTGAAAGGCCCGAAGAACCTTGGTGCCATTCCGCTCAGCTGTGGTGAGCCCACCGGGCCTGTGATCGAGTGTTTTTTTTCCCCACGGGGCAGACCCTCTGCGAAATCCGGCCGTCAGTTTTCAACAATTCTGACTTTTAGACTTTTGCGCAGGGTGCCATATCCCACTAATAGCTTGACATTTGGCTAAGGATCAATTTGAATCAATGAAGCTACAAAAGGTTAGACTCTCTGCTCAGGAGGGAAGAGCAACCCAGCATTTTCTTGTTACAACAGGGTTTTTCCTTCGTTTCCTTTCTGCATGGAGCAATGGAAACCACCAGGCAAATGCAACTGTTGAAGGGAAAATCCCGTGAATTCTGCCCTGCTTCGGGATATTCTGCAAGCTGTCCCCCCTGTGACTGGATTTTCAATTGCAACAAACGGGTCATGACATCCCCCGGAGGCATGGCATACCTTCGGGGCGCCGGGCGGCCCGAAGACCCGGACCTCGCGGCAGAGTGGCTCAGCCCTGGCCTCAGCCAGATTTTTTTGCGCGGAATAGACCCTCCCTCCAGGGTTTCATTTTCTCCTCGTCCTTTTTCTGAACCTTCCAAAGTCAACAGAGTTTCCTCCCTCGTTTTGGACCCTAAGTGCCAAAATGTTTGTTGGAAGCCACAAGTCATTTGCAACTTTTAAGGGGGAAATCCAGCGACCCCTGTCCAAGTGGGTCTGTTTTGTTTGACAGGTTCCCTTCAAAAGGGGTTGCTGAAAGGGAGGTGTACTCAGACTAGAGATTAACCATCGGCTTACCCTGCCTCCCAGCTCCCAACCGGAGGGGTTTGGAAGACCAAAGCTTTCTTTTGTGGAAGACCCTTATCCACCTCCATGATTGCTGCAAAGGGGGAATGTTCCCAGGATTGCTTCTTCTTGCGGTCTCCTGCCACGCTTTGATTGTGGACTCAACTGAACATTGAAGCGCATTGTTCGGTATTGGTGCGAATATGTGCAAATAGAGGATTAATCCTTTTTGTTCAGCGGTTCTCGAGGTTTAGTTTACACTTTTTGGGATCCCACTCGGGAAGTAAGTGTAATCGGATTGCTTCGATCCTCGGACAGGTGATGCACCAGGGAAGGAACTGGGTTTGGTGTTTTTAGGTGTCTCGTTTTAGGAACTGGTGAACATATCCAGTAGTCTGTGTTTCCTTTGGGAGGCACATATGGGGGAGAAGCTCTAAATTTTACCCACAAGAGCCGGGGAACAAAACCCCTTTTCTCCCATCTCCTTTGTTGCAACACCCCCAGAAACCAGGGGCATACACGGAAAACCCCTACAGATATGATGATATGGTGACATTATGTGGCTGAATATACCGATGAGTCAGGTATGGATTCCACGGTGGATCTAAACCGCCTGTTCGATCTTTTGGTGACCTTTTTTTGTGTTTGGCCCATTGAAGCTGCGTTCCAACGCTTGGACGTGGGCTCAGGGGGAACTACCCACTCTAAGACTGCATATACGACGTGCCAGGAGATGCTTCCTCTCAGTTGCCTGTCAACACCCGCGGAAAAGGGGTACCAACTCCAACACACATACCCATCTAGGATGTTCAAAGGCCATGAACCCCCCCTTGGAGCTATGGCCTTAAGGTCTTAGTGGCTTCCAGCATAAGCCCATGTAGGTCCTCTTGGGGAATCCTTATTTCTTTAAAGTCCATATTTCTTTCAGTATTTTGCACGACCCGGGTCATAGGCCTAGGCTTATCCTAGGCTTAGCCAGTAGCATTCCGCCTCAAGGAAAGGCTGCGCAGCAGGGCCACCAGATGGCCCTGCAAGCGCTGGCCACGCTGTGAGGTGTCTCGGTTTCGGTTGGGATCGATCGATCTGAGCCGAAAGCGGAGGGACCAGTTCGGGACATGGTGAATGATGTTAATGTCGGTCCTTTGTTTTTCCGGGTCATTTCAACGACCCCCACGTGTTTGAAAACGAACGGGATCCCTCAGGGTTCGGTTTTTTTCTCGCAGCCTTGTCACAGGTCCAATAGCAACTGGGGCACCGGCAACGAGTGACCCCTTAGGACGCTTGTGGCCGCAGACTCGGGTGTTATTAGCTTTCGACCTTTTAGTTTTCAGAAAAGTTGTTCGAGCCCACAAGGATGGAACAGGTCACCTAGGTCTTCCATTTGGTTATTGTTTAGGGCTCTGGGCACTTTTTTGCTCGTGCCAGCTTTTGAGCGGAAACGCATGAAAACCTTGATTTGGCATGCTTTGGCAAGTTTTCTCCCAGAAAGTGAGCGGAAATCGGCGGGAAATCAGCGGGGAATGAGCGGAACATTGCGGACACACACTGAAACAATTTCCATTTGAGTGTGCATTTTTCTAATTGAGTGTTTTTGGGTGAAATGAATGAGTGTTGTTGTTTGCTTGAAAGGGAAGAATACTGAAGCCAGTGCCCAGGGAAGACCTGGCTGTGGGTAAAGTCGTGTTCTTCGCTTCCCTTTGCCAAAGTCCAGCAATTTGAAGCAAATGGTGACTCCCATTTAAAGTCCCGGGTGAGTACTTTTGTGGCCACGTGGCTTGTCATTGCCAGTAAAAACGACTTGTGACTTGGGATTGTGTTTTCTCAGGGTACTCCTTTTCATTTTGAGTTAAAGCGATATCAACATGAGAGCCACTCTTTTGCCCTTCTCATTTTGACACGTTTGCCTTCTTGCTTGCTCTGGCAGACAAGTTTGGGGGGCTTTCTTTTCGCGAAACCACAGGTTGTATCTAGCGAGTGCAATGAGAAACAAAGCTTCTCTTGGACAAATTGAAGGACATTTCTCGCGGCCTCACGCAAGCCATATGTCCAGCAATTCGGGAGGGACAACCGGTGCACCAAATAAAGAGGGCTCACTCATTTTCGGAGGTCCATGGCAACCTTCTGCCTTGCATCAACCCTTGTGACCTTGTCTTCCATCCAACCCTTGTGACCTTATCTAGATCGCTATTGGGTTGGATTTTTAGACTTTAACTGCTTGGGAAGTCATGGGTTTTCGATTAAAGCCACAACAAGTTAAACACTTTTTGCAGAGGGGTCAACAGCAACCAAGTTATGGTTGACACTTTCCGGTTGAACAGTGATCGCCTTTGCGTTTAGATCCCGCACTCATTTGCAGGCGGAGCGAACCGGCAGGAACCCGTGCGAGAAAAAGCGACCCGGCCGCGAATAATTTTCAGTACAGCCCCAAAGACGCAAAGATGCTTTCTTGGAGTGTCCATGACTCTTTAAACAAGGGCTTATCTAGCAAACTAATACCAGGATCATGACCGCGGTTTTAAAGGGTCATGGAGACTCCTGGTAGTGCTGTTCTATTTAACTATTCTTTAAGTTGGTGTGGGCATACTTGGGTCTCCTTATGTTGAAAGGTTCTCAAAACAAATCAAGTTCTGGTCCCTTCAAGCAACACATCTAATGTGGACATGTTGAGGATGTCACTTGAATGGACCCAGTCATTGTCAGGCTTGCTCCAGCCCCTCAGGAGCGAGGGCACCCCCCCCACCCCCTTACAGGTTCTCGGAACCCTTCTAAGAAACCCTTGCAAGCATAATGTTATGTTGGCTTTCTTGTGAAGCGGACCAGGGCCTGGCTGGCTTTTAAACCAACAAATGCCCAGCCCTAGTCGATGTATTCCGGAGGATCCCATTAAGGGACGTGTTGTTTGGGGATGGCACCTCGGATTGTGGAATGGTTGCTCCGACGCTCAAATCACCAAAGTACAAGGGAATGACCTTCCGGGTGTTGGGGATGAACCGGATAGGGAAACCAGAAGCAAAATCGGGGATGGTTTCCCTAGGGTTCATTCCATGTCTTATTCCCTGCCTACATCGAACCAGCCCTTCTTCCTTATTGAAGGGAGCATACTTCAAGATGCGAATCTGAGGAACAACCTAAGCTGAACTAATCCTCAACTGAAGGGAAAACCATCGACTATGGTGCTCACAGTAACCCGGTATCGCGCAAGGCATCACTTCAGGGAGCTACCCACTTCTAACATCCAGACTGTGGATGGACAGATTCCTGCAGCTCGCATAGATAAAGCCCTACCAGCTGGTGTAGGGTTGTGTTCATCCACAGGATGCAACCAATCGCGGTGCCAGCCGTTGCACACGCTGCCCACGGTGCCAGTCATCCCGAGGGTCGGAATTTTCCAAAAATCGAGTCTCCTACCCGGAGGTCCGCCAAGAGACCCCGAGAGGTTGGGAGAATGTCTTTCGTTTTTGAGGCGATTTTTTGGCGGCTTCCCATGTAAGCATGAGCGGTTCGTAGACTCCAGGCGGGTTCTGGGTAGAGCCGGGTAGGAAGGTCCCAGGCTTGGACGCAAGTCATGCAGCTTTTGCTCAACGTGGGCAAGTAGGCTCACGAGCGAGGGGCTGACCACTCGGAGCCTTGTTTTTCGATTTGGCTCATGCTTGTTTGTGAAAGTCAAAATCCTGGAGTCCGAGGATGTCAGCAAACGATCAGCTGAAAGGAGTTTGGCAAATCCTCTCGGCAAGTTACCCTGAAGCTCTAACCCAATTCGGAGTTTATCAGCTGACTTACATGGAACATATATATATACATAGATCCTGTGGGCTAGTATCAAATGCACATTCTTCATCCCAGATGTACCAACCTTATCCCAAAATTGATCGTCCATATTAATGAAGTGCAAGCATGAGGCACTTTGACCCCATTTTGAGCCCTTAAGTACATTCTTAGAAGGTACTTGACAGTTTCATCCCGCTAAAACCCGTCAACAGGTACCAAGAGACCCTTTGGGCCTTAAGTCGTTACTTTCTAGCAATGGCTTCGCTCTCTACGCCGTTGACCGAGCTGCTGGGGATACGCCATCCCGTGATGTTGGCCGGGATGAATGGAGTAGCCTGGCCAGAAGTATCCGGCGGGGGTCCAAGCGAGCCATAATCAACAACTGGGTAGGTGAAGTAACAAAACGCAACCATAAACAAGTACGCCCGCCTTTTTGATTCTTTCACTGGCTTCGGCCAGACCATTTGAAAACCAGTTTTTGATTGTGACTGACGTACCTGCTGAGATTGTACTTGGGAGGCCAAACATCCTCACGAGTTACCAGCGGACCCTGAGGTATCTCCCCAGATATCCATTGATGCCTCGCGCTCTTTCTTCGGAGGCGTCCCTTAAAAATAAACCGCCAAAGAAAGGGCGCCTTTGCTTCCCATTGCCACTTCAGGTCTGGGATGTGTGTTCCTTTCATGTTGGTGACTTCCTACTGCAAGTTGTTTTTGTTTGACTTCCCCTGCGAATGCATTTGCTTGGTGGCTTGTCGCTTCAAGTCCCCTTTGAGTTTCCTCTGTTGACTTGCCCTCTATGTTTGTTGGTGACAAGATGACCTTCAATTTCCTTTGCCTTTCCTTCTGACGTGTGTGTGTGTGTGTGCGCAAAGATAATGAACCAAAGGGCTCCCTTGAAAAGTTCAACCAAAAGAGGGTTCCCGTAAAATGACTACTCAGGCAGTTGGGCCCATGGTATTTTCAAGATTCGTCTTTGTCGTCTTCCTCAAATTCTTCGGTTCGTCGCCCCTCGCATCGAAGCGAGGTATCTCACTCAGACTTGGCGGCAGCCGTGAGCAATGCAGGCGAGGGAGGGCGCTTGAGGGGCTGTTTGGAGCTAGTACCCCTTTTTGTGTGGCTTTGAAAGGGGGTTCCCTCAAAAATGACACACCCACATTTGCTGCATTTTTGGGCGAGCTCAAAGATTCGGGGGAAAAGCGAGCTTACCATGATGCGGACCCCTTACTCCTGCCGGGTGTGTTATTTTTGCAGGTCATCTAGGGGCTCACTTGCAACCTTCTGGGTTCCGGTGATTCAAATCCAGAAAACACTCAAACAATAGGTTGGACAAGGCTGTTCCAAGAGAACCATGGTTGAAGATTGAACGGCTCAATTTCTAGAATAGTGGGTTCCTTGCGACACTGACGTCTCACGAGCTCTGGGTGAACGAGACTAGCCATCAAGACGGTTCCTAGGATCTCAGTGCGTGTGTTCGTGTCTTTTAGTTGCTGTTGAAGGGAAACCAAAAGAAAGGCCAACATTTTGGAGGTCTCATGAAATGTGATAAACTCAAGGAACAGCCCCGGAGTTGTCTTCCCCTTACGCTGTCAGGAGGCATCGGCTCCATTGGCGGGCTGACCATGACCCCGAAGGTGCTCTCCAAAGAGATCTCGTGGCTCAAGAAGGCACGGGAATTGGAACTGATCCATGGGACTCGCTGACTTTTTCCCTGAGGTCATGGACTGGAGTACCAGTTTTTTTGGGTCTGGACCATTTTGGCAGACAGCTTAGACTGTTTAAAGGCCAACCCACTCACCTTTTTGGGTCTGGACCATTGACCAGTGTGGTAAGCAGAAAGTTTAGAATTGTCAAATGCCAATCCACATCGGAAGTGAGGGGAGCTTTCTACCCTTTCAGCTTTCCTCGAATGAAGTGGTTTGTATTGGTGGTTTGGAGGTTTGGCACCGCACAAGTCAGTCGGAAGGTTCTAACCTGAGTGAACCGTTGAAAGGGTTCGATCACATTCCTGGTTTAGGTGATCAGGAAATTTTAGCGGATCCCCTTGTAAAGCAGTTGGTGTTTGTTGCTGTGTCCTTTGAAGCCTGTGAGCCTACGGGTTTCCCTGACTTGTAGGCTTCGTGAGGAGAGAACTAGGAAGACACTTGCTTTTTGAGGGTCCCGCGATTTGCCCCACCCCCCCAAATATGCCGCGGTGTCCGAAACGTTTGGAATGATCGAACATGACAGGTTTTTGGTAAGTGGGGGCTGTAGCCAAGCAATCAAAACTAAACTTGTTTCCCCAATATAGGGCGCCGAATTTGCGGCCGTTGGAGTCAGGGCAAGCTCCGTGCTAAAGGGAAAACCTGAAGGCCAGCCCCATCTTGGTGGATTTTTCCTCTTGAGACAGCTCCGGAAGGCCTCTAAGGGCTTCCTATGTTTCTTTTGGTGACATTCCAGTTCCTCTACCCGCCCAGCAGGCAGGGTCCCATTGCTTGAGGGGGCAGACATTTGGCGTACTCGGATCTCAGACTCAGATCTCAGATTCATGTTTAGAGGAAGCCCCCTTGGGCCCGATCCCTTGGAAGGGCTTCCTTCCCTCAAACCTCTGGTTTCCCCAAAACCTGCATGGTTTTCCTTCACGTTTCCCTTTTGTTTAGAGGTGCCAGGAATTGTCCTCGGTTTGACCTTTTCAGCATCCCTTCAGAACTTCACGTGCCAAGGGCTTGGTGGACAAGACTTTGCCCTTCGGAGTCGACTTGGCCATCCCCCAGATCGGCGGCTCTGCGCGAAAGACGAACCACGACTACACCCACGGGCATTTACCCGAGCTCATCGATATCATCGTGCAAGAGAAGCCTTCGAAGCAAATTGGTGTTGTTTTGTTTGGGTCTTTTCGCCTATTCGTTAATCATGCTTGGTCCATATTTAGTCGCCCAGTGGATGATACCACTATGGAAGGCAACCAGTCATTTCATTTTCAGGAAACGGGTGGTTTCCTGAGTATCTACTATACAGGGCATGCAGTTCTTTGGGCAAGGTTCCAACAGCTTAGCCTTGTAATTTCCAGGTCCTTTGGGCAAGTAAGGAAGGCGAAGCTCTTCATTTGCGCCCTGGCATGGCGCAATGCGAGTCAAGTGATATGGGGCGGGGTGTCCGCATGATTCATGAACACACAGAGAATATACAAATATTCTCTGTGTGTTCATGAATCATGCGTATTATAGACGTGTAGGGTCTATTCTGCGACCACCTTGATTTTGAGGGTGTTTTGAGTCACCACTCCAGTGGACATGGGGCAGGGCTTGGAAAAGGAAAGTAGTCTTTCGATTTGGGGGAACCGCTTACTGAGGCCATACAGGGGACCGGGGGATGGGGTGTGGGGTGTAAGGGGAGGCTCCATGAAGACGTGTTGCCCGGGCCCCGAAGGTTCTCGGGAGAAATGGTGAGGCTTAGTTCAAGAGGGAAGCTGAATTGGGTTTCGTGGTCCTTTTCTTTGTTGCCGCCAGTTCTGGTTCCCTTAGAAAACAAGCCTGAGGCTTGTTTTTAATTGTAAACGCTTCGCGTTGCCCGCCTCGGCCCAGCCTAGTTTGAGGGAAGGGTCAGGAACACCGAAATCCAGTGTTGGGAAGGTCCGAATACCTGAAGCTGGCTCCAGACAAGTCAGACAAGCCGGCCTCGCCTGGTTGGGCTGGGCCACAGGCTAGTCTCAGACACATCAGATAAGCCTGCGCTGGGCCTGAAGCTAGTCTCGGGCAGCTTGGCTGGACCTTGCTTGCGTGGGTTGTTGGTTGAGCTGAAGCTAGTTTACGGCGGGCTGGGCAGCCGCACTGAGGGGGCTGGGCTATGGCTGGGCTGGGCCTGAGGCCAGTTTCAGACACGTCAGACAGGCCTGGCCAGCAGGCGGACTGGGCTGGGCTAGACGCTAGTTGAGCCCAGGCTGGTGAGGCCCAGTCTCGGCGCTAGATAGGCTGAGGCCTGCGAGTCTCAAACCGGGTGGGCTTGGGTGGGGTTGGCTTAGGCGGGTTGCTGGTTGGGCTGGGCCTGAAGCTAGTCTCAGCCACGAGGCTGCGAAGCCATGGGTGGTGCTGGGCAGCTGGATTATGGTGTTGGTTGCGCCTGGAACTTCGGCTGGCTGGGCTGAGCTGTGCTTGGGCGGGTCGCTGGATGGGCTGAGGCTGGGTAGCGAGTTGCTGGCTAGACACGTAAGACACGCCAGCAGGCGGGCTGAGGGACTGGGCCTGAGGCTAGTCTCAGGCTGGCATACCTTGAGACCAGTCTCAGACTGCGCCGAAGGGGCCTGGTCAGCCTGGGCTGCTGAGTAGCTGGCATAGCTTGAGACCAGTCTCAGAGGAGACTGGTCAGTCTCAGACATGTTAGACAAACCTGACCTTGGCACACTGGGCTGAGCCTGCTGGTGGGCTGGGAGCTGGGGGCCGGTAGTGGCTGGCATGCCCTGAGATGCGCTGGGGCCTGGGCTGGGCAGGCTTTGGGCTGGGCCTGAAGCTAGTCTCAGCCACGAGGCTGCGAAGCCATGGGTGGGTTGCTGGCTGCCGGGCAGCCGGACGCTGGTTGTGCCTGGAACTTGGGCTGGGCGGGCTGGGCTGAGCTGTGCTTGGGCGGGTTGCTGGATGGGCAAGGCCTGTTTCATACACACTTGGGCCCGAGGCTGGGTGGCGAGTTGGCTGGGCTGGGCCTGAGGCCAGTCTCAGGCTGGCGTACTTTGAGACGGGGCTGGGCCTGCTGGATGGCTTGGGGCCAGACGCAAGCAGGAGGGGCTGAGTTGCTTGGGCAGCCGGACTGAGGGGGCTGGGGCACGTCAGACGGGCTTGGTGGCTGGCATAGCTTGAGACCAGTTTCAGACACGTGAGACTGGGTCGTTGGCGTTAGACAAACCTGACCTTGGGGCCGGCCTAGGGCCTGGGCTGGGCGCTGGGCTGGGCTTGCTGGATGACTTGGGGTAGGCCTGTTTCAGACAAGCTTGGGCCTGAGGCTGGGTGGGGCTGACAGGCCTGGCCAGCAGGCGGGTTGCTGGTTGGGCTGGGCCTGAGCCTAGTCTCAGACACGTCAGGCAGGCCTGGCCACCAGGAGGTCATGCTTTTCAGGACAAAAAAGCAATTTTTTAGTGATTTTCGCAATTGTCAGCACATTTTCGACAAAAATGGACCCATGGAGCTGGACGCCGACGAACCCCGAAAATTTCAAGGCCCGCCGGACAGGATTTTGGGTCCAGCCGACATGGGTTGGGGGGGGCGGCCCGGCAAAATTTTGGTCGGGGAGGGGGTTGGGGGAGGGGAAAAGCGAAGATTCTCTTTGGAGAAGAGATCTGAGCGCCCTTGGCCCCTTTGGGGCCGAGGCGAATTGCCCTTGGATCTCTGAGGGGTCGCTATGGGCAGGGCATGGGTTTGCATGGGGCCCAGTGAAACAGCTGCCATAGCAATGGCCTATCTTGGTAGAACAGAAAGGGTTGATATAAGGCTCTAAATGATTGCCAATCATTTACTCCTCCATGGCTAACTTTGCCCAACCCATTCTAATTGTTTAAGCCCAAAACTTCCAAATAAAAGGTTAAACTTAGTGGGTGGAAAGACCCTTTGCCCCTTTAAGTGTCCTTTGAATGGGTGAAATGGGATGATGGACTTGTAAACTGATTGGGAAGGGTGGCTTTTTACAACGTACGCCTTGTGTCGGGTCCAGGCGCCGTGGGTGTGCCGCCGAAGTGGGCAGTGGAGAAGCTGCACGCGGGGGGCGTGGTGATCGCCAACATGGCGCCCCCGGCGAGAAAGCTCGTGCCGATGCAAACCAGCCTGGTTTTGACCGCGGGGAATCAAGATCAGAACAGAAACTGGGGTGGTTTCTCTTTGACCTGGTTCACCTTCATCAGCTGATTTAGAGGATTCCCTTGCAAAGCATATATGTTTGTTTTTTGGATGTATCCTGTAATGAACCCTTTTCCGTGCCTATATATCCCTTTGTCTATGTTAAGGCGAGCTCACATGGAGTTCACATGGGGGTAAAACAAGCAAACGCCACGACACAGGTTTTCTATTTGCAGATCCCTTAGTTTCAGAATTATCGTACCATTTGCAATCCCGACTCCTTTATCTCGGTTCCATAGGGCGATCATGTCGAAGCGTTCTCTCAATTTCTTGCAGTGACGATCCAGATGGTGATTTTCGAGGACGCACAATTCCCGTCATGTTCCACTTTGACTTGTGTTTCCCCTACTGCCTCCTTGTGTCAAAAACTGGAATTGGGGATTCCCCTACCCCCTCCTCCTTAGAGGAATCTCTTCTCGTTTTCTCCTGCAACCTTTCAAGGCGGTTTTGCGACCGGCTTCGGTTTGGCTGAGAACGTTCTATTTGGGGCGCCTTATAATTTTTGGTTGGCGATATGGAACAAAAAGATGTATCTCGCTTTTGGTTCCTGCCCAGTACTCAGTGGCACTCTTCATCCCTTGTGGTTTTTTCTGGGCTTCAGTTCTTTGTTTTAATGCTTCTCAGCCCTCGTTCTGCTCGGAGATCTCTCGGTTCGGAATGGTTGGAAGTCGCCCCAAGGGCCAATTTCTTGGTTTCCCCAACGACACTGAAAGCTGGTCGAGATGGTCATGTTTCAGCTCAGAAAGCCGGGAACCAAGACAGTGCAGCCCGATACTCCTCTTTTGGCTGAAAACAAGCATTGCCTTTTGGGCTTTTTGGTTTAAATAGCACATATGACCTTAAGGAAACCAAAAGGGGATGGGTCTTCGTTTTGCTTTTCCCACGCCCAAACAAGGAAGCGGCTGGTCGTTTTTTGTTTTTTAATGATGCCGATTTCTCCGAGGTGGGTTCGGTGCGGAACACTGAGAAAGCGCTGGACGCCGGGGTGGACGTAATCATTGCCCAGGGCAGCGAAACTCAGTCGGTGGCTGGGGGTGTCCTTTCAGCAACCAGGGACCGTGCTACAAACCACTCCCCAAAGACCCCACACCTTTGAGCTCCTGGTTACGGGAGTCAATAGAATTTTGGGATCCCCTATTTGGGCGCATACCCACTGAGTTTCGTGGGGGTTTAGGGAATGATCGCCGAAAGTTGATTCCCTCATTAAACCCGCTTGTTCATTGCCCACCAGAACGAGACCCCCCTTGCAGAGTCCAAAAATCAAGGGTCGATATTAGCTGAGGCGGACGGACACTTGCGGCAAATACCACTGTGGCCCGTTGGTACCTTGGTGCTACGTAGCACATGTGTTCTGTAGCTTCCCCAAAAGGAATCCGAGTATGTTATTGTTGTATCCACGGGCTGTGCGTTGATTCATGTGGGTGCTATAAACGCAGATCCTCAGAAGCACTGTTCACCCTTTCCTGTTGGTTTGGCGGGTTCCCACTAGAAATTGAACCCCCAAAAGCATTGTCTTCCCAGTCGCAAGGTGCCTTTGGCAATCCAAGCGAGACAGTGACATAGCGAAATAGCGGAAGACTTTGGAAACGCGTGGGCTTCGGGCTCGGCCTTGTTCCGCAAGAAGCATCCACCTACCTCATGGGCTCAAAAGCTAGTCCTGGGCAGATGAAGTTCATCAGGCGCAGTCCCTTCCACGTAAGGTTTGTTGGAAGAGCCTGAAAAAGGAGCTGACCATGACACGAGTTCTCAAAATTAGTTGTAGCGAGCATAGTGAACGGGGGCTAAGCGAAGCTCGCGACCCGAGATGAAGGTGCCTCCGGGGGGGTGGGGGGTTCTGTTTTCAGGTTGCCGATTTGATTGGGAATTGCCAGTGAAGATGCTTCCCCCAAAGGCATCAAGCAAGAGAAACCTCTAAGAACCACCCCCGCCTTGGCTTCAACTTTGTTTTTGGAGAGAACAACCAGGATCCATGCCCGCTCGGCTTGGGAAGCTTGGGCTTGATGAGCCGTTGTTACAAAGGGATGTACAAGAGCCTTCTTGCCGATGTAACCTTGTCGCACCCTGAGCCAAGATTTGAGGAAATACCGGGACCCGGTGTAAGTTTCTTGTCTCCATTTGCTGAAATGAGTATTGATATTTCTCTTGTTGGTTTTAAATTCTATCACTACTGGACATATTCGTTGTAGTTTTTTTTTCAACCAGGGAGCAAACGCGCAAAGGGAAGTTGCTAATTACAGCTAGGCAGAGCTAAGAGCCTGGCAAAGAGACCGCACCCGGGGCGGCCCGAAAGACTCGTGTCAGCCAAGGAGGGGGGCGGCCACACGGGCGACATCGGCACCATGTGCTTGATACCACAGGCGCACCATCGGCAAAACGGGCGGGGCAGTCAGACGGAAGGATAGCCACCAGGTGTCTTCCTGTGCGCAAAAGGTGTGCTTGTCGCTGCTGTGAGTCTTGCGATGCCAATTTTGTCACACAATTTTACCCAATTGCAGGACCTCCCTAAAGTCATGATTGTCTGAGGAGTCTTTTGTGCTTCTCCTTTTGCCGGCTTTGGGTTCCCCCATAATGATTGGTTCATGTCTTTTTTTGACATCGTTTCGTTTTGTATTGTTCTTCATGCTCGTTGGTCCCATGTTTTAGTAGATGTGTTCCGTGTCTACTTTTGGATTCCTTTTTGGGTTCCTTTGGTGTGTTTCCCATTCTTTCTTGTTTGGTTAGCTTAACCATTCATTTTGGGTTTTCTCGTGGGTGTTTGGGTGTAAGTATTCTTTCTGCTTCTGGCTTCTGGGCTCCTGTTCCCACCTTATCCTTTTTGGGTTCCCCCCCCCCCCAAACACAAACAATAATTATCTCTCCCCCACCCAAAAAAGAAACACCCCCCCCAATGCAAAAGAGCAAGACAAAGGAATCAGAAAAGGGAGAACAAAGCAACTCCTTTCACACCCAGTGTTGTCCCATTGCCCCAGGTGGCGGACGCGTGCCGCGGCCACGTGAACGCCTTCGGCTCCCCGGTGCTCTGCGTGGCCGCGGGGGGCATCTTCGACGGCCGCGGCCTGGCGGCGGCACTGGCGCTGGGGGCCGCCGGGGTCTGGGTGGGCACGCGCTTCATTTGCGCGGAGGAGCTTAGGAGTTGACTTGGCTCAACCAGCGATCCGGTTCCTTAGCTTTTTAGCCTTGTGGGATGGAGCTTTAGAGGGCCTCTCAAAAGCCTGGGAGATGAAGACTTCCCCCTTTTTCCCTTTTTTGGCGGTAAAGTGTCCATTGGCTGAAATGAATATGGTGGCTCAACTAGCCATCCGGTTCCTCTGCTTTTTCGCTTCTTGGGACGTGGGTTTCCATTTAACCCGCTAAAAGTGCTACTTTTAGCAGGGGAGCTGAGGACAGCCCAGAGTTGACTGGGCTTTTGGGGTGTGGCAGTTTTGATTTTTATTTGCTGAAAATAATAGTGTATTTCCTCGGTAGTTTCTCTAGGGTGGTTTTTGGGTTCCGATGTTTGACTTCAAGAGAGGCTTGTCTCCCAGAAAAAGCCGTTTTGACATCAACGGCCGGGTTTAGTCTTCCTTGGAGAATTCTACAGGTTGGTTAAAGGGAGGCCACAAGGAAAGTCACATGTTTTGAGAACCCGGAGGGCTAGGCATAGGGATTCAAGCAGCTTTCTGGGACAGAGTATACCTTAGGCTAAAAATGAACCTATCTGAACATATGATTTTCCGTTTTCCCCACATCTGGGGGTTGGGTTAGGCTTCTTTTGCAAGCCAGTCGTTTTGGATGTCTCTGGGTTGCTATATGTGCCCTTCTATTGAGGGGGTACTTTAAGTAATTAAGACCACAATTAGTCATGGAGTCATGAGGTTAGGCAGAGGTCACTACAGATTGCTTCTCTGCAGGTCAACATGGGACCAAAGACAGTTGTTTGAAAGATTCAGGGCAGGGGCCTTTCTGTTGAGCGCCTCGGATTTACCTCAGAGGAGTCTGCAGCTCCCAAGTCCCACAAGGACAAGGCCGGAATCAGAGACGAGATCACCCCGTGTGGGATCTAATGTTGTTTCGAATAGGAGACCCTCAACATGGTGCTAGTTCTGTTGGTTTCCCTTCAAGCTGAAAAGGGCACCAGCCAATAACAACAGCTACCCAAATGTCAAAGGATAGAGAGGTTTCGGATGTTTTGGGCAGTGGTTTGCAGGAGAGGTTTCGGATGTTTCTGGAAGGTGTTTGTAGGGTCTTTGCTTACTGTCGAGCGTTTGATTCGTGTTGCGCACGCCGAACTCTGAGCCTTCAGAACCTGAAGTCAGGCCTTGTTGAAGCGTACCCGATACCCCCGCCCAAGAGCTCGGTGACGTGTTTCCCTTGTTTGGCCTTGGAAAAACACAAAACCGACCCGCAAGGGTTCCTTTGGCAGGGATTGCCCATTTGGGATTGCGTCATCAAGATCCATTCACCCCGATCTGCGGAATCTGTGTTGTTTGTCACCAAACATGAGAGGCAGCGCACACCATCGCGCACTTTGAAAAGGGCTCCTGAAAACTGCGATGTCTCCCCGTAAACATCACCCCACCAAGAGGCAAACGGGCAAATTTGGTCCAAAAAGGGATGTTAACACCTGCAAAAGGGATGAGAGTGAACATGAATGACCGCAAGAAGTGACTCCTGCAGGAAGCCACGAGGGAAGGTTCGGTGGGTAATTCCAACCTGGCATCCCGTATGGCCGTTATTTTTGCAGGTCGAACCCCCGTATTTGACCATATGTTTAGTTTTTGTCCGGTTATTTGCGCCTACGACCCGTATATATGAACTCTGTTCTTTGTTCAACATCTTGTTGCAAAAAAACACACACATTCAAAAACAACAATATCAAAAACGTTAAAAAACATGCACATTCCGGTGCCATGTTTTCTTGGGGTCCAAAGGCGTAGGACCCCAAATAGCCAACGCGGGCCACACGGGGGTCGGCCACGAAGCCGCAGGTGATCGCCTCCTCCAGCGCGGACACGGTGCGCACCTTGGCGGTGTCCGGCCGGCCGCTGCGGCTCATCCCCAACGCGCCTCGACCCAAAATCGGCGAAATCGGCGCCAACGGGATCCGGGGAAGGTTGAAAATGTGGTCAGGAGCTCTTATTTTGGGGGCACGACTTGGTTTTTGGTGGATGAACCCCTTTTTGTGAAGGGTCATGGAGACTCCAGGGTGTTCGGATTGTCCACTGTAGTTGTTATACAACAACGTGGTCGTTCCAACATGACCCTGAAATTCAAAGGGCTGCGTTTTTAAGTGTTTTTTTTGATACCAAAGAACCTCCCTTCAAAGTGACAAAGTGGTCATTGTTGGATGAGAACACTGTGGTATGACTGCGGTTGTGTTCCGCAAGGCCTTGGAGTACTTTTCGGGTCTCCAATCCCCTTTGGAATGTTCGGCCGAGGGTGCGAACGATTTACTATGTGTTTCGGTGAACGAGTGTTGGATATGTCCTTTTTGTTTGGTTATGTTGAGGTTTACATCATGTTGATATTGTTTCGTTTTTTTTTTTTTACAGTCTGAGTCAGGTTTGGCGCGCGCACGTCTTTCAGAAGACGACTGTTCTTTGGGAAGGGCTCTGTCCACAGGATGGGGTTTGGGTCATTGCCCTTAAAAGGGATCATGTTTAAAAGGGACTGGTGCGCTCCGTGTTAGGATCCCTCAAATGGCTTAAAGAGGTGGTGCGCAGATTAGGGGGTGTACCATCCTTATTTTGTTTCAAGCAGGGAGTCTTTTTGGAACCCTTCAACATGGTTGGTCATGACACTTGTTGGGCTGCCTTTGGATGAACATTTGCCCATTTTCGGTTATTAGTGATGTATTGATCCAAATAGAGAATCCAATAAGGCATCCCATTTCCCCCTATTGGGTAGTCAATCATTTCAGGACTCTTGTTTAACTAAACCAATCCAGAAGGCAATCAAAGCAATGCAGTGCTTGTTCCACTTTAATCTCCATCCTTGCAATCGAGGATTGGATCAAGAGCTGGGAGCGCGAGCCGCAAAAGGTGAAGGACGGCTCTGCTCTTTGATGAGCTCGCTGCCTCTTCAACAAGCTCACCCAGCCAGGGCTCCTTCCTTGGGGCTCGCTTGTTTCAGGTCAGGGAAATTTTATTGCCCTAGATTTGACGCGCTTCAGTTCATAACTCCCTTTTGGAACACTTGGCCTCTTGAAAACGGCGTTTGTGCGCTCAACAAAGTTTGACAGGAGGGAAGTTTTCAGCACGGTTGACAGGCAATTCATTGGTTTGGCGGCCTACGGACCGTACCCACATGCCAAGAGGCCATAGCATACACACACACATATATTAATAGTTGTAAAGGCTTCGCGCTGCTCGCCTGTTTAGAGTCTTCCTTTGAGGGCAACCTGGGCAGCTGGCAAGAAACGACGCTCATGCCTCCCATGCGTGAAAGTATCAGCAGGCGCTTGGCAACGGTTGGCACTGAAGGACAGCTGGGGCTAGGTGGCTTTCCAAGTGCCACGGCTACAGCTGGGCTGGGAGCTGGGAGCTGGGGCTGGGAGCTGGGGCTGGACACGTGACTGCGCGGCGTGGCTGGAGAGCCACAGCTGTAGTCGAAGCGACGGCCACGCGCCGCGTCGCCCCAAGGGCCAGAGAGGCGCAGAGCAAAGTACAAGTGAAAAGCTCGGCTTCGATCAAGAGCTGAGCAAATGTTTGGGGGGTCGCGGCTGCGTGGCTTGCAAGCGGTGGCCAGCCTGAGGGCTGTAGGTCAATCTCCGAGGCGCGAGGGTGGAGTGCCGTGCCGCGCTTCCTGCTGCAGACCGCCCTGGCGACGTGGGTTGTGGGGGGCGAATCCAAGTTGGAATGGGATGGGGTTTGGGAAGATCCCTCTGACCTAATTTGGAAGTGATACGCATATTTAACACGAGCAATTGCGTTTCCGTACAGAATGCTGCGGCAAAGGCCGGGCAGGCACACTATGAGCAACGTACAGGTGCCAAACGAGGTAGGTTAAGTAGCAGGGGACCTTTGGGTAATAATATATATATAGATATATTTATACATATCTACACAAAAGGCCAACCAAAAAGGGCTTTTCAGTCTCTCTCTCCTCTCTCTCTATATATAGATATTTAAGCGCTTCGCGACACAGCCGGCCACCGGGAAAATGCACGTGGGGCGCTGGCCCCCCAAAAAACGTTCGTTTTTGACTCCGCGGGGAGTCGGTCCAAAAGCGACCCCTTTTCGCCCAGAACACGCCCGAACATCCTTTTCCCCCTGGCAGCGAGGTCACAGCGCAAAAGTATAGCGCATGGTCGGCGCATGGTCGGCGGTGGTCGGCGGCACAGGGGAAAAAAGGTCGTGCGCAGCAGCATGAGCCACAACATGTAAAAGGATTAAGGTGCTGGCTGATTCGCTGCATGTTGGCAAAACACAGTGTTTTTTATTGCTCACCTAAATTCCTGCCCAAAATCGAGTTCGGCCGGGATCGTCGAGGCCTGCCTGCCAAGCAGGTTTCGATATGTTCCACGTTCGCACCCGCCAAAAACCTTGAAAAACACTGTGTGTTTCACGTTTTCGGCAAGATTGGCCCAACCTAGGGGTCAACATCCCCCGCATCACCGGCATCATCTGCATCAGTGCCCGCCATGGATGCGGATGATTAGTAGATGTTAAGATTTTAAAATTCTAAAAACTTTGAGATTCTAAGGGTCTCAGATTTGAAGACTTTCGGAATTTAAGGTTTCAATGGTTTAAGAATTAAGGTTTTAAGATTCAAAGATTTAAGGTTTTGGAAGGCTATCACAGCCAGGCCATTGCCCAGCCATTTTCCATCCATTATCAGATTTCGGATGTTTTAAGATTTTATTTTTTGTGAGATTTTCAGATTTGGCGACTTTCGGAATTTAAGATTTTAAGATCTTAAGATGTCAAGACTTCAAAATTTCAAGATTAAGAGTTTAAGGAATTTAAAATATAGCCCGGATTGAAGGAATTTTATTATATATTTTTTCTTGTTTATGAATTTAAGATTTTCAGATTGCAATAGTTCGAGATTTAAAGAAGTTAAGTTTTTGAAGCTTTTAAGATTCTGAGATTGAAGATTTTGAGAGTTTGAGTGTTAGATTTTAATTTAAGATTTTAAGAATCTAAGACTTTAGGATTTTGAGATTTCAATCCAGGCCATTTTCCATCCATTTTCCATCCACTTTAAGATTTTAAGATTTTCAGGTCGCACGTTTTCGGCAAAATTGGCCCGACTTAGGGGACAACATCCCCAGCATCCCCCGCATCACTGGCATCATCCGCATCAGTGCCCGCCAAGGATGCGGATGATGCAGGTGATGCCGGGGATGTTGTCCACTATGGGCACCCCCCAAAAAACACTCGTTTTTTGACTCCTCGAGGAGATGCTCAAAAAGCCGCCAAAACTCGCCTGAACAAATCCGTAAATCCTTCGCCCCTTATAAGGGCGGGCCCAGCGCAAAAGTATAGCGCATGGTCGGCGCATGGTCGGCAGTGGTCGGCGGCACAGGGCGGCCGGCCTTATACCTGAAGGTAGGCCCTGCGGGCCTAGGCCTTCGGCCGTATCACGGACCACGGGCTGAAGCCCCCCGGTGGCCGGATTTACACGCTGACGCGACACAGCCGGCCACCGGGCACCCCTTCCCGTTCTTTCATTTCCTTTCCCTCTAAGTCCTGTTACTTCTCGGGATAATTTGAACTTCACTTTCTTTGCATGTCTTCCCTGACAGTTTCCTGGCATGTCCCTTCACTTCCTTCCACTTCACTGCCGCTTCAGCTCCCTTCATTTCCTTGAAGACTCCTTTGTTCGCATTCCTGTCCCTTTTCGTTCCCGCTGTCCGGTTCTTCACGTTCTGCCCTTGCATTTTCCTGCATCTCGGTTTCTCTCCATTGCCCTCTTCATTTTCGTGTGCAATTCCTTTGACTTTCCTTTTGTGCACTTCCAGTCACTCCTGGTTCCTTGCATTTCCCCTTTAGCCCATTGTGTCGCATCGCCAGCATGCACAACATCATCCGCATCATCCAGGATGATGCTTGCAATGCTGGGGGTGTTGTCCAGTTTTAGGCACCCCCAAAAATACTCGTTTTTTGGCGCTGCGGGGAGATGCTACAAAAATTGCCTAAACCAATCTGCGAATCCTTCGCCCCTTATAAGGGCGGGCCCGGCACAAAACGTATGCGCATGGTCCGCGCATGGTCGGCGGCATGGGGCGCACGGCCTTATACCTGAAGGTAAGCCCTGCGGGCTTGGCCTGCGGCCCGATCACGTCCGGTGGCCGGATTTAAGGGCTGCCGCCCAGTGCCGCTGACCCCGGGATTTAGTTGTGGTTTTCGAGCAACCAAAAACAGCGCCCTTGGTTTTGGGTTCTTTGGTTTCTTTTTGACCCAAATGGCATCTGAGGCGAGGTGCCGTTTCGACAGTGATGCGTAGTCATGATTATGATCATCGCTGCTGGAGATGCTGGGGATGCGTAGTGATGATTATCCTCATGATTGCCAGAGATGCTGCGAATGATGCGTAGTGATGATTATCATCAAGGCAGGACTCCAAATCTCAATGACACAAATGGCATCTGAGGCGAGGTGCCGTTTCGATGTGATGCGTAGTCATGATCATCGCTAGGCACCCTTGGTAATGCAGAGGATGCTACGATGATAGTGATCATGACAGTCATCCGCAGCTTTGGTAATGCAAAAAATGCTACGATGATAGTTATCATAAGAGTCATCATCCTCATCATCTTCATGATGATTGTCATCATAGTCATCGCCTTCATCATCGTCATCATGATATTCGGTATTAGGCATCCTTGGTGCAGATGCAGAGGATGCTACAGAGGATGATGAGTTATCATAAGAGTCATCATCCTTATCATCTTCATGATGATTGTCATCCTAGTTATCGCCTTCATCATCGTCATCATGATTTTCTTCTATCTTTCTTCTATATACATTTGAAATGCATCCTTGGTAATGCAGAGGATGCTACGATGATAGTTATCATGACAGTCTTCCGCAGCTTTGGTAATGCAGAGGATGCTACGATGATAGTTGTCATAAGAGTCATCATCCTTATCATCTTCATGATGATTGTCATCATAGTCATCGCCGTCATCATCGTCATCATGCTTGTCATCATCATCATCATCATCATCTCTTCCTTCTATTCTTCTATCTGAAATCATATAAAACTCTGATGACAAACACACACTTTTAACCAGCCTGAGTAAACAAATAATAACAAAATAATAACTTCATATTTCAAATGTGGCGTTAGGAACCTTTGGTAATGCAGAAGATGCTACGATGATAGTTATCATAAGAGTCATCATCCTTATCATCTTCATGATGATTGTCATCATAGTCATCGCCTTCATCATTGTCATCATGATCATCATCATCATCTCTTTCTTCTATCTTTCTTCTATATACATTTCAAATGTGGCGTTATGATTGTCATGAAGATGATAAGGATGATGACTCTTATGATAACTATCATCGTAACATCCTCTGCATTACCAAAGCTGTGGATGACTGTCATGATAACTATCATCGTAGCATCCTCTGCATTACCAAGGATGCCTAACGCCACAATTGAAATGTATATAGAAGTATCGAAGAAAGATAGAAGAAGAGATGATGTGACAATTGATGATGACAATGATGATGACGATGATGAAGGCGATGACTAGGATGACATTCATCATGAAGATGATAAGGATGATGACTCTTATGATAACTATCATCGTAGCATCCTCTGCATTACCAAAGCTTCGGATGACTGTCATGATAACTATCATCGTAGCATTCTCTGCATTACCAAGGGTGCCTGATGATATATATCATCGTAGCATCCTCAGTGCCGGCTAACAAGAGATGATGATGACCATGATGATAGTGATGATAAGGATGAGGACTGTGATGATAACTATCATCGTAGCATCCTCTGCATTGCCAATGGGGTCTAACGTTACTTTTGAAATGCATATAAGAATAAGAATATGAATGAGATGATGATGATCATCATGATGATGATGACAAGAGCGATGACATCATAATAAGGATGATCATGATGATGATTATGATGATAACTATCATCATAACACCCTTTGCATCACCAGTGCTGCCTATTAAGAGATGATGATGACATCCTCGGCATCACCAGTGCCGGCTAATAAGAGATGATGAGAGGACTGTGATGATAAGTATCGTCGTAGCATCCTCTGCATTGCCAATGGGGTCTGACGTTACTTTTGAAATGCATATAAGAATAAGAACAAGAATGAGATGATGATGATCATCATGATGATGATGAGAAGAGCGATGACATCATAATAAGGATGATCATGATGATGATCATGATGATAACTATCATCGTAACACCCTTTGCATCACCAGTGCTGCCTAATAAGAGATGGTGATGAGCGTGATGATACTGATGACAAGGATGAGGACTGTGATGATAACTATCATCGTAGCATCCTCGGCATCATCAGTGCCGGCTAACAAGAGATGATGATGACCATGATGATAGTGATGATAAGGATGAGGACTGTGATGATAACTATCGTCGTAGCATCCTCTGCATTGCCAATGGGGCCTAACGTTACTTTTGAAATGCATATAAGAATAAGAATATGAATGAGATGATGATGATCATCATGATGATGATGAGAAGAGCGATGACATCATAATAAGGATGATCATGATGATGATTATGATGACAACTATCATCGTAACACCCTTTGCATCACCAGTGCTGCCTAATAAGAGATGATGATGACATCCTCGGCATCACCAGTGCCGGCTAATAAGAGATGATGATGTTGAATGATATAGAAATGATGATGATGATGTTGACGATGAGAATGATGAAGGATCATATCGATGATGATGATGATGATGATGATGATGATGGGCATCCGTATGATGCCAGTAGTCATATGCTTGCCTCAAAGATTAATCCATGCGCTTGTACTGCAACCACCCTTCCCGTGCGCCTCCCCTTTGAGGAGAAGGGGTCGGCGGATATACACAATAGATTTGTATTATGCAAGAGGGGCAGCTGCAACCCAGCGGCGCCAGGAGTTGTGTGACCAGGGCATCGTCCCCTTGGAGCACGACCTGAAGAAGGCCTCCGAGGACCGCCGCCTGCGCAGCGCCATTTTCGATGCCATCAACAGCCTGGCGGGCCAGGCCGGGGCTGGTAGCCCGGGACCTAAGCGGGGTCAGCTTGTTTTTTTGCCGTTGTTTTCACATGCGTTTTTTTGCATGTTTGTATGCATATTATATATATATATATAGAGCTATACATATATGTACCAGTCCCTGGGCCACGCACCCCCCCCCCCTCCCCCCAATGGTATGGTCCCCCCACTCCCCCGCATCATCCGCATCTTGGGGATAATGCTGGCAATGTTGGGGATGCTGTCCAGTACCGTGCGAGCCCTGCAGCTTCGGTCCCAGACCCCCTTTCACCCCGTGAACCAACACACCCGCACCCCTCGCAACATCCTACCCTAAACCAAACCACCCTGCAACCCCTCCTTAACCCCAACCCTAAGCCTAAATCAACCCAAACCCCAAACCCACCCGAAACCCACCGCAAACCAACCCTGAACCAACCCTGAACCAACCCTAAACCAACCCACCAAGCCTCAACCAACTCCGAACCACACCCCAACCACCCCACCACCCCACCACCCCACCACCCCACCACCCCACCACCCCACCACCCCACCACCCCACCACCCCACCACCCCACCACCCCACCACCCCACCACCCCACCACCCCACCACCCCACCACCCCACCACCCCACCACCCACACCACCCCACCACCCCACCACCCCCACCCCAACCACCCAGCCACCCCACCACCCCACCACCCCACCACCCCACCACCCCACCACCCCACCACCCCACCACCCCACCCACCCCACCACCCCACCACCCACCCCCCAACCCCCACCAGGGGGGGGGGGGGGTTGGGGCGGGGAGGGGGGGGGGAGGGGGGGGGGTCCACGGCCTGGAACATATAGTTAAAAATTAGGGTGCCTCAAAAATGGGGTCATCTACCAAGCATCAGGTCAAGACCCCACTTTCAAAGGGTCATGGAGACTCCAGGTAGACTAACTGTCTGAAGCCGAGTCATAAAATAGACGAAGTTGTTTGTCTACCCCACGTGGCAAGTCCACGATTTAGTCACCATTTGCCGGATTTGAGTCACACAAATCCTGAGTCAGGGTAAGTGAGAAGGTTGGCAAGGGACGTGTGAACTGTTTAGCAGTGTTTTTTTTTTGCTCTTTTGTCCATGGTAGTCTGAGAGGTATTGCTAATTCTAAATACTGACTCCTTAGTTTTGTTTTCATGATCTCGAGCCCGTATTTGTGTTCTTTTTCGACGGGTTTGGTTTGGGAGGATGTGTTTCAGAGTGTTTGGGATAGAAACGTTTTGTTTCATGAAGGTTCGTTTTAGGAGGGTCTATTTGAGGTTTGCTTGCGGGCTTTAACAGCCTGACCATACTCCGTGAGCAGTTTGCCGTGGACTGTTTGAGCGGTGCACTGCCATGTTCGGATATTAACGTATGCCCAGGTCAATTTGAGTTCGGGACATCCCATGTCCACAGAGAGCCGCATATTAGAATGTGTGCTGATTGTGGCAACGTATGTCTTGTTGCTGGGTCGTTGAAGGGACTAAATGATCGAACGTGCATTGGAGGTACCGTAAAATCAAGTTCAAACGTGATTCCATAATCATGGGGTACTTAGAAATCGATTTCAGCAACGGGGCACTTCCAAAACCAGCAGGGACGAATGCGCGGGACGTCTTTCGCCCCGTTTTTTTGGGTTCGTCCGCATCCAAAAAGGGCCGGGCGGCTGTTGGATTTTTTTTCCAGGCGACCGGCGGCGTAAGATCCGTGGAGCCGGCCAAGAAGATCGTGGAGGACACCGGATGGGCCATTCGCCATGGCAGAAGCCGGCAGTGGTTGGGTTTCCATGTTTTTTGCGGGGGGAACCTTGTTGGAAATCCCTGGTTGGGTTAGTTTCCAATGAATTTACATGGTGGGTACTTAAAGCCAAACTTTACGTGTAATCGCTTCCCCCTGTTGCCTCCCAGAACCCCCCCCCAAACATACTTATTAACAGTGTCCCGGGTGTCTTTTCTTCTCAAATGTCCAGCTGGCCACTGGAGGAGAAGAAATGCACTTTTGCCCTTTACACTGTAGGCTCATTTTGAGACGCTCCAGGTCTGCGTCCTTTTGAGCTTTCTTGTATTTCCTTCGCGCCGGCCGTGCTGCGACACCGTTCTTCGCATAAATACATATCTTGCGTACCAGTACTACCCACAAATTTATCAGGGCCTCGTGGTTGCATGATTTTAGTGAGTAGTAGTTGAACAAAGAAACTGCTGAACCTGCCCCTAACAAGGGCTGTCTGAAGTTTAGTACTGGTTGGTTCGGTATTGCATCAATTAAGAGCAAAAGAAAAACCGCCTTTCTAGATTTGTCCTGAAGAAAGATATCTAGTGATAGGGGTGGACTAAATAATAGGGGGAAGGGTCAACTATTCATAGCCCCTTGCATACGGCTGGGTGAAAGTAGACGGCACAATTTCACAAAAAGGGAATTGTGGCATCCTCTTTTGCCCTGGCGGAAGAATGGGGTCACCCATGACGCAGATTCCTTAGGCCAGTTCGTGTACTTTGTGGGGACGAAGAGTATTGACCTTGATTTGTGTGTGTGCCACGGTCACAACTCTCTTCTACGTTTAGGGTGGTAGGAGAAGATAAAGGAAGAGAAAGGTAAACCAATACCTACGATGAAGGTTCCTTTTTTTATGTGTTTTTTATTTTTAATAAAAATAAACATCTATAGACTTTGTGAATCCATTCGCATTCAATGTTTTTTGGGGGACCGGGAGAGGGGGGGTCCTCTAACGAAGAATTTGTGAATTGATCGATATGATTCGCCCAGTTCGCTTGGTATGCGTATTTGTGATTGTATTCACCCACCGTGGGCCTCCAGCGCCTTCGCGAGCAGGACATGGTGGCGGAGGCAGGCAGCATCCTCCGCTGCAGCGCCGCGATGAGCAAGCTGTGAGTACATAGGTGGGTGTGGGTCAAAATTAAACCACCAGTCGTTGGTTACATGTACCAGCGCAAGCCATTTTGGCTACCCATTTTTGACCCACAGCCAGGTGTCCGCTGTCTTTATTTGCGTGATACAGCATGCGTCCGGCAGCCTTTGAACTGCCACAATGGCAAGTCGCATTTGGCATTTCGCCTCGCAGAAGCCGGAAGAGATGTATGAATATCATGCTGGACATCCTGCGTGGAGAAAAGCTGCGGAGCTCAAGTCAACTTGGCTCAACCAAACAAAAACACATGGTCACGACAAGCAAGGAAGCAAACAAACAACAACCAAGCAAACAAATGACAACGCAAGCAGGCAAACAAACAGCAAGCAAGCCATTTGGCAAGCAAGCAAGCAAGCAAGCAAGCAGGCAAGCAAACAAAGAGCAGCAACAGCAACATCAACAGCAGCCACCATGTTCAGCCATATAGAATGTTTGTACTGTGTGACCGCCTCTTGGCCCATTTGCTTCCTGAACAGGCGCCCAGAGTGTCGGTTTGCTCGTCTACGGTCCATTTGGGAGCCTCCTACATTTCTCCGCAAATACCAGAGGACTCGCAAAGTGTCACATGCCCAGTAGAGTAACAGTAAAGTTTGAACGTGGCTCAAATTGGGTCCCTATACTTGGGTTGCCCCAAGCTAGGCGAGTGACAGGTGTTTTTGCAAAGGCAGACGGTTTGCCAAGTATCATAGGCACCTATTGATTGAATGTTGCTCAGGCTTCTTGACTTTTCCCCTAGTGGAAAGGAAGATGGCCCCATTCCCCGACCCCCCCCCCATGTGGAGGTTGACCTAAAGTAGCTTCCCGCTAGATCGTTTACCTTTGCTTATCCACAAGAGGAGACTATCCCGCAAAATTGCTCTCTCCCAGATGCACTGCGGCACTCCTCCATTGCAAAATATTCGCATCTTCGGTCTGCTCCTTTCTGTCTTCGGCATTCGCTTCAGGGCTCTCCAATGTCATGCCATGAAAAGAAAAGCAAGCAAAGCCATGTTCAGACAGCCCACTGGCCAAGCATTTCTTGCAACAGCGCAGCCAATAGCATCGTTACAAGTCACAAAGCCATTGGCACGCTTCCGCCATGTCGGATTGGCGCATGCATGCGGAGTCCTGCCCGCTTTTTGCAGAGTATTTGCTGCTAGCGGAGGAGGCTGGCAGTTTCAGTTGATTCACCAAAGCGTTTCTCAGCATGGCGGACCCCCCTTTTGGTTGGCACTTGGGCAATCAAATGGAATCCGCCCATTTTGGCCGCTTTGAGAAACCTACATACAGGAGCCCTCCGAGATGGTGGGTTTCGATTGGTTTCCCTTGTGGCAACCAAAAGGGGGCTCCACCATTTTCGAGAGGCACCCGAAGTCGGGTGTTCTTTGCTTGCCGAGGCCGGCTGGGAGGAAGTGATGCAGCTGAATGACTTGAAGATTGGCACCAGAGATGTGCTCATCGTGGTGGACATGCAGCGACTCAGCCATATGCTTCCATTTGGTGTTAAAGGGAAGCTATCACTACTGGAATTATGTGTTTTTTTCATTTCAGGGGACTTAAGCAGCCATATGGCTGTTGTCAATGGGATCCCATTTTGGTTGGTAGGTGAATTCACCACCCATTTTAGAGCCTATTTTAGTGGTTGGATTGGGATGTTCACTGGGGGTACGATTTGGATTTTGACGCATAACCATATGTGGCTATGTGTCAAGATTAAACCGAGAGAAAACGGACCGCAGGTGTAGGTCCATGGATCCACCAGGAATCCATTCGGGAGTTTCCCTATCTTTGACCCACAGCCATACATGGCTATAACAAGTTTCACTGGGAACCACTTCAAAAGTAGGTGGTGTACATAGATTGTGACCTAAGTAGCCAAAGAGTCCCCCATCAACATTCACACACATATGTTCATTCAAAGTCAAAAATACGATGGCACATGGGAGAAGTCACTTTCAGCTGCAAGAAAATGATGCTGTCACGTTGTAAAGTGGTTCCATATGGGGTTCTAAAGAAAAGACTTTTGGGTTACTGTTTCCTGGTCAACCAACTACCACTTAGAGATGGCATTTGTTTGGAACCAATTTGTTTCCCGTGCTTGAGGGCAGTTTGGAACCCCTCGCCCTGGCCATGGCCCTGTCTTTCTGTTGGGGAACCCCTTTGCCGGTGGCTCGAGGAACCTCAACCAAGAGCTCGTTTCGGTTGCTTTGCGCAAGGAACGACTTGGCAGCATGGGACAAGCAGATAAGTTCTTGAGATGTCCGTAAGCCTGTAAGGGTTCCCCGGTACCTCCTGAGGCAACGGGTTGTTTCCCGATGTTGTTTGCTGAGTTTCCTTGTGAAAACTGGTCAACCACCACAAGGAGTACCTTGTTCCACCAGGGTCACTGGTTGCAACTGCTTAGGGTCGTAGCCGATTTGGGGCCGGCTGCTGGCTTGGCTGAGTTCCCTCAGCCAAAGCAATCAATTGAACACAAGATCAGCATATGACAAAAACAACCAAACCAGCCGACTCGCCTTTCGCTAGCTTTATGAAGTCGGAGGAATTGTGTTTCCACAGGCCTACTTAGACAGGATGCACACTGCAGTCTTGGGCGTTGGCTGATTTTCGGTTCCATGAGCGAGCAGTTCTTGGGGAGACAGATATCTCACAAGACAAAGCAACAAGCAACCAGGGGTCGCACCCTACCCTTTAAATCTTGGGAAACCCTCAAGGACCCAAGACCCTGAACATGAAGGCTTTTACACCCACTCACTCCCTGAGTTCCTGTGCTTGAAGCTCTTTGCGACGCCAATTTTGGTGATAAGCAAAAAGTTTGGACTTTTCTTGGCCAATCCACGCGGGAAGTGAGCTCAAGGTTTTGGGGGCCTTGTTTCACCCTCTGGGTCTTCTGAAAACACTCTCGAGAGACCCAAGACCCTGAATAGTTGCATGCTTTTGTTTCAAGGTTTTCTGAATATTTGCATGCTTTTACCCAGGTTTTCTGGACATGACGGCCCTTCCCCCCTGAGTTTTGGGCCCCTCCACGGCCCCTTGTGGCTTTTCGTCAAGGAACGACTTCGTCGAAGTGGATCACCTGAATCCCCACGGAGGCGCCTTTGCTGTGGCCGAGGGCAGCTCGGTGAGTCCCCTCATCGTGCAGCTCATGAACCACTTCACCAAATGCGCCTTGGCGAGGAAAGAAAACGAACGAACCACGGAACAGGCGACCTTTTTTCTTGCCTCCTTTTCGGTGAGAAGGGGGGGAGGAAGGTGGAATGGCATTGTTCTTCCCATTTTTCGGTCAACTCTTTTTACCCATAGAAAGGGGTGTCCTTTCCGGTAAAAGGTGTGAAAGATGGACACATGTCCCATTTTGATTTAGCTCCCTTTGACCCAGGGAATTGTTGCCTACTTTGGTGTTCTCTCTCCCTGGCTTTTTGAAATTTATGCACCTGTTTGGATCTGGACCATTTTTTGTGGCAGGTTCAATTCCGGACCCTTTTTGACAAATCCACAAAAGGAAGCGAGGAGAAAAACAGAACGGCCTCGTTTACGGGGGGTAGAAAAACGGCGGAGGGCGAAAACAGGGAGGAGTTGCATTTGGCTTTCCTTCAAATTTCCTTTCAGTCATCAAAAAGGGAGCTTTTTGTATGGAGTCTATGTCTCGGAAGCTGCGATATGAGAAATGAGAGGTGAGAACTGGAGTGCCATTGATGTCCTTGTTCGGTCTTAGCTTAAAGTCAGTAATTCCACTGATTTTTTGTTTTGGTTCTCCGAAAGATGGGCTTGGAACGGCCTGCAAGTGGTTCGCATTGCAAAGGGGCTCTAGCTTTTGGAGTGTTGAAAAGAGGGAGGGGGGAGTTGTCAAACTTTGGAGGGCCTCCGACAACTGGGAATCTGATGCTTGGAGGGGGTTCACCACGGTCGGGGGTCGGTCCGAAGACTCCACACTTGTCTTGATTTGAGCTTCTCTGCCACAACCACATAAAGTGTTGCCATCTGGCCGGATGTCTGGCCGGATGTCTGGCCGGATGTCTGGCCGGATGTCTGGCCGGATGTCTTGAAACATCAGCAAAATTATTATCCGACATCTTTTGGTCTAAAGTTTAAAGGGACACCACCCCCAAGTTATTCTTGAGAACCTCTGGAATGATCACTGCAGGGGGCGAGCCCGCTCATCATCATGAGGCATCCCAGCTCTTACCCGGTGTCTAAGGCGGAGGAGATGTTGTCCTGACCAGCTGCTGGACTGAAGCAGGTGGGTTTTGGCTATGCAACTTGAGCCCAGAATACCGGTCTCGGACAGTTCACGGCTTATTTCTGGGAACACCTTCGCTGGAAATAGCCAACGCTAGAAGGCTCCTTTCCTTCCAGGGTCCCCAGGCAACTAAGTTTAGCAGATTGTCTATTCGGCTGGCTGGCTTTGCCGAAGGGGTTTGTTGACTCCTTTGGCTCCCAATCAACTTGTTTCGCTAAACAGGGCCACCATTGTGCAACCGCCTAAAATACATTTTTAGAGAACCCTGGTTGGTAGAACCAAACACGAATGGTGTTGAGTGCTGCTCCTGCGAGACTGTACGTCACAGAAGCACCACATCAAAAATCGCAATTGGGATGAGCCGTGAGGGCAACTTTGTACTCTTTTCCTGAGAGACATTCAAATTAGCGGCGGTCACGAGTCACCATCTTATCTTACTCCCTGTCTTGCTGGGACTATATATATATACACACTATAATATATATATATATATATATCCATTTTGGGAAGACCACTTGAGTGCTAAACAACGGGCTTTCGCATCCCCATCCACATCGTGCATTGGAAGTGCGCCAATCCGCTTTATCCCACTGAGTCCCGCCAGCTCTCGGTTCCAAAGGCGCCATGAGCCGAGGAGACTACCATCCCAAGAAGCACTGCTCCTTCATCCCGCAGAAGCTTGACTGCTATTGGCTTGGAGCTTGAGACTTTAACTGTTTGGTTGAAACAAAGGCGTTTTCAACACTAAACCCTGAAAAAGCGGTCCACTTTTTGCCTGGGGGTCTCGCCAGCAACCAAGGAAGGGGCCCTTCCCCCCGCACTGCGTCCAGGGCACGCAGGGGTCCTTCTTCTATGAGCCCATCGCCAAGGCCATCTCGAAGCTGCACAACGGGGATGCCCACTACAAGGACGAGGCCGGACTTCCCTCCGAGCTGATGGCTTTTTTGGCAGGGCCCCTGGTGCATTTTGCAGATGGGCGGGAATCAGTTTTGGGTAGGCATCGTTTTTTGGTGCTCGTATTGGTGGCTAAGTGGGGAACTGGGCAGCTTACATTCATCTTCCCGGCGCCACTCTTGTTTTTGTCTGCCAGTACTGCGTGGGTTTAAACGGGTGTCGTTCGTGTTTTAGAGGCCGCTGCTTTGTTTTCATCCCCAAAGAACTAGACTTTAGCCTCGCCGGCAAACTCATGGTCGGAAGCACCTCGTAGGCTCGATCATACAATAGGAAAGGAATCAGCCTTGCGACACAAAGCCCGACTTCACTAGTTTGAAGGTTGAAGCACTTCGTGAGGATGTACTTTGTCGCCGTTTTGACCCCTTAAGGGCCGTTGTTCGCTTTCAGTGTTGGAAGGGTCTGACCCTTTTTGCCCTGAACAGCTGTAGCGAAGTGGCAGAGCAAGCGAGACCTTTCCGGCGTCATGTCGGAGCGAACCCTCACACAGGGAAGTTGTTGAGTAATCGGTTGATCATTTCAACCCCCTACCCAGTGCTTCCAGTTGCCACTATAGCAAGTAACCAGCTGCTGTGTCCGGGTTTTCCGTGATCATTTCCCCCTGCCTGCTGTGTGACGGGAAGCGCTGGAGAAAAGATAGGTCATGCAGAGGGATGCTCTTTCGGGCCCCAAGGCCGCCTTCCTTAGGGTGCCCGGCTGAGTGGGGGGGTGAATGGGTGCGACTTTTTGAGTCGGTCCCCTTCTTTGTTTGGAGTTTTGCGTTTGAAGGAAGCGAAAGGAGAGCTATTATTTCGGGGTTCCCAAAAACACACACACACACACACACAAGAATTTACCCAGATTGAACCGTTGAAGCAGATTTGCTGCATAATCTCAAATGGGGGTAAGACGTTGTTTCGAACATCGCCGTCTCTTTACCTTCCAAGCAAATTGATCTCTAGGTTTTCCTTTGAAGGGGCAGCCGATGTGCAACTATGGGGTCTAAGCCAAGGGCTTGGGGCTGCTTGCAGGTTTTTGGTCGGAGCTCCGTTCAGTTCCGTGGGTTTTGGCGCTGCTCGGATATTTCCTCCGTGGCTGAGTGTTGCCACGGGCGAAAACACCCCCTATACAGATCTTCGGACCCTCCAATGTAGCACCTAGATCGACCAATGTTGGCCTGGTTTGCCTGTGTCAAATTCATCTTGGGAGTGGGCTTTCCTCGACCCTCGCAGCGAACATGGAAGCGCGTTCCCTTTTGGAAACTATGCTTTCCTGGGCAGGTCCGTGAACTTCCCCCATAAGCCTGTATCTTCCAACGAGCGTTATTTTCTGCTCAAGCTGCTATTTGATACGCTTTTTGTGCTTGCGAGCGTTTCTTGGGCAAACGAGCGCTATTTAGTCTTCGAGCGTTAACTCAGCCAACTGGAAGGCCGCTTCGCAAAGGAATTGAGGCTCCGTTGGAGAACAGGTTCCGCAATGCGGTCAATGTTTTGAATCGAGCAGCACCTTTCCTGGATGAAACAGGCCAGGCCGCACAACGAGCGCACATTCCCGCTACAAAAGCACAATTTCCCGCCACACGAGCGCACTTCAAAAAGTGCTAGTTTTGCCACGTTCGGCGCCCGCTGCAAATCTTGCACATGAGTAGCAGAAAGACTGAGCCCACACGCTGAACAGTTTCTTCTTTTCCGATATCCGATCCGAGCGCTTTTTCTTGAACCGAGCGCTTTTCAGATAAACGCGCGGTAATCTGCACGAGCAGAAAATAACGCTCATCGGAAGATTGAGGAGTGTAAGGCTTGGAAGTCGGAAGTCGGAAAGGGTGGGGGGGGGGGGCCTGGGTGGACTTCTCCGAGATGTCGAGGTGCGGATTGCCTTCAAGGGATTCCACGAAGACATCGACTCCTTCGGCTCTTTCCAGTACGACGAGGACAGCGCCGAGGCTGGGCTTTTGGAAAATCAGGTGCCGAAATGGGGGCGGCACACCCGGAGCACGAAAACACCGCACCCTCGAACAAAGGAATTGACCAAAGCCAGGATCGGATGATTGGGGTGGGGTGTGTTAGGAGCAGCTTTATGAAATGTGGTGTTGCACTGCAAGCCTTTGGCAAAGCTCCAAATGAACGTTCCCCCCCCACTACCCAGGCCCTAGCACAACCCGATGTAGATCAATGATATGGCCAAAATTTTAATGGAAATAGGGGAACACCGAGAAAGGTCACCTCCAAAAGTAAACAAAAAAGTCACCTCCTCAAAATGTCAACAGCTTCAGTTTGGTTCGGGTTGGGCTTGTTCCATATCCATCCGCCAGGGGCGCCTGGCGAAGACGGAGGAGGTGGAAGAAAAGCGATTGCACGGATGTAGCCTTTGCGCCTGGACTGGGGCGGTGATTTTGGAGTCCTCCAACCAGGCGAGGTGCTGGATCCGCGCGTTGGGTGCTTTCGGTATCCATGCAAGGCCTAGAAGTCACAACCTGGAGTTTCCTTCTGACCCTTTAGAAATGGGTCCACGACCCCATTATTTGGGTCAGGGACCCATTTTTAACGGGTCATGCAGACTCCAGGTATCCATGCAATGCAGGGAGAGGCAACAACCGCTGTGGCTTGCGTCTTGCGGCTTGCCTGGAAGCACTGGGCTGGGCAATCGTATTGTTTGCTTGCTTACGATAGTGGCAACTGGAAGCAGGGTGGGGAAGGCTGGAGGGAGGAGGATGGAATGCTGGCTGCCTGGAGAATTTTCAGCTGGTTACTTGATGGCGACCTCACCTGGGGAAGAACGAGCTCACCAGTGATGTAGGTCCTTTACTTGGGGATCCCTTACTTCTGGGAATATTGTATAACGTGCAGTTATTTTGGAAAGCTTGGCTTTCATGTGGTTTACCAATTATTTTCCAACATGTGGAATGCTAATGTTGCAGATTATGGTTAATGTGATGTGAGTTCAGGAGGTTCTCATTTAAACAAAGGAGAACTCAACAACACATGAAGACACAACCACATAGCATCCCTTGTGCTTTGCAGCCAGCTTTGACCGCAGGCGGTCCCCTTCAAAGGCAAGTTCGGTTGAACATGTATGTCACATAGCACTTACCAGGTCTGCATCCATGTGTTGTTTAAATGAACAACATGCTAGCTCAGTTTGGTTTCACTCAGATTCTATTTTCCACGTGCCAGTAATATTGTTGGGGCAGTTTGGTTTTAATTAGATTCTACGTGCTTGCTAGAATGATGGTTCTCAAAAGGTTACCTGCGTCTTCGGCTGACTCTCGGAGGAGGCAGATCCAAATGCTCCTCCTGACGTCCTTTCAGTTCTGCGCCGAGATCCCTTGGGGGAGTTCTTGACGCATCGCGGTACGTTTCTTGGCGCAACGCCTTGGGTTGCCGGTTGGTTTAGGCGTCTCCAAAAAACTCCAAATAGGAAACGCAGAAATGGTCGGTTTTCCGTTTGGTTCCCCTTGAAAACAAGCCCCAAAAGTACGCACTCGATATGAGATAAGCCAATATTTAGCACCTTTTTGGTGGTTAGTTGTAAGCATCGCTTCTGGGGCCACTTCAAAGTGAGTTTCCTTTTGGTGGGGTGATGTTTCAAGGGAGTTGTAGGGAGCCCCGGTTGCCACTGGTTTCAAGGTAATAAGGGGGTGGCTATGTTGCCGGCATTTCGCAGGCATAAGAAAATGCCGGGCAGATTGATCATGCCTTTGTTGATTTCGTTCAGGGCATTGTCACTGCCAGACTTGGCTTACCTCTGTTGCGCTCTGCGTTTGGTTTGCTTCGTTTTTACATTCATCCAGCAACACCAATACAGCTTTCCCTGCCAGTGGCTGTCTTGTTGGAATCAATGGCCCCCCTCAAGGTGCAGGATTCCTCTCGGAGTGTTGTGTTTGGTTCTGCTTAATGGTTCACGGGAAACCACACGCACAAAAACACCGGGGGGTGCCCTATCTTGCCCCCGACTTTTCATGAGATCCAAATCCCCCCTGCCCCCTGCCCTTCAAACGCTTCCCCCCAAAAGGACACCCATAACGACTGGAAACCAGGCGGGGATTTGGGGAAGGGGGAACTTCCATTTGGTTAAGCATATTTTTGTTTAATTTTCCCCTGTTGATTTTAAAGGGAATCTATCACTACTGGACATATTTTTATTTTTCCAGGGGACTTGAGCAAATGGAGGGGAAGGAATCCCATGAACCGCGCAGCGAGGGAGCGCGTCTTCGTGTGCGGGCACCTCGGCTCGAGCGGCGGGAGCCTGGCAGCTTAACAGCTGTGAAGTCCAAGACCTAAAGTGCACCGCACAACTGTTTACTTGGGTTTACAAAGCAAAGTTGGGCGCTGGAGGCGCCTTTTGGGTTTTCGCATCGGCCTGGTTTTCTGGGGGTCAGAGGCATTAGGACTTGGCGGCTCCCAGCCATCCAGTCCCTTAGATTTTTAGCCTTTTGGTGTTTAGTGGTAGTTTTCATTTGACCCACTACAAGTGAGACTTTGAGCGCGGGATCTGAGGGCAACCCAGTTTGGTGGTACACTTTGGTACATTTTGTCAAGGGATGTTAGGGCGGTGGAATTGCTTGCAGGGCTTTGCAGGGATCCGGCTTTTTTTCTGGAAGGGGTTCTCTATTTGGAGGGGCGGGATTTGGACCCTCAGGGTCCAATTCCCTTGTGAGGGCTGTGAGGGTGTACTTTGATTGGAAAGTCTATGGTGAATTGGGACGGACGTAGGGTCAATCTAGGGGACACTTTCCCATTCTTTCCAGGGATCCTTCTTTCCAGGAAACCATCAGAACCCCAGGGAAACAGCTGGTTTTGGAAAAGAACGATGGTTGAAAAGAATGGGGAATCAACCCCCAGAGTCAGGACAGTTGCTTTCTCTCCAAACCTGGTTGAATCAGCAAGGAGCGGCAAGATCAGGGCCCCCATGATTAGGGAGGGGTATTTATTTTAGGATTGTTTTTCTTGTTTTTTTTGTTTCGCTTTTGGCTTCTTGGCTTCTTGGCTTCTTGGCTTCTCGGCTTCTTGGCTTCTTGGCTTTTCGGCTTCTTGGATTCTTGGCTTCTCGGCTTCTCGGCTTCTGGGCTTCTTGTCTTTTTGGCTTCTTGGCTTCTTGGCTTCTTGGCTTCTTGGCTTCTTGGCTTCTCGGCTTCTTGGCTTCTTGGCTTTTCGGCTTCTTGGCTTCTTGGCTTCTCGGCTTCTCGGCTTCTGGGCTTCTTGTCTTTTTGGCTTCTTGGCTTCTTGGCTTCTTGGCTTCTTGGCTTCTTGGCTTCTTGGCTTCTTGGCTTTTCGGCTTCTTGGCTTCTTGGCTTCTCGGCTTCTCGGCTTCTGGGCTTCTTGTCTTTTTGGCTTCTTGGCTTCTTGGCTTCTTGGCTTCTTGGCTTCTTGGCTTCTTGGCTTCTTGGCTTTTCTGCTTCTTGGCTTCTCGGCTTCTGGGCTTCTAGGCTTTTCGGCTTTTTGCTGGTTTATGCGGCTTTTGGTTGCTTTTTGGCTTTTCGCATCCTCTGCATTCCCAGTTCCTCTTCGGCAGGTGGCGTTTTTCCGACATCATGGGGGGGGCTGCCGCCCCCCCAACCCCCCCGCTACGTTTTAGATTTTCTGCAGAGATTTAATTAGTTGCACCCTAGTTGAATCATCAATTCTTCGAACATCATGGGGGGGTTGCACCCCTAGTTGAATCATCAATTCTTCGACCATCATGGGGGGGGGCTGCCGCCCCCCCCCAACCCCCCCGCTACTTTTTAGACTTTTTGCAGAGATTTAATTGCACCCCTATTCAAATCATCACTTCTGCAAACAACATCGTGGGGGGGCTGCCGCCCCCCCCAAACCCCCCTGCTACTTTTTATATTTTTTTACAGGGATTGACATGCCCTCCTACTTGAATCATCATTTCTTTGACCCCGTCACACGATTTGTGGGTGATGCTAGGGATGTTGGTGCGACATGCGGGGGATGTTGACGGGCTAGTGTAAAATGCGTCAATTTCGCGAGAATCATGCTGTAACATACGACACTTTACTGGCCCGGCAGAGATTGAATTGCACCCCTGTTTGAATCATCACTTTTTCGAGCGTCCACTTTCGCGAGAAAATGCTGCAAAATACGACATTTTAGGGAATCTGTGTAGTCCGTGTATGTCTGTATGTATGCATTTCTTCGAACATCATAGGGGAAGCCACCCCCGCCAACCCTCCCGCTGCCTTGTAAATTCTATCACACCCTTTCTTGAATCATTGCACCCCTACTTGAATCACCACTTCTTCCGACATCATGGGGGGGCTGCCGCCCCCCCCCAACCCCCCCGCTACGTTTAGATTTTCTACAGAGATTTAATTAATTACCCCTAGTTGAATCATCAATTCTTCGAACATCATGGGGGGGGCTGCCGCCCCCCCCAACCCCCCCGCTACTTTTTAGACTTTTTGCAGATATTTAATTGCACCCCTGTTCGAATCATCACTACCCCGCTCTGTTTTTCTTAATTGTTTTTTTGTATTTTGTTTTTTGCTGGGATTGAAATGCCCTCCTGTTTGAAGCATTATTGTTTTGACCCCGTCAACCCGCCAGCTACATTTTTGGATTTTGTTACCACGATTTGTTGGTGATGCTAGGGATGTTGGTCGGACATGCTTGGGATGTTGAAAACGATGCCGGGATGTTGACGAGCTAGTGTAAATGCGTCAATTTCGCAAGAAAATGCTGTAAAATACGACATTTTGCTGGCCCGGACGAAAAACGAAAAAGAATCAAAAAAAAAAACAACTAGACCACGGTTGGCCCGAAAGCATAACATCGCAAGCAAGGTCGGCCCAACGCTGCAGGATGCGTTCTTTTTCCCTCCACGAAGCATTTGTGAAGCAAGCGCGAGACAGCGCCAGGCAAGGTGGTCTGCGCAAGTTGCTCCACGCAAGTTACTGTGCAAGTTGCTCTGCGCAAGTTGCTCCGCGCAAGTTGCTCCGGCAAGTTGGTCCCTGCAAGTGGCTCCCTGCAAGTTGCTCTGTGCAAATTGCGCTCCCTGCAAATTGCTGTGCGCAAGCTGCTCTGTGCAAGTTGCTCCGTGCAAGTTGCTCTGCGTAAGTTGCTCTGCGCAAGTTGCTCTAGGCAAGGCGCTCTGCGCAAACTGGTCGGTGCAAGTTGGTCTGCGCAAGTTGCTCTGTGCAACTTGCTCTGCGCAAGTTGCTCTGCGCAAGTTGCTTTAAAATGCAAGTTGCATCTTGCGACGCCCGCCCGCGGACCAGGGAGGAATCGAACCCGCGACCCGCCGGTTCCGGGAGCAGGCGCGCGAACCACGAGACAACTCCCGAGGACCAGTTCGAACAACAAAAGTCGCAAAAAACCTGAGTTTTTGCACCTCGACCACGCCGATCCCCGCAGAGGGTTGCGCGGCACCGCAGAAATCGCGCACCTCGACCACGCCGATCCCCGCAGAGGGTCGCGCGAGTTAGAAATCGCAAAAAACCATGGGTTTTTGCACCTCGACCACGCCGATCCCCGCAGAGGGTCGCGCGAGCATGTTAGAAATCGCAAAAAACCATGGGTTTTTGCACCTCGACCACGCCGATCCCCGCAGAGGGTCGCGCGAGCACCGCAGAAATCGCAAAAAACCATGGGTTTTTGCACCTCGACCACGCCGATCCCCGCAGAGGGTCGATTTTCGTGTAGTGTCGTCGGCACTACCCCGCCGCCCTAAGAAGAGATTTTAACTCCTCGCAAGTCAATTGCACTTGACTCCTTGCACTTGCAACTTGCACTTGACTCCTTGCACTTGCAACTTGCACTTGACTCCATGCACTTGCAACTTGCACCTGACTCCTTGCACTTGCAACTTGCACTTGACTCCTTGCACTTGCAACTTGCACTTGACTCCATGCGCAGCTCGCAATGACTCTCATGACTCCTTGCAATGACTCCTTGCAATGACTCCTTGCAATGACTCCTTGCAATGACTCCTTGCAATGACTCCTTGCAATGACTCCTTGCAATGACTCCTTGCAATGACTCCTTGCAATGACTCCTTGCAATGACTCCTTGCAATGACTCCTTGCAATGACTCCTTGCACTCCTTGCAATGACTCCTTGCAATGACTCCTTGCAATGACTCCTTGCAATGACTCCTTGCAATGACTCCTTGCAATGACTCCTTGCAATGACTCCTTGCAATGACTCCTTGCAATGACTCCTTGCAATGACTCCTTGCAATGACTCCTTGCAATGACTCCTTGCAATGACTCCTTGCAATGACTCCTTGCAATGACTCCTTGCAATGACTCCTTGCAATGACTCCTTGCAATGACTCCTTGCAATGACTCCTTGCAATGACTCCTTGCAATGACTCCTTGCAATGACTCCTTGCAATGACTCCTTGCAATGACTCCTTGCAATGACTCCTTGCAATGACTCCTTGCATTGACTTTCATGATGATGATTCCTTGCAATGACACCTTGTAATGACTCTCATGAGAACAACTCAAGTGAACCCAGCGGAAGAACCCTTCGCCATGCTTTCGGGAAAAACCAAAATAAATCCGCACCCCATGATTAGCCCCCAAGGCTCAAGTATTGTCTCGTCAGTTTGGGAGGCAAATGGGCGACCCACTGAATTTTCCCAGGCCAAAACAGGGGTACCCGCACTTTTTGTTTGCTCCATGTGCAGTACGGGCAGGGCATGTGTTGGTTGTGGATCATGTATTGTTAGATACGTGTACTACTCTTTGATGGACTCTTGTCACACGTTCTTTATTTGTCGCGATGAACGTCTAAAACGATTTCAAGGCCCCTATTCAGCATCAATCTGAGTAGGGAGGGCCGACTTTGACATTGGGTTGACAAATATAGGTTATATCCTGCCTATGATCCAGTTGAGGTTCGGGAGTAGAGGAGCCACTCCACAAAAGCTAGGGGGACGGCACCCCAATTCCTCTCAGCAAAATGCATGCCCCACTTCACAGTGTAGCTGATTCCTCTTCCAGGTATGCCGGTGTTGGTCCCCCAACTTCTCCGGCCCACCACGAGGGCCCTAAAGACGGTCTTTCAAAGGTTCCACAAAGGCGTGTCCCGCAATAGGAACTCGATTTGTCTCCAAACGGGGAACCCCTGCAAAGCGAGGCACTCTCCAAATGGAGCAAAGCAAAATCCCATGTCAACGGGCCAACGGGGGGCCAAGTTTTGATTGCCCCAACAAACCGATGGCTTGGGCATGTGTAACAGGCCTCCAGCGAGGGTAACCTCAGAGTTCCCAGTTCCCATTGGCGAGGCTGGCGATGGATTTCTGTGTGCTGGACACGGCCCTGAATGGCACCAAGAAGGGCTTCAGGCGGGGCCGTGGCTCATTGGGGGTGGAGCCAGATGCAAATACTTTTAAGAGGGAACCACCTTTTCAGAGGGAGCCACCTCTGGACGTCCACCAGAGGGTCCGTATTAACTTGACGCCAATATTGTATACAATATTCAAGACACGCCACAAACATTCTGGACACAGAGCCACAACGGAGACCGGGATGATGTAGGTCCTCTGCTTGAAGATTGGAGGTTTTGGAGCTTGTCGAGAACTTGTAGATCTCTGGCCAGTCACTCTGTTTGAGACGTCCGTGGTGAAGGTCTCTGTCATATAAGGGAGCTGAATGTGAATCGGTTCCCCAGATTCATTGGTGTGGGTCGTTTGGAGTCGGCGCCCTTGCCAGGTTGGTTCCATCAAACGTGTGGTTCAATCAAAAGCAATCAAACGATCGTAAGGAATATGTCCACATATGATCAACTATGCTGCAGAATGAAGGTTAGTTTATGTTGCTGGCTCCTTCGTTGTCTCGTGTCTTCCATGGCTGCAATTCTGAGAGATCACTAGCCGAGAGCCAGCAAGGAAAAATGTGCAGAAGATAGGACAATATAGATGTGGCATGCCTTATTAATTTTCTCAGGTCAGTTCTCACGTGTCTATGATTTCAATTACTTGTTTTAGGAGAACTATCTTCATCTGTGTTGTGGTATTCACCAACAGCGAAAAGCTTAGGGCTTAGGGGTCTCTGGCCAGATAGTTTCAGAGCGGCTTCTGGCTAGGGTTCCACCAGAATGGTTCCGGCTTATTGTGTTCCTTAATATTGACTTGTTTGTATTCTTTTGTATGGCAATGGCATGTTCAGTAGGTGATGGGCAGGAGACGCAAGGAATGGACAACAGAGCAAACAAGATGGAACATGGCTCTTCGCAAGAGCTCTCTTGTTCCACTGCAGCTTCCTGAGAAGTTCCAAGAATCTCTCAATTGTGTCAGAGCTGATCTTGCGGAACAGTAACCATCAGGGTCCAGGATGCAAGAGTCACCTTCTGACTTTAGATCCAAGAAGGATTCGAGGGCACGAGGATCCCGCGCAGCTTCGAGGGAACCGTACGATCCAAAGACCTTTTTTGTTTTTGGTGTACCCCTGACTGATGATCACAGGACACATCTGCGATCTTATTCCGTTCCTCAGAGAACTGGCTCTAAAACCAATTCATGCACCTGTGTTTGGTGGAAGCTTTAAGCTTTTGCTATCTTTTGCTCGTTTTGAACGCGGAGAGCCCCATGTGCGCGGATTCTCGCGCGCCAGCCACCACATGCACCTGATCCTGGATGCCTCGCGGGCAGCGCATCTGCCCAGCATGGGCCAGGCGCGTAAGACGTTTTTCGCGGGTCCCGTGCATGGGGCTCTCTGTTTTTGGAGGGTACCTCTTTGGGGCTTTGCCTTAAGGAAACAAACCAACAACATATACCACCCAGTTGAACGGTGCTTCTTGTTTTAAGACGCACTCACATCACTCACCGTAAATGTGGGCTGGTTTGGTTATGTATTTTGGCGTCCAAGGGTTTTGCCCTCAGGAAATGAGCCACCTGGATCCATTATATACCCTGGACCTTGAACTCGTGCTTGGTCTGGATGGGTGCCAAATAGCCCTTCTATTATTTGTTCCAAAAGAATTAACGCGGGTGAACATCACCCCTTGCAATGACTTGTTGTTTGCTTTTTGCATCGGGGGGGTATTTCTTCCCTCACCATTGTACCATTTCAAAGTTCAGGAAAACTCAATACGTTGTGCCCACTTCCGTGCAAATTAATATGGACCCCGAAAGCCTTCCTGTTCGAAAGGAATCTGCTTTCGGGACATGGAACCTCCGGTTGGATTCCCTTTGCATTTGGGGGCTGTTTCAAAAGCTGGTTTTAAACAACCAACCAACATTTCTGCCTTTGACCTGCAGAAAGTCAACATTTTAGTGAACAGCGCGGGCGAAGGAACCATGGGAACCCTCCGTTGGCTTTCTGAGTTCAAAGAAATCCCATAGAAGGAGTTTGGTTGGCCAGGAAATGTCAAATTTGTTTGGAACATGCAGAACGGACTGCCAAAAGGAACTGCGAGAGGGCGTCATTCAACCAGTCTGTTGGATGTGTAAAAGGAACGCGTAAAGTACAGTAATGGTTGACGCTTGGAAAGGAAGCCTCCAGCAAGACTACCATGAACCGGGACTTCGTGATGCTGATTTATGAGCACACCGCGATTTCTACCTGCTCTTTGATGGTTTCGAAGAACAGAAACAAAGCCGCCACCATTCAAGCTGGTTTGACAATGTTTGAGGGTAACCAACAAGAACTCACAGCTTAAACAGTTTTTTTCTTCTGATTTTTAGGAGAGTCCAGAAGTAAGCCTCCATCCAACGGCTTCTGTTTGAGGACGCAGCACCGATGTCTTCGCCAGTGAATTTCACAGGAAGGGTGGGGGTAGCGGAAACTGGTCGAATGAATCCGCTCAGTTCGGCACTGGCTTCTTGAGCGACCCGGCCGCCATCAAGCAGAAGCTTAAGGACACCTCCTGGACGACCTGTTGCGAGAGGGATGGTTCCCCAATGAAGAATTCCCCCTTGCAGCCCCAACGATCCTTGCATGTTTTTTGTTTTAGTGGCCCAGTTGGAGGATTTTGTGTTCTGGAAGATCTGGTTTTGGGCAAATGAAAACAGAAAGGGCTTAGAAGAAGGTCCTGAGGATAAGGCCAAGAGGCCAAATGAGGTCAAAGGTCCTTGGGGTGTTGTACTGTCCCGTATGGCAGATTGCTCGATTTGCGACGCTGTAGGGTCAGTTGAGCAAATAAGTCCTCCAAGAACCCGCCTCACAGCTGCCCCGAACCCATGCTGGGGAACATCCCAGGTGGGTGAGCTTCGGCATGCCCCCCCGCCCCAAGCCCAAGCCCAATGGCACGACACCCGAACCTCACGACCCAAACCACCAAACGTGGGTCAGGCGAGATGACCTCGAAGAGTGGTTGCTTCCCTTCTGATTTCTTTGCAACGACTATCCAACTGGGATCCCCAGTTTAGGTCACCCCTTGGTTTTGTCATGGTGTCCTGTGTTGCAGCCTTCAGTCAAGGGTGTGTACGTGGTGTGTACCTGTAGGCTTGTTTGTACCCTGAATTTACTGGGAACCATACCCGTCTATGTGGGCATAAGTATACAAGTAAGGTCCGGCAGAGCCGGGGGGCGGAAGTTTCAAAGCAGTGAACAACTATAGTTTGGAGAACTGTCCTTGGCCCCTTGCTTCTCTTTCTCTCTCTCTTTTTCTCTCTTTCTCTCTTTCTCTCTTTCTCTTTCTCTTTCTCTTTCTGTTTCTCTGTCTCTTTCTCTCTCTTTCTATCTATCTCTCTAGCTATCTCTACATCTGTTTATTGATCTATCTATCTACCCATCTTTCTCTGCACTTAAAAGTTGCGATGTTCAATCCCCGAAAGTTGACTTCGCGTACTACTTTCGTACTTAAAAGTTGCGATTTTCGAGCCCCGGCTGCGAAAGTGGACTTTGCGCACTACTTTCGTACTTAAAAGTTGCGATTTTCAAGCCCCAGCTGCGAAAGTTGACTTCGCGTACTACTTTCGTACTTAAAAGTTGCGATTTTCAAGCCCCGGCTGCGAAAGTGGACTTTGCGCACTACTTTCGTACTTAAAAGTTGCGATTTTCAAGCCCCAGCTGCGAAAGTTGACTTCGCGTACTACTTTCGTACTTAAAAGTTGCGATTTATCTATAGATCTACCTATCTATCTACCTCTCTATCTCCTATCTATCTATCTCTCCTCTATCTATCTAGCTAGTTATTTGTCTATCTATCTACAAATCTATCTATCTCTGTCTATCTCTGTTTCTCTATCTCTTTCTATCTATTTCTCTAGCTATCTCTATATCTGTTTATTGATCTATCTATCTACCCATCTTTCTCTGCACTTAAAAGTTGCGATGCTCAATCCCCAAAAGTTGACTTCGCGTACTACTTTCGTACTTAAAAGTTGCGATTTTCGAGCCCCAGCTGCGAAACTGGACTTCACGTACTACTTTCGTAGTTAAAAGTTGCGATTTTCGAGCCCCAGCTACGAAAGTGGACTTCGCGTACTACTTTCGTACTAAAAAGTCGCGATTTTCGAGCCCCAGCTGCGAAAGTGGACTTTGCGTACTACTTTCGTACTTAAAAGTTGCGATTTTCAAGCCCCGGCTGCGAAAGTGGACTTTGCGCACTACTTTCGTACTTAAAAGTTGCGATTTTCAAGCCCCAGCTGCGAAAGTTGACTTCGCGTACTACTTTCGTACTTAAAAGTTGCGATTTTCGAGCCCCGGCTGCTCAAATCTGTGCTTGACCTTGCTAAAGCGCTGCGCCTGCCACAAAATCTGTACTTGACCTTGCGAAAGTGCTGCGCGTGCCACGAATTTTGCACTTGACCTTGCGAAAGTGCTGCACCTGCCACAAATTCTGTACTTGACCTTGCGAAAGTGATGCGCCTGCCACGAATTTTGTACTTGACCTTGCGAAAGTGCTGCGCCTGCCACGAATTTGGCACTTGACCTTGCGAAAGTGCTGCGCCTGCCACGAAATCTATACTTGACCTTGCGAAAGTGCTGCGCCTGCCACGAAATCTATACTTGACCTTGCGAAAGTGCTGCGCCTGCCACGAAATCTATACTTGACCTTGCGAAAGTGCTGCGCTGCGCCTGCCACGAAATCTACACTTGACCTTGCGAAAGTGCTGCGCCTGCCACGAAATCTATACTTCACCTTGCGAAAGTGCTGCGCCTGCCACGAAATCTATACTTGACCTTGCGAAAGTGCTGCACCTGCCACGCAATTCAAACCTAGCGAAACCTTCGCGCGGCCGTGCCAATGGTCCCGTCTCCGAGACCGTTCCGAGACCGTTCCGAGACCGTTCCGGGACCGTTCCGAGACCGCCTCCGTACAGGCGTCGCGACCGAGGTGGTTTGCGCACTGTCCGGAAGCCCAATTCACGCATGGCACCAACGTTTCTGCAACTTGCTATCCCCCAGCTCGCAGAAAGTGGACGCAGCACCTTGCGAAAGTGCTGCGCCTGCCACGAAATCTGTACTCGACCTCGCGAAAGTGCTGCGCCTGCCACGAAATCTATACTTGACCTTGCGAAAGTGCTGCACCTGCCACGCAATTCAAACCTAGCGAAACCTTCGCGCGGCCGTGCCAATGGTCCCGTCTCCGAGACCGTTCCGAGACCGTTCCGAGACCGTTCCGGGACCGTTCCGAGACCGCCTCCGTACAGGCGTCGCGACCGAGGTGGTTTGCGCACTGTCCGGAAGCCCAATTCACGCATGGCACCAACGTTTCTGCAACTTGCTATCCCCCAGCTCGCAGAAAGTGGACGCAGCACCTTGCGAAAGTGCTGCGCCTGCCACGAAATCTGTACTCGACCTCGCGAAAGTGCTGCGCCTGCCACGAAATCTATACTTGACCTTGCGAAAGTGCTGCACCTGCCACGCAATTCAAACCTAGCGAAACCTTCGCGCGGCCGTGCCAATGGTCCCGTCTCCGAGACCGTTCCGAGACCGTTCCGAGACCGTTCCGGGACCGTTCCGAGACCGCCTCCGTACAGGCGTCGCGACCGAGGTGGTTTGCGCACTGTCCGGAAGCCCAATTCACGCATGGCACCAACGTTTCTGCAACTTGCTATCCCCCAGCTCTCCTGATTTCAGCTTTTCTCGTAGCTTTTTTCGCGCACATCCATGTATCTTAAAGCTATCTATCTGTCAAGCTGGTTATATGTCAAAGCTATCTATCTGTCATGCTAGTCTTTGGAAAGCTATCTATGTGTTAAGCTGGCTATATGTCAAAGCTATCTATTTGTCATGCAAGCCTATTGGAAAGCTATCTATCTGTCAAGCTAGCTATATGTCAAAGCTATCTATTTGTCATGCTAGCTACCTGTCATAGCTATATGTCAAAGCAGCTAGCTCATTTAGTTCCAGTACTACGGAAGTTTCTTGTTAAACTTCCTTTGACCAGCTGTGTAAGATTTCTGTGATTAGGAGGCAGCGGGGGTGCATCATCAGGGATGCATGACGGCCATGATTCCAGGATTTCGGAGCTATCAACTTTGCGCAAAGGTTGTTCATCACCGCCGCCCGAAAGGACCACGATGTGAAGGTTGTCCCGGCCCCAGCTCGAACGCAAAGACCAGACCACCACATGGTCCGGGGACGTGGTTAGACAGAACCAGTGTCATAGGATCTGCCTAAAAGCGAGCTGGCCTGTAGAAAGAGCTCAACATGATCTATGTAGGGTTCTTTACTTGGGGTCCCTTTTTCAAGCTTTGGAAGCAAAGTCAAATTTGGAGATGGGATTCCAACCCCAGCCCCAACCCTGCTTAATTATTGGGCCCCCCACACGCCGCTTGCGTTCACCAAGCAGGCACTCTGTTCACCACCTGGGGGGAGGACAAAGGTAAGCCAACCATTTGTGGGGATTCCAATCAGTTCCCAATTGTAGGAATTGCCAACATGTAGAATACACATGTTTTTTGATTACATACAAGTATGCAAGAAGCACGGCCATTGAAGAGCTTCATGTTTTATATGGGTGTATACGGCTGTATGATATACCAGCACCTGTTTAGGGCCAGCCATGGTGAGGATCACAGCGATGGCCTTGTGTCAGAATGGGCCCTGGGCGGGGATTCAACATGCCAACAAGAAACTTGGGATCCATATAGGCAGTTGCCCAAAGCCGACCTTTTAGCCTTTCGGTTTTCCTTTTTTGGTCTATCTTTAGTAAAGGTCCCAAAAGGCTAACCTGTTATTTCTGGGTCCTTTGGGCAACTGAGAATTAGGATGGGGCCATAAAGAAACAACACAAGTTCTGACCACATGAGAGGGAATGTGTGTACGAATTTGGCCCCCTTATGTTACTAGCATGTCCACTTCTGGAAAGCTATTGACTCCTAGCGACCGGAGTTGACAAGCGGAGGCTAGGGGCCAACTCTACCATTGTGTGGCAGCACCCTTGTCTTGCTGGTGCTCAGTAGGGAATGAGGGAATGAGCCTAACAACTACCTAAACCTGCAAAGAACCAACAACACACAAAAAGACACTTCTTAAATGCTTCCCGAAAACAAGACCTCCAGCTTTAGGTATATGTCAAACTAGGGCCTGCCCAAGCATGGTGATTCTTCTTTTGACATCCTTTTGACAACCAACCTGTCGACTGGTACCGCTCAAAAATACAATGAGAAAACACACACACACACAGGCACACAGGCACACACACACACACACATTTTCATACATAGGTTTTAGTCCTTGCTTCCATTTACCCAGGGGCCATTTTGGGTACCCTCCCTCCAACAAACAAAGCACCTGTGGTCTGGTCCACGGAAGATGACTTTCCTTTTTGGGGGTACCCTGTGTCAGTTGCCATGTTAGTGAGAGGGAGGGTACCGATTTTTGGGCCACCGCAGGTTTCCCCCGATCAGAGTCTCAGCTTCAGGTGCCCACCGCCGCGCTGCTTCCCGGCGCGGATGCCCGATGTGCGCGCCAGCCAATGGACCAAACGCGGGGGTTGTCCGATGCCCATGGGCCCTTTTGAGTGTCTTTGGGGGTAAAGGCGCCCCATTGTGAGCCAGAATCAAAACCTGGGATGGATGGAAGATGGGGACAATGCCAAGAAATAAGATGGCAGCCTTTTGAGTTCTTGACATGGGTCTGGGGAGAACATTTTAATTACCTGGTGTTGATTCTGACACATTTACTGTCTTGGGCTAGTGTCGTTGATTCTGCTTTCCCCACTCCGCAAGGATCGATGTTTTGGGGATCACCCCATTGAGCGGAGGTGTATAACCCACAAGCAACGCATTTGGCCAATCAGGAACGCGATGTCAAGTGAAATGGGACTCTGACTTCTGAGTGCGACACTTGGAGTCTTTTGATACCCGGCTAAGTTGGAAGTATGCCGTAGACACCTGGCATCCCCAATGAATTGAACGCATGGGGTCCCCCCTTCTGGCGGGCGCGAGAACCGTTAGAATCGCAATCTACCTAAGGAATTTATATAGAATTATGCATTTGTCACTTCATTGTGGAAAGGCTAAATCAACACTACAATTTACGTTTTGATTTTACTTTAAAAGAAGGCAAGTGCTGAAAGTACCCCCTAATAACGGCTGTCAGAAGCTTAGTATTGGTTTAGTATTGGATCCATTGAAAGAAAAAGAAAAAGAGGGAATATGTTGTTTTGGATGTTTGCCTGATAAATCATTTTAATAGGGGGAATCAATTATCGCCCGAGTCATAACGCTGCTTCAGCAACGAAGTTCAGCAGACTTGGACATTCTATCGACTCCTTTTTTGAGCCTCACATGTTCCTTAGCAAAACAACGGGTGGTCCAGCCAACCCACCAACCAACCGGACAGAACAGAACAGACAGACAGACAGAGACAAACAAATAATCAGGGCCACATCAAGTACGAAGGCCATCACTCGACTTCGCGCCTTCGAATCGCGGCTCTTAGGCTTTACGCCTTCGAACCCGGTGTGCGAGAAGGCGCGGAGAGAGCCTTTAGCGGCGCCCACATCGCTGTGGCTCGAAATCATTTTGACCCCAGCCCCCTATTGGCGGGTTTAGCAGGTCTTCATTGGGATCATAGTGAGCCCAAAAATGACTATGTCAGTAGAACCAACAGACACTGGATTTTGGGTACTGCTCCTTTGAGTTAGTTGCTTGGGTGATGTTGACCTCGGGTTAGTTTAGAAGACCAGACCTGTACAAGAAAAATACCCTTCCGCCGAGCACCCGGATCCAGACCCACTTGGATTCCTTCAGATGGAGACATATGGTTGGTTTCCCATGGTTTCACCAGCATAGCTTCCATTTGTGTTTCGGCCAGTTCGCGGTTTTGTTCCGGTTGGTTTGAAATGACAATGGCCATGACGGATAAATGTTCGATTTGTTTTGTGACGCTTGAGTTCAAAGGACCAGGCTCCCTCTCACACTCCATAGAGTTCTCCCCTGAAAGGCCGGGCTGCTTCCCGAAGTGTTGTAACTTGTCGGTTTCCACGTTTTAGCCATCCCAGTTTACTATCCCTTCCCTTGCTGAATCACTGCAGAGCGGTTAATAGCCGGCCCTGTGTCAGCGTCCGGTTGGGGCCGTCAACACTCTTTCTTCCCTTCTTTCTCTTCCTCTCTCTCTCTCTCGCTCTCTCTCTCTCTCTCTCTCTTTCCTTCCCTCCCACTATTCCCCCTTGACAAAGCATCCCTTTGGAGCCTCAATGTTGTTTGTCCATGTTTACGTGTGTTGCCGCAGCAGGTTGTTGGTCAATGTTTCACAGAGACATGCAAAGGCACACTGCTTCAACCTGCGGTTGCTTGCGTTGGACGCTGCCATCAATGTTTGCATGTTAGATTGGCAAAAGAAACGAACATCGCCCCTTAAAACGTAGTTAACCTGTCTTGGAGAGGAACCGACCCTGATTTTCTCAAGTGTCAACAGGCACACTCTGCAAGCCGGATTGTTCTTTTGGTGGCTTGAGGATCCAGATGCTATTGAAGCTAAATTGGGACAGTAGCTAAGGGTTTGAACTATCCCCAAGCTACCCCCAATGATTGGATATACACCCTTTCTATAGTGGTCGTATGGGTGTGGGTAAAGTTGAATCACCAAGGGACCGCAGATTTTAGTCCATGTTGCCTCTTACCCGGGTTCCATGTTGGGTACCTATTTTTGACCCACAGCCATATTGTTTTGTTTATGTGTATACATCGGATGTCCACCTCTCATGGTTCGCACAGTTAGTGTCAACTCTCTCAGTTCTTGGCAGCGGAGTCAATTGTCGAACAGCACCCTGGTGGTTGTGGGTGGTTTTGGAGGGTGGTTTGGGGTTTGGGCAGGGTGGTTTGGGATTTTTTGGGGGGTGGTTTGGGGTTTGAGATGGTTTCTTCGAAATTAGATTCGCCCAGTGAACCCCATTGAGGATGTGTTTGTCACCATTTGCCACCCCATGTCTAACCAACGTAATGCAGGAGTTGAAATCCATGAGCCGCACGCAGGCAGCTCTGAAGCACAGCTTCCCCAAGCACTTGGGGCCCTTTGCCCTGGTCAAGACCAAGCGCCTGGCGCTGTGGATCGATCGCGCGCCTCGGCCAATTGCTAAAGCTGCTAAAGCGGAAGGCGTGAAGGAAGGCGGGAAGGACAGGGCGGACATGGATTTTAAGTATTGTTGAGGGTTCAGTTAGGGTTTAAGGGTTTGGGGTGAATTTATTGTTTATGGTCTTGTCAAGGAGATGGAGAGGCACTCCCAGGCATATTGAGCCAAAGGGTCCATGGGTATCTTCTGAGGAAGTACGCGGTTTTCCATTGCCAGGCTTGTCCTTTCGACCAGTGGACACTTTTTGGAGAGGCAGTTGGCCGGGGTGGCGGGTTGAGGCACAACAGGTGTAAGGACAACAACTTGGGGCCTGTTCAAAAAGAAATCTGCTGCCCTCTTCGTGGCGTGGGTCATGGTGCGGGTGTCATGGTACGGGCCACGAGAAGAGAACAAATACAATCATACCTGGAATGTGTTTGAACAATTCTAGGTGATGGGGTTTGAGGGGTCACTACTACCCTCCCAACCCAAATCATTTGACTTTAGGGGGCGAGAGGCGAGTGGGGTTGATAAAATGAAGGGAAAGACCACATCAAATGTGGAACAAACAACGTGAAGGCTTGTTTATGGGAGGAGGCAATGCCATTCGGACCCCGCGTGCTGTATATCATATATCCAGCGTTCAACTTACTGATCGAGGTTAATCATAGGGAATTCATGGTTGAAATCCACACAGAGACTCTTATACCAGGGAAGCCTCGTCCGGACTTTCCTGCTTGAAGAATTCATAGTATACATGGGCTTCCACAGAAGTGGAAAGGCGACGCTCAGAGCCCTGACATGGAGTTCAATGTAGACAGCGGTTAATATAGTCAAGCTTCAGGGCAACGTTAAACCACTCATGAGTCATGACCCGCAAAAACCGGGGACTCCTTCGGAAGGTAGGCTTTTCAGACTCCCATGTGGATGGACAAAACATACTTCCCACCAGTTCAGTTGCTACTAGTACCTTCTTTCTGCGAAGTTGTCTCCTTATGAGATGCTCATCTACTTTTGGGGCGGGTTTCCATCTAAACCACCACGTTGAGGGCAACGTTTGAGGATGTCACTTTAACGCACCGAGTTGTGTCATGGTTCTTTTTGGGATTCAGCCACACACGAACACGCTGTGTGTGAGTTTCCCATGGACACAACGCAAGTGGCTCCACAACGTTGCTGGTCCAGGGCCTTGGGTCGCAACTCTCAGGAGTACTTGGGCAAGGGAACCCGTCTCCATTAAAAAATGAGGGCACTAGGAAGCCACATTGGTGTTTTACGCTGTTAACGACCCTCCAGGTGGTTGGCTTCCTTCTGGTTGTTCTTTAAAACCGTGCAAAAACGATTTACCCTTTTTGAGACCCCACATCCAAGACATGCCACTCAGTTGCCCCATTTTTCACGGAGCCCCATTTTTCACGGAGCCGCATTTTTTTCCTAAGGAGAAGAGGACCTACAAGGCCGGGATTTCAATTTCGCGAGTCGGCGACGGCAACCCAGGATCTGCGTGGAAGTACTTTGCTTGTGTGTGTGTGTCTTTGTGTGTGTGTGCGTGTGTCTGTGTGTGTGTGTGATTGCTGCAACAAGCAGCTTGCAGAGATTTTGATCTTGGATGCAACACAACCGTTTTTGCGGTGCCTAGACACCATTTCATTTCAGCAGGGGGCCCAAGAGCGGCCACGCGGCTTGGGCCAACGAAGCTCCGCGTGGTTTGCTAGGATATCACTGAGGACGCTCAGTGACGTACCTGCTCGGTTTCACAACCTCGATTTTTTTTGGGCTTGACTTCTCACTTCCGGCTTGTCATTTAGCCCGGCCTTTGTGGCGACACCAATTCTCTCTCCAAATCGCAAGGAGATCTGGCAGACTTGGCCAGACAAGATCTTAATCGCATGGGTTCCAACCAGGAAGCAGATCGATCTTGATCAGTCCGGAGAGAATGGTACACAAGTGTGACACCTCGGTTGTTCGTTTAACGTCCCGAGGTAGGTGGGGTCAGCCCACTGCATCGATGTGCCTGCAACAGGCTTGAAAAACTCACTGCCCTCCAGGCCTCTGCTTCTTGAGCCCTCCTGGGCCTTTGAAGACATCGCCCCATCGGGCCCCTGAATACGGTTGCAGCTCGCTGCCCTTGACCCTGACAGTTGAACGTGTCTTGATGTTTTCAAACATGCGACGGGAGTTTGCCCTCCTCACATTCTCGCCGGACCCCAGATGTGCTGCGCATTTGCCTTTGAAAGCTTTTTGGTCACTCAAAAGGCAGCCAGGTCGCATAGGTCGCGCCATGTCGCAGTGGAACACGTCACGGTGGCACAATCACTGGCAAGATTGGGATTGGAAAGGCCATAACGACTGGCAACAGCCAGCCAGTGATTCGCGCAACAGCTGGCAGAACACCTCCCAACCCAGCAGCGTTCCAGAGCCAGACTCCTCTGTTCCCGCCCCCAAGGTACGACCGCTGGACCAGTGGTCAACTGACAGCAAGCACTGGGACGCTAACCGCGTTTGCGGGCACCAACTGTTTAAACATGTCCAGCCGACAGCCTGGACAAGAAAGACAGGTTTGGCAGGGCGAGAGGTTTCGGACATTAGACTCCACGAAGTTGCTCACCACGGGTTTCAAGAGTTTGGAATTCGATTGCTTAGCGAGGGCCGCTTTCAGGGGCTGATTTTCACAAGGAGTATTGCGGAGACGATATTCCTCCAGAACTTAATGAAAGCCACGCGGGAGTCAAATATTGATTTGGACTTCACAGCGCAATCTTTATTTGCGGGACAAGATGCTCCCGACAAACATAAAGATGCCAACAAGTTTATGACCCCACTCGTCCAACGCCTGCTAGGACCACTCAAAGAGTTGGCTTTGCAGGCAAAACCGGATGAAGCAGCGCAGGAACTGCTCCGCCGAAGGCAGAAGATGGAATCTATGGGAATCCAGCTTACACCTCGCAAGCGCCCGAACGAAGAAACAGGCGAAAAACCTGCAGAACCTCCCTCCAAGTCTGCGAAGCGGACAGATGAACTCCCAACGTGCTTTTCTGCGCCTTTTAAACCCCTTCAGTCACAGCCGGACGGTCACACCGAGCCCTTCGTGACACAGTGGATGGAAAAAGCTGCTGGCAAAATGGGCAAAGCCAAGGCCAAGCAGTTTTTCGACCATGTCAACCAGCTTGCAAAGACCTTTAAGCAACATGAGAAATCAGTGCTGCAAAAAGCAGCCGAGAAATATGGCTTGGATCCCAACCTGGCACAAAAAATGGCTGCCAAGAACCTCAGCAATGTTATCGCTCTTGCGCAAGTCTTGGCCGCCTGACTAGCCTTCTGGGCCTCCGAAATCCGAACAGGTCAAGACACGCGAGAGTTAATTCAACAGATTTGCATGCTCGGCTCGGCTATTACATTCTTTATCCACGAACTGGCAGCTTTTCCCAAGGAAGGATTGCTTTGGGCGCAGGGTCTTACATTTGGTTTTGCTATTCCATTTGGCGGTGTCCTCCAACCAGTCTCACACAGAGGCATTGCGTGACAAGTTGTCTCAACTTAATGTCCGGCCTTCGAGTTACACATGGACATCGTTCCAACATACCAACGCGGTGTAATGTAAGGTGACAGTCGACTGGACTCCTCGCAGTTTTTACAGACAACCCAACCCGACATTGTACGTTGGCAGCACGTCCTTGAACGTAGCGCGCCGGGAGTGGAACCGTATGGCAGTGCACAAACGATTGCAGGCCCAACCCAACATCCAAGCTGAACTGGCAATTCGGTATTGGTTGGATAAAGGGAATTTCCAACGTTTCACCCTGATCAAGCTTGCGCACTGCAATAGTTACAAGGAAGCTTGGGCTTTGGAGCACCGACTTATTCAACTTTGGCAGCCAAGGCTGAATTTTCCTTTCATTTCAAGGTTCCTGGCCCGCAAAGCATTGGGGTTTCGACCCAACATGGCAACCCGCAGGAGTACGCAGTTCAGATTTGGTCGGCGTTTATGGGCAAAGCTGCGCCGGCGACTGTTTGGTACAAGAGTACCCACAACCATCATGATCGACCGGACGCAAGCCTGGGAACACATTTTTGATTTGTCCAGCGCTACCCGGGCATCGTTTGAAGCTGCTAAGATTCTACGGTCGTCACGGGTCACCGACGCAGAAGTTTATGCGTTATTGAAGCTCACTCACGCGCTGGAGCAACCAGCAAAAGGCAGAGTTTTGGGGATTTTTCGTTCTATTTGTGAGTTCCGCAACATGTCTTGGCCAGCGTCCGCTCGTTCGTTATGTGTCCCATTCCTAGCCCAAGAAGACTTTGCCGCGCAGTTGCAACAATGGCTACGCACCACTATTCTCAACTTCAAGGATATTTCGATCCCGTTTCACCTCCCTTCCCACAAAGTTCGCGAAGGAGCTCATCATTTGGTATGCAATCAATTGTTCAACTTCCGTCAGTGGGAAGAAGGCTTGACAAAAGGGCGCCCCCCCCCCATGCACCTGTTCGGGCTTAATCCAGCAGTTTCCAAGTCTTGCCCCAGGCCACAATCAACTTCATGTGGCCGCAGGGTTGGAGACAATCTCTGAATTACCCACCCATTCGCGCTCACTTTCAGGGGCGAACGCCTTCTTTCCCAGCCGATCAAGATATTTTGCGCAAGTTTGTGCTGCTTGTCGGAAGTGGTGTCAACATCACGGCATTCCCCAACTTCTAGAACAACTTTGGCAGCAACATGTCCACAGTATGAAGTCGCAGCACCGGACCACGTGGCGGTCTGTCCAAGCCCTGCGAGATATTTTCGCGCACCAAGCAGTATTCCATACTGAGGACCACCTGCCGCGGCATATTATGGTATTTTGTCCCAAGGGCTACTTCGACAGTTGCCTAAGCACCTGGAATGACCCTGCTGTTTTTCAATCGTTACCAGGGAACACGGCCAGCTGGACAGCTCAAATGTTGAAGTATACACCAGTGGAAATCCGCAAAAGCTATTCCTGGGGTGTACGCAAGCGGTTTCAACTTCCCCGTGGCTTTTGCCTTTTAAAAAGGAAGAAGCTATTTCAAAAGGGGAGAAGCATCATCTCTTATCGGAACTCAATCCTGGAGCTCCTTTTGAAAGGCACAGCTTCCGCTCTTCAGCTGATGGTGAGCAGTGTTTGGAGCCCGCTCTTGGTTTGGAATCCCTGCCTCAGTTGTGGAAGCGAATTCACAATTTCTTGTCGGCCACGCACGTTTCCCTGCATCTTGCGGAGAACAACGACGATTTGATTGGATTTTTCAACTCAGTACCCCAGTCGGCAATTCTGGATGCAGTCAAATGTTTAGTGGATGATTTTTGCTCCCAATGTGGGCCCGTCGATATTGCTGTGGAGCTTCGGTCACTTCCCAACTTCGAGAAGGCCTACGTAGGAAAGCATAGGTGGGGCAAAAGCCGTCATCAGAAGCACATCGCGCAGCGCCACATTGTGCAGATTGTTCAAGCGTCATTTGACACCGGCATTTTTTGGGCTGCAGGATCCGTCAGATGCCAAACTGACGGAACGTCCATTGGCAACCAAATCAGCCCAGTGCTGAGCAGTTTACCTGTCTGCCGCGCAGAGATAGCATGGGCTCGCTCTTTCGAGGCACAGAGATATCAAGCGTGTTTTCTTTGTAGATATGTGGACAACAGGCTGGTCCTTTCTACGGGTCAGGACCTATTGACGCCTGCGTTACAAGCGTTTACATCTCTTCATGTTTACGGGGACCAAATTTGTTTGGAAGCAGTAGAGGACCATTCATGGCTTGGTTTCACACTTTCAGCGCCCAACCGCACGTTTTTGCACAAGCTTCCGCAGAATCATCATCAGATTCGGAACGCGGAATCAGCAGGAACGCTGCCCTTACGCCTCTCAGGCCTGCGTTCTAGAGCTGCGCTTATTCGTCAGTACACTTGGCCCAAGTCACAAATCAAACCAACCTTGGACGCGCTTCGAGAACTTTTTTGCCGGGCAGGATTTCAAGAACATGATTTGCCATCTGTGAACACGTTGATGAAGCCAAAAGGGCGCTGATGCTCCCTGATCCACATTTGCCCAAGTGCAAGTGCCGTAGCCGAGCCGAGGTCCAGGCATCTTAACTTGGAGGGGCTTTTCCCGAGTTAGTGATCACAACTGCTGTTGTTTTTGGGGTATTTGCGTGGACTGTTTGAGTTCCCACCCGTTTTCTGCACCGTGTTTAATTTACTGGGATGTGTCCTTTCAACATGATCTAGCCCGCTCACTCACTGAGGCGCCTTTATCAAGTTTCAAGGTTGGCGACTCAACAATGGAAACCTCGAGGTTGAAGCCCTTTTTTCAGTGTTCTCTTCTTGTTTCAAGTTGCAATGCCCCCGTTTGTCAACAATGTGCTTTAACTGTCGGGATTGCAGAGAATCATCCACACATTTCTGTGCAGCCAGCACAGTGTGGGAAGCTAGAGGCGCCATTTTAATTGCAAAAGAAAAGCAGAAGGCGACTCAGCTACCGCAGTTTGTGAGTCCGGACGCAGAGGCAGCCCAAATTTCCCATTTTACCGTTCGACAGGTCAAGGTGACCCGGTTTCAATTGACGCGCAACTGCGCGGAGAACTTGCTAGGATTGCTAGGAGAACTTGCTGCCGCTGCTAATGCTTTCGGGCCACCCATCTTCTAGTTCTTTGGCGTGCGCCCCTGCGCTAAGTTTAACCATTTCAGAGCGACAGGCGCAAAGGCCAGTTGACCAGCGAATGAAACAGTGGTCAAAAAGTGAGACAGGAACCCACGCAGGAACACCTTAGTGAATGTCACCGCAAGAGGTTCATGTGCCGCCGTACGTTGCAAGCTCTGCGAGTTGCGGGAAACGCGTGATCAGAAGCCAGTCTATGTCACAGCTGGGCTCAGATACCGCACGTCTCCAGGCATACTACTTTGCCTGTCGACTCTGAGCCATGTCGCGTTATGTGTTCCAATTCTTCGTGGGAACAAGCCAGCCTGAACTCGGACAGTCAGGCGCAGCCCCGGCGTTGCAGCTACAACCGTCAGTGCAGCAGCCAGTCCAAGGATTGGCCGTGCCTCTCCCTCGTCCGCGTGCACGGAGTGTTTCACCACCTCCGCACATGCAACGCCAAGTCAAAACCCGCAAATCTCCGCAGTTGGGGACCCCGCCAAGGGGAAGCCAGTGGGACGCACGTCGTTCCACGAGAGCACGTCGCTCTCGATCCCGGCAGTCTAGGGCAAAGCATTTCCGGAAGAGGTCCAGGTCTCGAAGTCGAAGGCACCAACGAAGCGCAGTCCGAAGTGGACGTGCCAGAACTCCGCAGCGTCTCTCTGACAGGGTGGAACGCCTCCTGGGAACTTTCAATCCCAGTTACACATGGTGCCAAGCGCCATTCCACCTCCTCCAACAAGCCCCCCAGGATTTTTTGGTTGCCACCCGGGGCCACAAGAACCTTTCCGACAAGGGTTCACGCCAAGTACAGTTGTGCCGCCACCGGGGCTCCCGTTCCCGTCGGTTTCACCTCCGCAGCCCGATTTGTCGTTGAAATCATCGGCCCGGGGCACAACAGCTTCGACAGTAGGAACCCTGGCAAAGAGTGCTAATCCTCCAAAGCCCGTAGCGCAAGTGCCACTTGAGGTTCACCAGTCCCTGCTTGAGCAGTTGGGCCAGCAGCAGTCCGTGTCATCTAGCGCTTTTTCCCGTGCTGCGGCGCAAAACACAGGCCCTCAATCCGCCAAAGTCGGATCTGAGACTGCGCCAGTGACTACCAAGTTGCAGACATGGGACCGCCAGGGAGTTCACGAAGCTTCGCAGGATCATATAGATTCAACCGTGAAGCAGTGGTTTGAAAGAATCATTTCCCGCCAGCGAGCGTACGTCCTCACCCAGTTTTGGTCGCTCCCTCTTTCCATAGTTGAAGTTGTCGACAGGGATTTAAGACGGCAATGGGTGACACAGAATGTCCGACCCACTGCGCAGATACCGCAGTCGGAAGTAGATCGTGCAACGCAGTACTTGGCCAGTCTTTCCCCTCACCCTGTGGAAGACCCTTCCACAGGAGTATCGCTGCAGACGTTGCAGGCGTTGGCCAGGGCAGTGCTCAGCGCAGGCCTGCCATATGAGCAGGTGTTCAACCAGCCTGCGCAAACAATGGCCCACCCCAACGGCGCCACCATTTGGTTGTTTCCTGTTCGGCATTTCCCGGAGTGGGCGCCAGATGCAAGCGTGGGGGAATACCAAATGAGGTTTGCGCACTTTTCAAGTCCTTTGGGACTGGCCGGCATCTTCAAAACAGGGGTGGTTATGCCTACCACGATGCAAACCCTAAGTGAAGATGGAGAGTCTCAAGTGGAGAGGTTTTGCCCGCTCAGCTTTTTCGGGCGAGTCTCCACTGAAGCGTGGAGCAACCAATCCATCCTGAAGTTTTTGATCACAACAGCGGACCACCCGAAGAACTGCAACAATCTTGGAATTTCGGGAACCATAATGGGCACACACCACAAGTTTGGTCGTGCCGACACGTACAGAGAGCAGGTCCTAACATACTCCCACTGCGCTGTACGGTCAAGTTCAAAAGACAGGCGCTGGTGCCTGCGGAGTGACCTTTCTCAAATAGACTCCGTTTACGTTCTGGAAGACCACAGCGAGAACTGGGGGACGAAGTGGCTGGCCCGGCCTCAACCGTCCACCCATAAAGCAGTGGCGCCGTAGTACTCGTTTCTGTTTGTGACAATAGTTTAACACGTTGTCTCCCTGCACCTTGACCAACTTTGATCCTGTTTAGCCAGTTTGGGAGCGGTCTTTGCTCTTGCAATAGTTGGGTGGGGGCAGTTTTTCGGATCTTGTTTCGTGCCACTGACAGTCTCTGGAATCCGCTTTCAGCTGAGAGATTCGGCATGCTGGAAGGACGGGAAAACCCGACTGCGACGGGCAGAGTGCCTGCTGAGCTTTTACCGTTTTCTCTTAGGCAAACTTTTTGGGGGTTCCCCTCTTCGTGCTGTTCATCTGTGTTGGGTGCCTGTTTGGCGAACTGTGTGTGTCCAACCCTGCAGCTAAGGGAGTGGCCTTCGGCGACAGAAAACGAGTCCTGGGACAACCGCTCTTTTTCCTGTGTCTTTTCGGGCAACCACTTTTTGGGAACGTGATTTGGGGGAAGATTTGGTCCTGCGCACGAAAAATGACTTGCTTCGTTCAAGAGATACCCTAGTGATTGCTGCAACAAGCAGCTTGCAGAGATTTTGATCTTGGATGCAACACAACCGTTTTTGCGGTGCCTAGACACCATTTCATTTCAGCGGGGCCCAAGAGCGGCCACGCGGCTTGGGCCAACGAAGCTCCGCGTGGTTTGCTAGGATATCACTGCTCGGTGAATTTTTTTGCTTGACTTGGCTTGATTTAGGCTTTGTGCCCGGCAGACTTGGCTCTTCGCATCGTTCGCATTGATCGGGAGATTTGGATGGTTGTGTGTGTGTGTGTGTGTGTGTGTGTGTGTGTGTGTGTGTGTGTGTGTGTGTGTGTGTGTGTGTGTGTGTGTGTGTGTGTGTGTGTGTGTGTGTGTGTGTGTGTGTGTGTGTGTGTGTGTGTGTGTGTGTGTGTGTGTGTGTGTGTGTGTGTGTGTGTGTGTGTGTGTGTGTGTGTGTGTGTGTGTGTGTGTGTGTGTGTGTGTGTGTGTGTGTGTGTGTGTGTGTTTTTGGGGGGGGGGATTGTTGTTTCAGTTGAAATTAGACAATCAGCTAAATTGAGACATGACGTGCTCATCGAAGTAAGGGAGCCTTCAGATGAGTTCTGCTGTTTGTTTGGCCTTTGAGTTATAGTTTGGTTGGGTGCGCAGCAACTTGGGAGCCAAACCTGATCAGACATCCAGTGTCAGATAAACCTACTACCTGGCTAGACTCAATCGTTAGCTTGCTGTTGCACCCACAGACCATGAACATGGGACCAGAAATACAAGACCATTTGCAAATAAATTTACAAGTGACTTGGGTATGTGTTTTTGAGGGTACCCTTTTTGCCTTGGTTTCAAAACAACCGAAAAGAAAGCCACCAGTTTGGGGGACCACCTATGTATGCCACTAAAGTCATACTGTGGCAAAAGAATAGTCGATTGCTAGGATCCCCAGCAGGAGCGTCACCAAAATGAACGGTCAGCTGACAAGACCAAAACGCTTAGCTGACAATTCCATGCAGGGCTCTAGAACTGAACACTTGCCCATGGAAAACGTAGGCTCCCCCTCCAGGCTGTGGCGGTCTGTTTCCTGTTTTTTCTGTTACAGGCCTCCGTGGGTGGGGTTCGCCAAAGCAACGCCTTTTCTTCAGAGAACCTGCTGGGCCCATGCTGGACTACCCTGAGACTACCGTCAAATTTCTGGAGAGGGTTTCATTGGGTTCTTCCAAGTCAGTCCTTGAAATGTTGCTTTTTACCTTTGTTGTGAGGTCGCACGACGGAGCACGATAAGGGACTGATCCAATTTTGAGAGTTTCCGTCTTTGGAGTCTGAGCAGAGACTGGAATGCCCCATCCACATTGAAAGGATTCGTGGGGTGAGACACAGAACCGCAGGACAACACCCCCGCACCCCGACGGTATCAGGGCCTAAATACTGTTAGACTAGGCCCTCGACATAGCATACCACATATCGTTTCATGGGCATGTTGCGCTGTTCCTGCCTGCAGTTGTACCACCAGCGGGCCGCCGACCAGCCGGTTTGTAGCTTCTGGGCAAATGCTCAATGTCTTTCTGTGGGAACCCCTTGTGAGGTTGTTTCAAGGGAGCGGCTCTTCCTTTGAGAGGTAGACTACCTGTTCTGCAACGCACAGGGCATGGATGAGATGTTCTCTTTAGCATTCAGCTAGGTTTGCCCTTTGGGCGCAACGCCTTCATGTTTCTGGGAGGTGATTTCTCAGCAACAATTCCCAGTTCCAAAGGGACCTTTGCATAGTGATGTAGCCGTGGATCCGAATCCAACGAATCCGCAGATGTCGGACGGCGACGCTTCTCGAGTTTTGGGGACTCATGGCCGGTTGAAAAAGGCCCCGGGCCCCTTGGACAGACCCGCTCGCCTCCGCCCTTTCGGGTCACCGAAGGGAACCCTTGGCATGGAACGGGGGAAGAATCGAGAGACTTGGGTTTCATTCTAGTTTGAAGGCTATCCCACTTCCCAGTCATGCACTCTTGTTGTTTCTTTTTTGGGGCAAATCAACTCAACCTTATTTTTTTGGGGGGGCAAATCAAACAAAAATCCTTATACAACCTCCCCCACCCGAAGCGGACGAATTTGTTTTCTTCGCCTTCCCTCGGGATGGCACTGGCTTTCTTCAGGCCACAGCGCCCTTCGATGAGATCCGACAGCTGGAGGCCAACGGTCTCAGCCCATCAGGCCATCCGGTCGGCTGAAAAACGAGCCTCGTCTCACTCCCTGTGCTTCCAGTTGGAACAAGTAGCCAGGCATTGGCGTTTTTGATGTTTCTTTTTGTTTTGTGCTGTTGTAACTTCTAGGATTTAGACGATGCTTTTTCCTTCGCTATACTCGCAACTGGAAGCACTAGGAAGTCTTCAGGTTTGAGCCCCTGGTTCTTGTGGGATGGAAAGAAACAACCTCCAAACCACGAATGTAGCAACCGAGAGGGAAGCTGAACATGCGAAAGACGTGACTATTGGCGACGAAAAGTGACGTGACAATAGAGTTGTGGATCCCAGGCAAGCCAGTATAGTAGGTAAACAGCTTTTGTGCGTTTGTCAAAGGGTGGTTCTCTGGGTTGCCTGCTTTACAGGTAAATGAAGTCACTGGGAGGGGTTTACTTAAGTGACACGGTCATTGCCACGGAACCTGACCGGAGGTGCCTGGACCATTGTCCTCGGGTGCAGGGACTGCTCGTTGCATCTGGTGTTTGGATTCAATGAATCTCATCCCCGCAGATTCTCCCGGGACCGAAAAACACGATCCATGTGTAGAAGAACCTCTTTTTGGGGGAGCCCCAATGAAGTTCCTTTGGTTAATTTGTCAGGCCACCCGAGATGTTGAAAGGAACTGGTCACGACTCATCAGGACTCATCACCAGCTTTGGGGACCCCAGGAATGGTTGGTCTCTTTGGCGTTCTTAGGCCTAGAGGCCTTGGTGATTCGATGGCGAGAACCCAGGAGTTCAGCCATTTCCCCACTCATTTGGGTCCAAGTAGCTTGGGATGTTCTCCAAGGCCCCTGACTTGGACTCTTCGGCTTTGATCCCTCAGTTGGACTTCCCGAGTTGGCTCCCTCTAAATGCCTGGGTCAAACAGATTGTAGGGAGAATTGTGAGTTTCTTGCGGCAAAGTATTTCTGTACGTTGCTGTGGCTTTGTTTGGGTGCGTTCCGAAATCGCGAAACATGTAATCTACGAACCGAAAGAAGTGACTTCCCTTTTGCTGCCTTTCCCACCACTCAACTGGGGAATTGAGGGGAGCGGTATGTTTTCTACCATGTCCTCAGAGTGTCTCAAGATGACCAACCGCAAGAATACCTCGGTTTGATTTCTTTGGTTTGCTTTCAGGGACTAGTTTTCTACAAGCGACCCTGAGATTCTGTGCTGTAGCAAGCCACTTTGAATCTTTATGACCGCTTCAACATGAACCTCTTGCAGGCTGGGGGGGGTCCAAAACATGCTCGCCCTTCATTTGAGCCCAGTTTATCTCTGAATCCCTTTTGAATTGGTGGGCTCCGAAACAATGAAGTTTTCACTTTTCGGGTCACTGGGCAGGTGGGTAGGCGCGTTTGACTGGTTTCCCCGTAATTAAGGCGTCCTTGCCGGCTGTGGCGTGGGAATGCAGCGGGTGTGGCACTCGCAACCCAAGAAAAGGCTTCATCCTAGGCCTCCAATTTCTGTGCATAGGCAATCAATCAGCTTGAAACAGAATGAGCACTAGACTCAAAGCCAAACTCCCTGGGACAACTCGTCATGTTATGGGAATTCATACTCAAATTTAAAATGCTCTGATTGCCTAGGCAACTGTAATGAGCCGCTCTGCGTCGTAACGTCCCTCCAAAGACTTGGCGCCCCATCCGCCGAAGGTGAAATTGCGGCGCCGGCACCTATCACTCTGAAAGATGACGTGCCTTGGGCTTGACGAGCAAAACTTGAGTTGTTTTTGTTTCTCCGTTTTGGTTGGGTGGTAAAGGCGCCAAATTGCAAAGGGAGTCAGAAGGGAATGGATATGTCAAGTGATATGTCTTTAGCAAGTTTGCCGTTTTTGCCAACCCCTGAGGTTTGCTCTTTGTGGGAGGGAAATGATATGGGGGCTCAACAAGTGTTGCTTCCAATTCGGGTGGATAGCTATAGTGAGCGTCTTTTTTTGAGGGCAGCGGTTTTGAGTGCTTTCAAAGGGACAACACAGGTTTTGAGGATCCCCTATTTCAATACAGTTTTGCTGAACTCCCTTGCGGTCCTGGTGCGCTTTGGAAGTGGGCGGGCTCTCGCAAACGTGCGAGCCCATGAGACCTTCATCGGACCTTTGGACACACAACCAAAGACCAAGTTGGAGCATCTAAACGGGTCCCATGAGCGGTATAGGAGTCGATCTTGCAGCTTGCAAGGCTGTCTCCCTCCTACGTAGCTCTTACCCACCAGAGTCCAGATCCATGGATCTAGTTGTGATAGCCAGTAGAAGTCCAGACAGCACACGCCATCCCATAGCAGCTAACTTGTGGTTGTTCCTCATGAAGTGCACGTCCGTATCATGGTTCGAATGATTGATTTGGTTTGTTGGAAGAATTCCGTTGCCGCGGCAAAGTGCTCGTATTGCGGAAAGCCCGTCAGTAAAGCGTTTGAAAGGTTCCTTTGCCACCCCAACCCAAATATCCCAAAATCCTTAAACTCGCCTGAGTCTCGGGTTAGTGGAACCCAATAATTTTTCAATTGGCCTCAGTCTCGGGTTAGTGGACCCAAGCCCCCCCCCCAAAAGCCACAGCCCATGGACAGGTGAAGCGGAGCTTGGGCATCCCGCCGGAAGCCAAGGAGCCGGCAGCCCCAGCTTCCCAAGCCACGCTTGGATCGGGGAAACCTTCCGGTTTCCTGTCCCCCCCCAAAAAAAAAGAGAAATGGACGAGCCCCCCAAGAAAAGGGCGGCCAAAGCTCGTGGAAACCGACGTCAAACACTTTTTTTTGGGCGAAGTCTTCGTTTTTTGGGTGGGGTCTAAGTCCAAACTTTGGACTGTGAACTGAGCAGGTCAGAGTTCTTATGGGTCGTGGCCCTGGGCTGAGGTGTTGAATTGAAATTCTAATGAAGGGTAAGTGTATATTAAGCTTGGTGGTTCGTAGCCATCTCCTTAGGTTTTTGTTTTTAGGGTTAGTGGGGGTGTCCACTCAACCCACTAAAAGTCACACTTTGAGCAGGGGATCTGAGGACAGCGCGCGAAGTTTTGGTGGCACCAAAACATAAATGGAGGGTAGGACCGCGGTTTCAGTGTACTTGTTAAGTTGTTATGGGGCAAGATGGCGCAAGAGAGCTATCGTCACAGGACCTCCCATAAACTTTAGAGGCCTGGCTGGTTTGCGCGAGGGAAAAGCGGCGCAACAGCCTCGCAAGTGCCGCGCAAGAGGGCCCCCTATGGCAGGGGATGCACATCCAACCGTGGCTGTCTAGAACCAACTTGCTTCTCAAATCTGAGTAGGAATAAGAAAAATATTTCAAGAAACCTGTGACGTGCTGCCCCCCTTCTTCACTGCAGGCCAATCTTCTTTCTCTGTCCCTTTCCTTTCTGTGTTCCTGTTGCCTGTCTACGAGACACGGTGAAAAGCCGCAGGCCGTGCAAGGCGGCACAAAGGGCGGTGTTGGAATGCAGCAAACGCCTGGATTTCGATCAATGAATTACAACACCCAAAAATAAGACAAGTCAGGCGGTGTGCATGTGTGTGTGTGTGTGTGGGTCATCACAAGGGCAGAAGGAGGTGAGCCACAATTAAATCCGAGGTGGTAGCTTCAGTTTTGGGAGCGGCTGTCCACTGAGTTTGCATTGCGTTTGTGATGGACTTCTTACTTGAAGCACGTCTTACGTGAATCACATAGCGGAATGGGATTGTGGCTCGGTTTTTGAACAAGATGCGCCAACGACGGAAGTGGATTGCGAATCGACTGGTTCATCGCCAAAGAAGCGGAACGAGTCTGCTCAATACGTGCCAACATGAAGCGACACGTGTCATGAACGCTTGCCCACCAGCTAAGAATCTGCAGACGATCAATCGGCGGATGATAGATGTTTGTTGGGGCAATTCTGCACATGAGCTGCATCCTCACACATCTTGCTCATGAACGAACATTCCCTGTACAGCTACGTGGGGCTGAGGCAAACGCAAGTCCCGGTACCTGGATGAATGCCTTCCCACCAGTCCCAAAAGGAGCGTGGTGCTAGTCGATGACTCGCACGTCAGGTTTTGCTGGGCTTATCCTGTGGATGCTGGACGATGGTCGGATCAGGCCAGCTGCACCACGAGCTGTTCCATGGGGACCATGGCGCGGACATACGTTTCCTTTGCCCTTGGTGTCGTATGTTTGGTTGTGTTTCCTGGCGTGCTGTATGTTCTGCCTGGATCTGGTGTTGTACTGGGCTGAAAGCTATGTATGGTCCCGGGCTCCGGGTTCCCATTCCCCCCACCCCCCACCAATGGTCCCCCCCCCCTCCCCGAGAACCCGACCCCCAGGAGGAGCCCTGCTGCAGTCCCAGACCCGGGCCCCTTCACCCCCTGAACCCACACCCCGGCACGCCCTGCGCCCAAACTAACCCTATATAAACCAATCCTAAACTAGCTCGAAGCACACATCTTAAACCAACACTTGACACGTTCTGAACACACTCTAAACCAAGCCTGGACCAACTTAATCAACCCTACACCAACCGTAAACCAGCCTTAGATTAAAGCAACCGCCAAGCACATATCTTAAACCAACACTGAACACACTCTAAACTACCCCGGAATCAACCTAAACCACACCCTGCACCAAGGAAAAAGCAAAAAAACAACACGCATCCTACACCAACACTAAATACACTCTAAACCAACCTTAAACCAACCCTAAATACTAAACACATGTTTTAAACCACGCTAAACCACTACAACTAGATCAACCCTAAACCAAGCAGTATAAACCACTACAACCCCACCACAGGGAGGGCAGGGGTGGTCTTAGACCAACCATAAATCAACCCTAAACCACCCCAACCACACCACAGGGGGGGGGGGGGGACTGGGAACCATGGGGGGGGGAGGGGGGGGATTTGACCATATATACATATGAGCCACGGACAAAACACACGAAGACCACTTTATCAAGGCGGGGTACGTTTTTGCATAACACATGCCAAAACCATGGAAAACGATAAGGTCTCCCCCAAAAACGATAACCCTTAGCTAACACACGGCTCTACAATAATCCCTGCAGTTGTAACTTAGTTAGGGTGGGACCCTTGCGTGGCCACCGTAAAACGAGAAGGCGAGTCGCCACTTTCGAGCTGGGGCTGCCAAGGTGTGCTTCGTAAATACGACACTTGTATTGAGAAGTTGCGATTTTCGAGCTGGAGCTGCGGAAGTGTATTTCGCGTACTAGACTTGCACTACAAAGTTGCGATTTACGAGCTGGAGATGCGGAAGTGTACTTCGCGTACTACTAGACTTGTACTACACAGTTGCGATTTTCGAGCTGAGCTGCGGAAGTGCACTTCGCGTACTAGGCTTGTACTACAAAGTTGCGATTTTCGAGCTGGAGATGCGGAAGTGTACTTCGCGTACTAGACTTGTACTACAAAGTTGCGATTTACGAGCTGGAGCTGCGGAAGTGTATTTCGCGTACTAGACTTGTACTACAAAGTTGCGATTTTCGAGCTGGAGCTGCGGAAGTGTACGTACTGGACTTGTACTACAAAGTTGCGATTTTCGAGCTGGAGCTGCGGAAGTGTACTTCGCGTACTAGATTGTACTACAAAGTTGCGATTTTCGAGCTGGAGCTGCGGAAGTGTATTCGCGTACTAGACTTGTACTACAAAGTTGCGATTTTCGAGCTGGAGCTGCGGAAGTGTACTTCGCGTACTAGACTTGTACTACAAAGTTGCGATTTTCGAGCTGGAGCTGCGGAAGTGTACTTCGCGTACTAGACTTGTACTACAAAGTTGCGATTTTCGAGCTGGAGCTGCGGAAGTGTACTTCGCGTACTAGACTTTTACTACAAAGTTGCGATTTTCGAGCTGGAGATGCGGAAGTGTACTTCGCGTACTAGATTGTACTACAAAGTTGCGATTTTCGAGCTGGAGCTGCGGAAGTGTACTTCGCGTACTAGACTTGTACTACAAAGTTGCGATTTTCGAGCTGGAGCTGCGGAAGTGTACTTCCCGTACTAGACTTGTACTTCAAAGTTGCGATTTTCGAGCTGGAGCTGCGGAAGTTTCCTTCGCGTACTAGACTTGTACTACACAGTTGCGATTTTCGAGCTGGAGCTGTGGAAGTGTACTTCCCGTACTAGACTTGTACTACAAAGTTGCGATTTTCGAGCTGGAGATGCGGAAGTGTACTTCGCAAACTAGCACAACTAAAGTGTACTTCGCGTACTAGACTTGTACTACACAGTTGCGATTTTCGAGCTGAGCTGCGGAAGTGTACTTCGCGTACTAGACTTGTACTACACAGTTGCGATTTTCGAGCTGGAGATGCGGAAGTGCACTTCGCGTACTAGGCTTGTACTACAAAGTTGCGATTTTCGAGCTGGAGATGCGGAAGTGTACTTCGCGTACTAGACTTGCACTACAAAGCTGCGATTTACGAGCTGGAGCTGCGGAAGTGTATTTCGCGTACTGGACTTGTACTACAAAGTTGCGATTTTCGAGCTGGAGCTGCGGAAGTGTACTTCGCGTACTAGACTTGTACTACAAAGTTGCGATTTTCGAGCTGGAGCTGCGGAAGTGTACTTCGCGTACTAGATTTGTACTTCAAAGTTGCGATTTTCGAGCTGGAGCTGCGGAAGTGTACTTCCCGTACTAGACTTGTACTTCAAAGTTGCGATTTTCGAGCTGGAGCTGCGGAAGTTTCCTTCGGGTACTAGACTTGTACTACAAAGTTGCGGTTTTCGACCTGGCGCTGCGGAAGTTTCCTTCGCGTACTAGACTTGTACTACAAAGTTGCGATTTTCGAGCTGGAGATGCGGAAGTGTACCTCGCGTACTAGACTTGTACTACAAAGTTGCGATTTTCGTTCTGGAGCTGCGGAAGTCTATTTCGCGTACTAGACTTGTACTACAAAGTTGCGATTTTCGAGCTGGAGCTACGGAAGTGTACTTCGCGTACTAGACTTGTACTACAAAGTTGCGATTTTCAAGCCGGACCTGCCAAAGTTCGAAAACACTGTAAAACGATAAGGGTTCCCCCAAAACGATAACGTTCAAAAAAGTACTAGGGCCAAGTAGTTAGTAAAGTGTTTTGTCCGCTCCTCATACCTGAGCCCTCCAAAAAGTACTGAAATTTCCGTACATGCAGAAAAAAAGTGTCAATGTACACTTTCCAGAAAATTTGACGGAAATCGCTTTTAGCAGGCTGTGAGCGTTTGTGGTGCACTTGGATGCACATGAACACAGTTTGCAATTTACACGGCCCGTCATACTTAATTCCGTTTCAGGTCTTTCGTCTCCAATTGCTGTGGGGCAATGTGTGACAGCTTCCTTGCCGCTTTTGCGAGTTTGCAGTTTTCTCAGCCAAAATGCAGAAACCGCAAATGCACGGAAATCGGCGGGAAATGCACGGAAATCGGCGGGAAAAGTACGGAAATCTGCGGAAAATGCACGGAAATCAGCGGAACATATTCTTGAGGAAATGCGCACCTTTTGTCCTTGGTGAATTGCACACCTTCAAATGGTATGAGCATGACAATCTCCAGTGCCATGGCCGGAGCTGAAAGTGAGATTCTTGTAGAAAAAAGGTAGTTAAATGCTCCTGTGTCTTATGTTGAGCCTGCAAGAAAAGTACAGTTTTTGCTCAAATGTATGGATTTCAAGGAAATGCACGGATTTTTGCAGAGAGTCGCAAAAAAAGAGCCCTTGGTTGGTCCAGGTATGTAGGGGCTAGGCTGTTTTGCACGTTCGGGCGTTGCTGCAGATGCTAGTCAGGGTGCTGCTTCGAATGGTTGTTGGCAGTGCCTCTTTGCTAAAGAGGGGCAGGCTGTTTTGCGAGTTCAGGCGTTGGTGCAGATGCTGGGTCATTGCTGGCGGTGCCTATTTTCTAAAGAGGGGCAGACTGTTTTGCCAGGCGTTGCTGCGGATGCTGGTCAGGGTGCTGTTTGGGGTGGTTGCTGGCAGGGGCAGGCCGTTTTGCGAGTTGAGGCTGTTTGGTGTGGTTGCTGGCAGTGCTTGTTTTCGAAAGAGTGTCACGCTGATTTGCGAGTTCAGGCGTTGCTGCAGATTCTGTTTGGGGTGCGCTCAAGGTACTTTGGTGGTTGCTGGCAGCGTCTGTTTTGCGATGCAGTCAGGGCGTTGTTGTGGGTGCTGGTCAGGGTGCTATCTTGGGTGCTGGTCCGGGTGCTTAAAGTGCTGTGGCGGCTACTGGCATTGCACGTTTTGAAATGCAGCCTTGATGCTGTTGTGAGTGTTGGTCAAAGCGCTTCCGGAAGTGCTGGTCAGGGTGCTTTTTGATGCTTTCAAGGTGAGACGGCAGTTGCAGGTGGGGCACTTTGGCGATGAAGGTGCTGTTGTTGGTGTTGGTCAGGGTGCAATTTGGGTGCTGGTAAGTGGCGTGCTCAAGGTTCCGCGTGCTGTTGCTGCTTTGGGGCGGTTGCTGGTGGTGCTTGGTTGGCGATGCAGGCAGGGCTTTTGGGTGCTGGTCAGGATGCGTGTCAGGGTGCTGTTTGATGTGCTGGTGGTTTTTGGGCGATGCAGTCAGCGTGCTGATCAGGGTGCAGTTGTAAGCTGCCATGCTATCTGGAACTATGCTGCCGTAGCTCGAACCTCCAAGGTTTTTCCGGAAATGGCCCCAATCCATTTGGAGAAATGATCCACTTACACTTCTTCGGAATTTTGGCGTGAGAGTGTTTGTCGGCTGGAACACGTGCGACCCGTATTTGAGACCCTGGCGCTTGCCAGACCCCTTTTGCTTTCTTCCAAAAATTGGAGGCGCGGGCGGGGGAAACCCAAACCAATCAGAAATGCGAAGCCCTTCTCGGGTGCCTTTTGAAGGACTCTCCGATTCTTTGACCTTTGGCGCGAGCTCACCGATTCGGTGTAAAACAAGGTTACCATAAAGGTCCTTGCGGGTCCCGTTCCTGGCTTCTGCTCGAAGTTGCAGGTTTCTTGTCGGTCCAAATCAACTTTCCTTTTTCGGACCTCCAAAAGTGGCAGACGCAAAAGGAACCAACCAATTGATGGGTTTGTTGATTTGGGGAATCCAGTTGACCCCTGTCTCTCCCCCCCTCCCCATCCCCAAAGACCCCTCAACGCCGGGCCAGGCCCTGGCCTATTTTTCCATCAGCACGCCCAGCTGCGCCTTCTTCGCCTACGGGGGCTACATCTACTTCGACAAGCGCGGGCGGGTGGTGGCCATGTGTCTCGACACGCGGGGGACCGGGGGGGAGGGGTCACGGCTGGTACGGTGGATGAACTTGTTGCCAAGGAGGGGAAGAAGGGAGACACTCGAATTTACCATGATGTACCATGGCTTTGTGGCTCTGCATGGTGGTTTCACTTGCAGAAAAAAAGCAGGGGCATCCACCGCAGCCTCTGGTTTTAAGCACGGGAAGGCGGGTTCCGTGTTAGAGGGAGACTCCATAAACCAGTGGGTTTGGTTTCAATTTTGGTTTTATTTGTTGCGGGGGACTTTCCTTTTTGTCCACCTCTTTCTTTTTGGCTTTGTTCATCTTTTAGCCGAGACCGATCAAAACCCAGCCGAAATTCCTCCGATTTCTGTTTATCCCTTTTGCAGTGCCCCCCCGTACCCTTGGACTTTAAGACGTTTGGCATTTAGAGATACCCTATTCTGACACATCCCCCGTTGTTTATTTTGCACGGGATCAACAAACCACTACTCGTGGCTTGCATTGGATGTGAATCTCTGGTTCTTGTAGAGACTAAATGGCAAAGCCTACCCCAAACCAGCAATTGAAGGGGACACCCCAAGTAGAAGGCCTATATAGTTGCCCTCAATATAGCCATAAACCCTACACAGTCATACAGCCTTCTATTTCTACATAAGCCCTACATAGTTATACTCCCTATATATGTATATATGCCAGTATATATATATATAAATTATATAAGGCTAAGCAGGTGACTGCCTATCGTTCCTCCGGCTTCGTCCGATTTGTGGGGGATTTCTCGCTTTTTTTTTCACCCGAGGTGCGCCATCTCGCTGGGCAAAGGCCTGGAGTTTGAGGAGGGCCAAGCCTGGGACTCGCGGTTCAACGTGTACTTGGAGAAGCGCTGGGTGCGGGTCACCGTGCCCTACATCTTGGACAAAGGCCTGGGAAGGAGGAGGGGGAGTTTGGGGGTGATGGGGGTGATGGGGGTGATGGGGGTGATGGGGGTGATGGGGGTGATGGGGGTGATGGGGGTGATGGGGAGGGGGGGGGAGGGGGAGGGGGGAGGGGGGAGGGGGGGGAGGGGGGTGTGGAGGGGAAGGGGGGGATGTTGGGAATGGGGGGGTGGGGATGGATGGGGGTGAAGGTGACTGAAAAGGAACCTGAGGATGCACTGAAAGATCTCAAAATGGGCCGAGGCACATCCTTGAACACTTGAAAAGCCACACGTAGAGAATTGGGAACCATGACCATGAAACATGTTGTTCTGGCACCTTTGGGTGAAGCCTCTGTGCACATGTTTAACAGGGTCATCCAGACTCCATGGTGCAGACAGGCATCTTCTCTTTCTGTTGTTTGTGTTTGGCATGCTTGGCGTGATTTTGATTTGCGGATGCATTGTGCTCGGGCTGAAAACGACACCACAAAAAGCGTTCTCCCTATCTTGGAACCGCCAAACAAACGAAACGAAAACCTCCAAAACCCGCCCGGCGGGGGGGGTGGGGGGAACCAGAGACGACAAAATACTCGAAGAAGCGCGATTTGCCCAAGCCCCCAGCCCCCAACATACTCCTGGGGTTCAAACAACCATGAAAGACCAAAGAATGCTCAACCCTTCTTTTTAGGGGCAAGGAACCCTACAAATACCCTACAGATGCTGGCGGCAGCACCCCTTTTGTGTCCCTCACAGTCGGCTCCATCGGATCCCGGGTGCGGCAGGCGCCAGGTTCTTCTGCTGGATCAACGGGGGGGAGGTGCTGCAACCGCCCTGCAAGGCGCGGAGGGGGAGGCTGGGGGTGGGGCTGTGGCACTGGTTGGGGGGGGGGCTGGGCAAAACAAGCGATCTCAGCCATGAAAAGTGTCCTCCACTTGGGGATCGAATTCTGAGTTCAGCATTGGAATTATTGCAACCTCGGTCGGTTCAAGTTGGGTTATGAACAAAGAACAACAAACCGCATTTTGGAGGTTTATGCTCCATTTATAGCAACCGCCAAGTGTCAAGGCAAGCGCAGGACACCGCAAGTTTGCTATGGATGAGGCAGAGCGATGCCTGCATTGGAAGACGAAGTTGCGATCCTCAAAGCGATGACCAAACTGCAAGGCTAGAGCACAACACCTTTTGGGAGCCCCATGTTTTCCTTGTCCAGTGGCCACGTTACCTAGTCGAATGGGAGAAGACCAAGAAAGTGGGACCTGACCCAGCGATCTCAAGGTCTCGGTTTGTGAGCTTACCCAAGGTTTGGGTCCCTGAATTCAGCTCGGAAAATGAGTAAGATTCGTTTGGATGGATTCCTGCCAACAAGAAACATGTTTTTGTTGACCAGTTTGGCTTCTCTATCATTCTGGTCACGACCCCAGTACTTGAGGATTCCCAATTTCCAACTTGTCAATTCTTGCGATTTGCCCGGAGAAGTAATAAGGACATCTTATCCCAACATGGACAAAACACCATCCTTCTGAATTGAGGTCCATTCACCCTTCAGATCTAGACAACTTTATGTCATGCCCCTGTGGACTCCACTCGCTTAGTACTTCGAGAGCATGGAGTTTGGGCAGATTGCCTCTCCCGATCTCCCCGTGAGAAATGGAAACTGGGATGGGGGGGGGTAGAAATGGTGGTGGAGTCTATGTTTGGTTGCTGGTTTTGGGGGCAGGGTGGGGATAATGTAAGTGTTTTTTTGTTTTTCTCAAAAGGACACCAAAAGGCTTCAGGGGATGGGGATCAGTGCCCCACGGCGGGATTTGGATACCTGGTCAATATAAGAGCACTATGAGAGTGTAAACAACTGTGGCCACTGTGCACCGTTGATCATGACTGAATTAGAGCTTCAGGTAGCCCACAATCTTGCTCTAGAAACGTCAGACAAGTGAGCCTGACAATGAGACCCATTGCCAATCGCACGCATCACTTATTTTTCCCATGATTGCTGTCACCGCGTTGCTTCAAATATGGAGAGATAGGTAGATGCATGGATACAAAGGTACATGGGCAGATATATAGTTAGATAGAAAGGTAGACAGATAGGCAGATAGTAAGAAAGATGGGTAGGAGAATTACGTAAAAACAAATGCGGAGATTGCCAGTCAGACACATCGGTAGATAGATCGATAGCGGGTTCTCGATACATAGATCCTTTGCATGCACAGATACATAGACAGGCAGACATACACAGAGAGAGAGAGAGACAGACCGACAGAGACGGACGGACAGACAGACAGACAGACAGACAGACAGACAGACAGACAGACAGATATATATATATATATGTTGATAGATGGAAGGATGGATAGATAGAGCAAGAGAACTAACAGTAGAAATAAAGAGAAACATAAAGAGGAAGAGGAAGAGGAAGACAAGGTGAGCGAAGGTGAAAGAAGATGCAGAGAAGAAGGAAGGGAAGGAACACGAGGATAAACAAAAATGAGAAACACGAGAAAGATCAAGATGACGAGAAAGAAGAGAGAACTAACACACAGAGAAAGACAAATGTGAAACTTCTAGAGCCAACCGGCTTTGCTCGCTCGACTGGGACTGGGAACCCATTCCCAATCAAGTACAGCGATACGAAGAACATCAGCATCAAAGCCGCAACGAACACAACCACACGCTTGAGGGGTAGCAAACAGCAATTTTGCCATGATCAAAAACCTGCTTACTCGAGGTTGCTAGGAATGGCCGTGACTTCTTTAGAAGGGAGTTCACCATGAAAAGGGCGTCCATGACCATGTGCCACGTGTGGGGTCGTGACCATGGCGCATGTAGTGTTGGCCAATTTTTTTGCCAGGATGTGTTGGGAGGAGAGCCGTGGCAGGCAGGCGACTGGATCAGGGCTCGTTGATGCCTGCCCTCTGATTTTCAGTTACAAGTTCCAAGTATTTGCAGGCTCAGGATCCCAGCCGCTTAACCAAGCCCGCCTTCACATGTTTCTATTGTGAAAAGCCAAGAAGGAAACAATTCGGGGGAAGAGGATGGATGGGATTGGATCCTGCGAAGCATGGTAAGGTTCAGGGCATTGCTTGCTTGGGGCTGCCACCATAATTCCTTAGCTTCCTTTGGGGCAAAGCAGGCTCAGCAATCGATCCTTTAGCTTGGCTCTTATTTCCAGTTTACAGCTGTTTTGCATGATGATATGTTCTCTCGCGCAACTACCGGGCAGCAGATGTCCAGACTCGGAAACCGAGGGTTGCAGCCAAGTACTGTTGAAATGGCGGCACGCTGGGTTGAAGCGGAGGAGATAATGACAAACATCAGCAAGAATGGCCAGTCCATCACCAGTTTTCAAAATGGTCGACCCGCAAATCGGGTGGTTTCCTGTTTGTTTGCCTTCAAGCAACCCCCCAACAAATATTCCCTGAGCACATATTTGGCGGCCTTCCACGTCCATGGATTTTGCTCCTGGGTGTGTCCATTGGAAAAATCTCTTCCCCCTATTAATAAATACGCCCCCCCCCTATTATAAATAAATCCCCCAAAACATGTTTTTTTTAATTGGGGTTTTTGGGGTTGGGTTTTTTCTGCTTTTCCGACAATGTGAGGGTTCACATAGGATTTGGAGGAAATGGATTGAATTGTAAGCTTCGCGAGGAAGCGGTTTAATAAGGAAATTTGATGTATCATTCTATTTGTTTTTCAGTTTACTGGTTGTTTGTTTGCAGCCAGGCAGGTTAATTAGCCAGCATGTAATTATGGGAGAGAGACAGTCGCAGCTAGACAGCTTTTGGGGACATGTTTGCTTTTGAGAGACACCCCAATAATTAAAGGACCCAATTATATATATATATATATATATCAAAAAAAAACACTTTGGGGTGCAGCCAGGCAGGTCAGGTAGCCAGCTTGTGATTGACTGCTAGACAGTCCAGTGCTCGAGAAGGCAGTGTGGGTTTCAAGACAGCCAGACATGCATTCAGTGATAGGAAGGCAGCCAGCAGGGCACAGCTAGGCAGAAAACTCAAACCAGACAGCTGATCTGGGCGGCAGCAATGGCTGGAGATGGAGGAAGAAGAGAGCAGAGGTCAGCGCAGCCGGCAAGCTTAGCCTAGTTCAGGAGCTGAAAAAGATGGAGACAGCCACAGGCAGCAAAGCAGCAGCCAAGCAGCACCTGCGGCGGCAGTACAAAGTCAGCCATAGTTTTGCAAGTCGTCTAGCCCAGCCGAGCGAGCAGGAAAGGCTGGCAGACTTTGTGCAGATGAGGAGCCTCGGCAAGACCGGGCTGAGACAGCAAGGCAGCCACTTGGGCTTTGCCTGGATGCAGTGGCGAGGCCTTGGCAAAAGAATGCAGCCTTTGGTGTTGTTAAATATGTGTATATATATATATGTACAATTATATATGCAGTTGTTTGACATATGTTGTTGTTTTTTTGTTTTTGGTTTGAGCTGCACTGCTGGGAGTGCTTCTTTTGGAGCCAGCCAGGCAAGAGACAGCTAGGTCAGCCTAGCTGGGTGCAGCTAGCCAGGCAGGCAAGGCAGCCAGGGCGGAGTAAGTGTGGTTTGGGTCCCCATAACCCCTACAAAAAAAGGGACAGCCAGGCAGAAAGGATGTTTCGTAGTTTGTTGGGGCAAACCCAGGACAGAGCTCTGCCCAGGCAGCCAGACCAGACAGACCGCAGCCAGGTGACAAACGCAGCCAGCCAGGGAGTCAGGGACAGCCAGGGACAACAGAGTCAAGAACAACCTTTTGGGGAACCCACCAAAAGAACCCAACCTTTTGAGAAGCCAGCTTTTGGGGAAGCAACCTTTTGGGGAATTGAGGAACCCACCTTTTGAAAGGTGAGGCTGGAAGCTTGCTAAAAGTGCCCCCTAATAAGGATTCCCAGACTTTAGTATTGGTGTAGCATTGGCGCAATGGAAAATCAATTGTGTGGGGTGGAAATCTGGTCTCGGGCCCCGGATTTGCATTTATTATTATTGGGGGTCATTCATTAATAGGGGGACGAGATTAGTTCAATTTGTCATATTACTTTGCACAGGTTATATTGGGCTCACCTACGGGTAAAGCGAGCCCCCCTTGTTTGTGAGGACTGCCAGTACATATGGTTTGGGAATTGTAGTAATTTGGCCAGATTTATGGTTGTTAGATGACTTTGCGAGCGATTTCTTATAAAGGTTCGATTCTGAGGATGTTCCCCATTCCCACCCTTGATATCGGAAGCCACTCATTTGCCTTTCGATTGCAGGCAATTTTCTAAACAGGAGCTTCGATCATGACATCATTGTATGGATTTGACGTTTCTTAAATGTCGATGGACAGACCATGAAAACCTCACACGGGTAAGCCAGCACGACCTCACAAGGGGTTGCCTTCTCGGCTTTTTTTGGATGTCAGCATGGGCCAATGTCACGAGAAAGTGTTCGGTAAGTACATACATCTAGAAATTACTTGACATCCCACAATGGGGGCACCCCGCAAAATGGGGTGGGCTCTGCCTTCCCCAAAGCAACCCCATGGCATCCGTCGCCAGGCCCCGCCCAACGGCTGCTTCGTGTATCTCTTCAGTGAGTCCTCACACCTGGGCGCCGGGGCGCCCAGGCGGTACCGGTCTGCGAGCGCCCCAAGGCTTTCGCTGGCCTCGAGGATGGTTTCCACCAAACGGGATCTTTCTTTCACACGCCCAAATTCAGCGCCCAGTTTGCACACAGTCAACATGGATAGAAACGCGCAGCTGCCGAGAAAAAAATAAAGAGGGAACTAGCGATGTTCAAACAGCAGCTGCAGCATGCGGGGTTCATCGTTTGACGCAGCTAAGGGATAAAGATAGCGGGGTAAAATGGGCGATTTGACCCATCATGACGATTCCATGTCTCACTTCGGTGTGCTAATTGTCATAATTTGCCCGGATCAGGAGGCTGGAGCTTTTTTCGCCACAGCACGGTGTTCTGAAGGTTTCATTTGGGAGCAAACAAAATGAAATTGTGCTACTCCCCACACCCCACACCCCACATGCAATGTCGTCGAGATAACATACCCTTTCTGGGACGTCCCAAAACAACATGCTACAGAGGGTCCAGCAACGAAAAGCCTGGAGGAGTTGTGGGCAAACCCCAGAACGAGTCCTGATGTGAGTAACTCCTCCCATTTTGCTGCAATGGCCACAACCAGGATAATAGCAAGTTGAATGAGCCAAGCCTCCATTTTGAAGAGCCAAGTCAATTGACAGTTTGTTTTGAAACAACATGTCCCTGCACTCAGTTGCCCAGGAGAGAGCTGTCCAACGTTGACTTGACCTTTGACCTTTTGACCTTTGGTTTGCTGACATTTGATGTGATATTTGGGTGTATAATTTTCTTATCCATGTTCAGGACCTCCTTGCGCAGGGCGTCTGCACTTCTGCGGAGTCACTCTTGTCCCCCCAGCCCCACCGCCCCACCCCTACCGCGCGCGCGCGCGGATCGTGCTTGGAAGGAAATCGGGGGCGCTTTTTCCGAGGACAAGCGGGACGTCTTCTTCCCGGTGGCCGCGCCAAGCTTGAGCCACAAGGCCTTTGGCCGCGCAGGCGTCAGTGAGGAAGAGGCCAGGGACCCAGCTGAGGGCTGATGCGGGTCGTGTGGACGAGCACCGGGGGGGTTTCTACGGGCTCATTAAAAAGGACCCCGGCAATGTTCAATGTCAATAACACATGTAAGAACGCCAAGAAGAAATGCCCGAATGTGTTTCTACATCTCACTCTCTGTGTTTGTGGAGTTTTCAGGAAGGCTAATTTGGAAGAGAACACAGTTTGGACTTTCTGTTGGCCAATCCACTCGGGAAGGGAGACTTGGAGTTTCCGATTCAGCCTTAGAGTTGCAATTCGATGAGTTTGCGGACTTGCTTTCTCAATTTGACTTGGTTCCCAGCCACAACCTGCAGCACAGGATCAGGGAACCACGAAGTTTTGTCAATGTCGATCTTTTCTGCGAAGTTTGCTTCGCGGGTCAGTAATTCAAGGAGTCTCCGTGCCAAAGCGCGGACTGGTTCCGGAAGGACGCGCTGGACCTGCGCCCAGCTGCAACAACTTGGCGCAAAGTCGGATCCTGGTGCGACCGCATGGAAGGGCGCCTGAGCGGTAGCCGCGAAGGTCGGGTCATCGAGCCCGGTGGTCCCGGGCCAACCGCCTGGCGTGGAGAGCAAAGATGACGAATGGGGAGACGAATGGCTGGAGCTGCAGGAGATTGAAGGGGACCAAGGCTTAGTGCTACGACGGTTCAGAACCACATGGCGTGTGTCATGTCCAAAAGTCATCTTTGGTTGTGACACACAAAATGATAAAGACTTCACCTGCAAGGTGCAACATCGAGCTCCGAAGGTTCATGACTCCAGGATTCCGTATAGGCTCGTGAAGTTGAAGATTGTTTTTGTTGGTTCGGTTTCTGGGTCAAATGTCAAAGCTCTTGGCCACTTGAACCTTGCTTGCGGGTGACGCGATGAGAACCGGCCAGCGCTACGCTGCGTTTCTGTGAGCCCTTTTGAAGATTCCCTTTATGATGTGATCACAATCCAGCAGCCTCCAAGGGTTGCTGTTGTTGTTCTTGTTTCTGCTGTCATGGTTGTCATGGTTGTTATGGTTGTCGTTGTTGTGGTTGTGGTTGTGGTTGTTGGTGGGTGGCTTTTCCATTTGTACCTGGAGTGCCCTTGTGTGAGCCATGTTGGGTACCAATGGACAACCCTTGGAGCCTGCTGGATGACAAACTGCGTTTCAAGCCCAGACAGAGTTTGCCGATTTCGCCTGCCTGCGACGAATGCACAAACTCATTTAGGCAGCGGACACGTTTGCCATCTATCGTGCATACGGGTATTGTCTTTGTGTACCGGGGTTGAACAGGCCAACCAACAAGGAAAACCGCCCCCCTGACTTCATGAGCCTTCTGGATCACGTGGCAACCAACACGTCGGTTGGCCTTTTTTCGGCCAATCCTGGTAATGAGACCATCTTGGGTTTCCATGAGACAAATCCACCTCCACGTTGAGTCGTTGAGTCGACTGTGCGCAGGCTATCATTCAACTGCGGCAGATGATGGGCGGCGAAGCCAGGATTGCATTTAGACAGGGCTCCTTAGAAGATACATTTTGCCCATTTGAAACATGGCTTTTTCCACCAAAATAAGGGGAAACCTCCGTTTACAAGGCAATGTTCAAATGTATAATGTAAGGGACCCTGTTAGACTAGCAGAGTCACAAGCAAAGCCACCTGGGGGAGCAAATTGCGAGGTGCCCGGCAAGACGGCCAGAGGTCAATGGACCAATGGAAGGTTCTCCTTTAGCCTCAAACTCAGCCACACGGGTAGTGCCCACGTTCAGCCAAGTATTGCTAGTGCCCATGATCAGTTTGGTGATTGTTCAGGTCTTTCACCGCTGCGCATTTCTGCCGCGGCCGTTTGTAGGGGAGGGGGCTGTCGAGTCAATGCATTGTGCCAGTTCTACGGCGAGCTTGCCTGGTGGTAAAGCGCTCTCTCAATGATGTAGGTCCTTTATACGTCGGGATTCAATTCTTAGCTCAGGTTGAGCGTATTATGCAATTGTCAGATCGGTGTATGATTAGAATTCGTCGATACATTGCCGCACCTGACGATGCAGCCCAGACACGAAGGAAGTCCAAAGATGTTGTGGGGATATGCATGCATGGAAGTGGCGGTCCGAGAACTCTCACGAAGGTAATCTTCCGCGACTTACCGCGTAGATGTTGGCAACAATGCCATGAGCCCAGGGAAAGTGTGGCACTGCCAGACGAAAGCAATCCAGTGTTGCTTGCTTGGGACAGCTGGCATTGGCATGACAAGTCTTGTGCACAGGGTGATGCTTCGAAGTGTTGCTGGACCCATGTGCCACGACGCGTTCAGTTTCCCGTCCGAGCGGATGCTTAAGCTAGGGTGGATTGAATATGTTGTTCACAGGCAGCGTGCGCTCACTTGGCTCCGACCACGAGCAAAAGGTCAATCCTAGGATCCCCGTTCTAGAAAGCATGCTTCTGGGGCACACATAAAAGATAAAATGATGGTTGGCCCTTTCATTTTTTGAACTCGGATAGATCCCCTTCTATCACTGCTTTCTAGATTCGCAGATGTGCTCGGCTTAGGGCGGAATCTGCCGGTTTGCCGACATGCAGTGCTTATGTTCATTGTGAATACAGACAACATATGCGGAAATACAAACATGTTGTTTCTGTGTGTGTGTGTGTGTCGCCAATTTAGCTGAAGGTGCGTGCCAGATGCAGGAAACATGGGCCCACATTTGCGTGGCTCCAGCGCGTTGTGACATGTTCCCATGAAGGAGTTCTCCAATTGTCGGCAGCTAAAATAATTTCCCTGGAGACCTTGCCCAAAACCGTTGCAGAGCCGGGCACACCTTTCTTGGTGGCTTTCTTACAGCACACATGCCCTCTTTCAAGATCATCACGGTGGTTGAAGATGATATTATATATATATATATATGTATTGTGTTGTTCCCTACTGGTTTGCCTGCGCGAAACTTGAGCGACAAAGGACCAGAGGTCAAGCAAGTCCGGGTGTTACTTCACCCGTGCTGCGCGCCTTTGCCTGTCGCTTCATGGAGTTGAGGGTTGCCGGTCTGGATGGCAACCAGCTTCAGTGCCATTGCAGCGGCGACATGCTGGGCCATCAACTGCTGACGCTTCTGCAGCACCAGCTGCCGCCCAGGCCCGGCGGCGTGCTGAGCCTTTGGTTCGGCGACGCCAAAGTTGAACCCAGGCGCGGGTTGGAATGTTCAACGTGGAATTCTAAGCGTCAACGCAACCAATATATACCCTCTAAGCGAAACACCTTTAATTTTAAAGGGTCAAATGGGAAAACCTGGTTTTTGGGCAAGTTTTGGAAAAATAAAGGTTTTCCAGGGAAAAACCTGGTATTTCACTTACATCCTTTATTTTGGCACTTTTCGCAAGCGAAATGTCGGATGTTTGAAGAACAGAGCAAAGGTGCCGGATCTCGCGCAGGTGTTGAAAGGAGCCGCCAGGTTTCTTTCACTGCCAAATTGTATATTGGGTTTCTAGATGTTTTTTGGGAATCTCTTGTGGTTTTTTTTGTACCGCCAAGTGCGCGATAGCCCCCTGCTCCTCAAGATTGGAGCTCAAAAGGCAGGGGTAGACGCGAGGGCGTGGTCAACCAAAACTCAGCAATGCAGCGGGACAACCAACTTGAATGTACAAGTGTGCAGCTCACTACATGACCATCAGTAGCTCTGCGTGATTGACACATCATGCTCATCTTGGTACTTTTTTGTATTTTTAAAACATCAGGCAGTATCCCAAAGTGACACTTGCATTCTTTACTCGGCTCGGCGCACAAGCCAAATGCCAACAAAGCTGGCCTCAGGCTAAGTCGCACTGTCTTCCAGCACCTTACTTTGATTCGATGGGAAGCACAGTCCAAGCCAAACATGTTGCGTAGTACGTGCTTGTGCCCGAAAACCTTCGGACGTTCTACCGCAATGTCATACAAAACCAGTTCGCTGCTCGCGCAATCTAGCTGTGTGCCCGCTTTTCTTTGCTGGAAAGCTTCTGGAAGGCCGGGCGCGTGCGAAAAAAAAGGAAACCCATAAAAATCCCATACGAATCCCATAAAAATCCCATACAAACCCACCCTTAGGGTCCGAAGCCGTTCTCAGGAAGTACTTTCGAAAACGGGTCTGCAGCGTGGTTTTGCCCTGAATTCTTCTGGAGACAGGTCCCGGTTTCGAAAATCGGCCGAGTCCGTGCTCTGAAACTGTTCGCTTGTACCTGCAGCACATTTTTGATCCTGGCAGAGGGCATCCAGGAAAACCTATTCCATCTAGATAGAAAATGTACATGTTGTTGATTGTGAAACAAGTCACAGGTCCCGAAAGGCAAGGAACTCCTGCTGGCACCTTTTGCCATGGGCCTCCTTCGAGCTGCAGCTTTGCGTGGGGGTGCGCCAGCCCCCCTGCTGTGCACATTTTTTCGCCACGAGCCTGTGATCAGATTCCCAAACTGCTTAAGTGCCTCAAAATCAGAAGATGGTCCTCTGTTTGACACATCAAATATGTACTATGAGTCAGTTCCATGAGGTGTTTGGGCTCTTTGCAACGTCCGGTGAGCATTTCCTTCAAAACCCGGCCACAGCAGTGCCACTTTGTGCTCTGCGCAGCCCCGGATCAAGTCAGCGAGCACCTGAAGCGATCGATGGCAATTGCCAGAGCTGACTCGTCAGCATCTGAGAGCTCGAGCCTTTTGTCAGCTGTTGATGGAAAGAACATCCTGGTAACCCCTTTGAAGCTGGAGGTGTCAGAATCTTGAATGTACTTAAAGCTGGCGTGCCATCATATACATGCGCTCTGCGCAACCAGCTACACGACATGTTCCAAGGACATCGCCCAACGCATCTTTGATAGCCTGCGCTTCTATGCGGAGTTGCATGGTCAACAAATCATGGCAGACCCAGATGCTAGGCTCAAAGCATATATATGAGCTGCAAGTGTGTAGCTTCCAAATGGACCCTTGTACACTGCAGGCTTCACGTGTGTACGTTTGAGATGGATCAGGGGTAGCTTGGAACAGCAAATCGGCCCTCGGTGTTCCTGTTTTATTGCCAGGATCGAAACATCATCCAGTGGGGTGACAGGGAGCGGTCAGTAGCCTTGGCCTCAGAATATTGCAGCCTTCCTGTAGCCTTGCCTCTCTAGTTTCCAGGCCCCAGGGCTGTAAAATGCAGGTCCTTGAGGAGGATCTTGTCAACAACTACTTCCTTCTTCGGGAGTACTTGATTGATGCTGTGAATGGTGATGGCCAATGTCCGGTTCCAGCACTTCAACATCACAAGGTTCGCCACTCAATCATGGGGCAGTGCCAGAAACAAATGATGACAGGCAGCTTTCATCTTGCTCAGCTGCACGTACAACTATCATGCTCAACACTACCGAGTGAGAGGTGGCAAGGGGCTGATCAAGGAAAGCGGATATGCATTTTCTTTAGTAGGTGGTTCATTTAAACTTCCAAATGCAACTGCTTTCGCTAGGAGTGGGCAAATGTGCAAGCGACACGCCTACGTGCGATGGGATCTCATGTCGTGCGCATAACGGATCGGACGACTTCAGCAAGGCTGGCCCAGTAACCGGTCAACCAATATTGCAATTGTTCAGCTGCGTGCAGTTCATTTGAACCAGGAGTCCCAAGGTCCAGCTTCTTAAGCGGATAGTTTCCACCATCAGAGCTGAGTTCATCAAGGCTCGTTCATCCCTCCCAGCTCCCTTACACACGCCTGCTCGTCGGCAGGAGATGTTGGCTCGCAACAAAGAGGACGCCTCCAAGCGGGCGCAGGCACGTGTCGATGGCCAGTGGGCATGCAATATTGCATGACTGCACGAACATTGAATATAGCTTTTTCTCTCGGAGTACATGTACATTCAAACCCTGCACAGCTCGTTTTCAAAATCGATTTTGCAATTAACTGGTCGGTGCACTGCAGCGTGCAGGCTGAGGAGGCAAGCCAGGATCCAAAGCACCGCCCTGAGAAGGCCCTTGCCTTCGAATTCAGTGTATGCTTCATGATCATGAATGCACATTGACATCGCTACATTGTTGCCAGTATGTGAGCCTATTGCCCGAATTTGCAAAGTGTCAGCTCATTATTTGCCGGTGCTAGTTGATCATTGATCGGATCTTGATATAGATCAGATAGATGAGCTTGTTGTTAGTACAACCCCAATAAATTTAGAGCCCTGGCAGCTGCCAGGCCAAAAAGCTGAAAGGGAATGTGCAAAGTCCTGATCCACAAGATGACACAAAGGCCATAGCCAACAGATCTCACCTGCAATCCGCATGGATGTTGGAATGTCAATTGAGATTAATCGGAGTGTTTCTTGGCATGGGTTGCAGGTCCATCCTGAAAGCCTGGTGCCAGCACAAGGAACTGCCATTGCCAAGGCTGGTCCGCTGACAAATTGTACACACCCACATCTTTATATTGTTTGGGTGGATGTGTTAAAGCAAAGTTCAAATTGGATGTCCAAGTGCGGATCAAGTTTGGAATTGTTGACCAGGGGCTTCATCTTGAAAGCTCAGTACACGGAGCTGCCATCGATGAGGCCACCAGCGCGTCCACCGATCATGATAACTTTGCGCATGGCAGCGTGTACTACCTTAAACTGATTCTCAAGTGTCAATTCATCACGAGCTTTGGAACTGTTGAAAGTTGAAGGTCCGTCCTGGAAGCCTACGACTGGAACCGGGATCTGCCTGTAAGGCGGGTCAGCTGATATTGCGCTCACGTCATGTTTGAATTGTGGGATCAAGTTGGATTTGCAAACATCGACCAAGAATTGAAACGTGGAGCGGGAGGCGCCTCCTGAGAGCACACTGCTGGAGCCAGTGCCATCACAGGCCTCCATTGTTGCAACTGGATGTTGAAGAGCCGATTGTTAAAACGCCAGTTGAGCTGTTGACTGGAAGGTCCTTCCTGGGGGCCCACAGCCATCGACATCAACTGCCACCGCCAAGGCCAGTGCGCTTGTTCATCATCGATATCATAGTCGTAGTTGAACACTAATTGAATTGTTTGATTGTGCTGCTGTTTTGAAGGTCTGTCCTGGGGCCCTATTGCCAGAAGCAGTGCCATCACAGGCCTCCTTTGCTGAGCCAGCATTTTACTGCAAAGTTGCACGTGCACGAAGCTTGAATGTTTGTATTGCAACATCATGTCGTTGATTGTTCAACTGTTAATGATGAGCTCGCCTTTTGCAAATGCAGTTGATTCGAAGGTCCATCCTGGGGGCCCACAGCTGGAACCAGTGGCGCCGCCAGTGCAGGCAACTGCCGTTAAGTGCGTTTGTTTATCATCGATGTTTGATCGTTTGGATCAAGAACGTGCAAATGGCAGGTCCGTTGTGGGGAACCAGCAGAGCAGTCAAGCGCCATTGCCAAGGCCAGTGATACTAACTAAGTTGCATGCCCACAAATGCATGAACTGCTGGATGTTCGCGCCTTGGAACTGTTGGTCGAGCCTTGGAACTGTTTATGCGAAGGTCCGTCCTGGTGGCCTACAACTAGCGCCATCGCAGGCAACTGCCGTTCAGCCTGGCAGCTGTTCAGTTGTATGGTTAGATGATTGATCTTTCCTTTAAAACGTGTGGTCAGGCACCCTCTGAGAGCAGCAACATCGACAACGTCAGTATGCCAGAGCTCAGTGAATACATTGCAAAGCACGAGGCACTGGTTGAAAGTTGTTTCCAGCTTCCCAACTGCCCCTTGCGACCGCGTTCTGCCTTTGCAGCGCAGGCTGCTGAATCCACATCGCCACGGGCGCCTGACAAGGCCGGCGCTGCAAGATCAGAGGGACCTGCTACTCCCAAATCCAACTATATGGGTTCTGTACGGGTTTCTCGAAGCAAAACACAAAGCCCGATTGTTTTTGCTGCCTACGCACCCCGTACTTGGAGGAGGGAAACGTATTGAACTGAATTCGAAGGAACACAGAGATTCGCAATAAATGGTGGTCCTAGGAAACTCAAACTTGTCATTTCCACCTGTAGGTGTCTGGACGTGGTCCCCTCATCAAGGAAGTATCTCAGCTTCCAGAGTGGCTTGCTGCGGAGCAACAAGCAACCCAATTGGGCAGGGAGGACATGGTTGGGCAGCAAGCTCAACTGAAGAAGGCTACAGTAGAGGACTGTTTCCCTGATTGCAACATGTTTCAATCGTGCACGCTGTGATGCACCATGCTTGATTCACATGCAA